AAGAAAATTCCAGTTTGTAATATTCTTTTACATGTTTTTTTTTAATGATAACTTAAATGTAAACATTTTAATCGGCTTTACTATGAATACTCAAATACATATATCTTACATATATATATATATATACATATATGTACATCTGTGTAATGCAACCAACTCAATGCGAAATCAACGTTATGAACAGATATAATGAAATTCACTTATATTGACGCACTGAAAATATTTCAGTAATTGAACGCATCTATACACATTCTTTGATCTACAAAACGTTTCACATATTTGTACACGTAGTCAAGCCGCTGGCATCTGCACATTTTTGCAATAGATTTAACAGCTCTAGAATTTTTTCATTTCACATAAAGTATCTAAAAAGCATACACACATATACGCATGTATGGTATAAGCGTAATAAAGGAACGAAGAAAATCTCAGCTAAATACATTTGAGCAGCAATCAAATCCGACTGACACAATTTAACTTGGACTTGTATTTTGTGTTGTGCGCTGCAACAGTCGGCTTTTTGCTTAAGAGAAGGATGTTAATAAATGCTTTATATAAGAGCTGCAAAATTGGTTAAAGGTTTATCAACTAACTATGTATGCTGAGACAAAACAGATAAAACAATAAAATATCTCAAAGTCCAATTTAAAAAAGAATAACTAGTTTGAGGTTCAAGAACATGAATCCAAATACTTGTTGTTTATTAGCGAAAAAAGATATGATTAAACAAATAACTTAATTATATATGTTTTTGTAATAATATGAACGATTTTTTATCTGTATGTTGTCTTTTCTTGATAAAGAATGTTGTTTGGATATACTGAGAACACTATCAATAGGGGAGATTATTTTTAAATTTTATTTAAATCCGCTGAGGTTGCTTTTCGACATTTATCAACTCAGGTCAGGGATTTTTTAAACTCTAATATTTCTAAAATTTAAAATTAGACGCAAAATGCGAGCAGTAGTGGAAAGAAAGTAAAATATATAAAAAAAAAAACAAATATAATTTGTTGAAAGTCTACATTTTCGTTTGTAGCTCAAATAAATTGCGATGGTAGCCGACTCTGGCCACTTCTTTTAACTTTGCTTTTCCAAACATGCCTTGACATATGTCTGCACACATTCGCACTTAATCACATGAAACTGTGGAAAGCCATGACGGCTTTCAATTCACGACAGGATGGAATAAAATCTATGCCAGAAGCTATGCATTCAACATTCCCTCAACGTTATCGTTGGCGTCTTCAACTGTTTCTCTTTAGCCGCTTTATTTTTTATGAGCTAAAACGCAGCAGTCACGTGAAGCACAGCAGCCAACAGGATGTCATTGTATGTACATATGTTAGTATGTGTGATGCCACACGCACGCACACTAACGCACTCAGTTGTTGTAACGAGCATTTTCAGTTCATGTCAAAGGAATTTCTGTTTGATTGCAGAAAATAAAAAGTGTCGCTTGAGCGTGAGTTCTTTTTTACGATTATTTCCCCAATCGGGCACATGCAGAATTTTTCACTTATCCGCGGCTGCTGAGCGATAAGAGTGGGCCTAATGCGTGAGAAGGTTTGCGGTTAAGTGAGGACTTTTATACGCCAACGCGTTCCCACAATAAAGACTTGCAGTAAGTTTATTAATAATAATAATTTAAATGTATTCTGTAAGCAGTTCTTATCTCGTTGTTTTTTTAATAATACAATAATATTTTTTATTGACTTCAACAATAAATATACAATATTAAAGTCTAAGCTGACATTATTTATATATTAGTTATGGAACATTTGTCTCAATCACAACATACAGCTGGAAAGCTTATGACATTTAAACTTATTTGATAGACAAAGCCAGAGAACTCGGACTTGTAACTGGATTTAAAATAAATGCTTTTGAAAGTTGATTAAAACGAGTTGATCATACATACAAATGATTAGTTGTCCTTAAAAGTTTGATAAAGAAATGTTATCATTTGATATAAAATGTTCATTTAATATAGCAGTATATACAACGTGATTCTTGTTGAATTGAATTTTATAAGAGTAGTCTTTTTTATATTCTTCATAAATTGTTTCTTGCTTCATAAAGTATATACATCAGTAAGAAACATTTCTGCAAAACATCAGAGCCATTGTTAAATTGCATTTTGATATATTTTTTCTTATTTTTATGTTGAAACTTTTGCAGGCTACATAAGAATATGCACAAATAAACCGCATTCAGCATTTTATCAACTAAATGACTAATTTTTCTGCCTTATAGGAATAGTTCTAAAATATATTTCTTTGCACAAACCTCGACCAAATGTAAATAACCCTCACTCTAAACACTCGTATGTCGACAGGTCGGTAATCAAAACTAAATTGTTGATGGATCCTCTCACACCGAGCACACTACAGCTGCATGTTGACAAATACTCTAGACATTTTCATCAGTGCTCATTAGCTTTCCTTCCTAAATACATGTGTGTGAGCACAAATGTGTGTTTTGTGGTGCTAACACACACACACACACGCGCACGCAAGCCCACAATAAATGTGTTTGCACAGTCTGCGCTTAATTTGGTAAATTTTGCTTCATTAATAACCATGACATTTGGGCCGCCACAATCTCACTAGGCGGCCTGTCTGTCTGTATGTCCGTCTGTCTGTCTATCCTCATGTCTGCCAGCGTAAGTTAATTGTCAACAGTAACAGAGACCGACAGGGGCATACTTTAACATTAACTTGATCATTTTGAATGGCCTTTGGCAGGTATTTGCTTTTCGGCTGGCGTTGTTGTTATTGGATTATTTGTTGGCCCAGGTTGTTGCTTATTTAAAAATAACTCCATAAAATCAATGGACAGAAAAGACGTCTGTCGATAAATGTAAATGCAAATTTTACAAAAATAACACTCAACTGGTTGAGTGAATATGTGTGCGTGTGCGTTTGCGTGCGGATGTTGATAAAATTAAAAACGCTCAAAAGTATGCTACGAAGTGTGTGTGCGTTGCTTTCAATGCTATTAATAAATAAATCAAACACTTTAAGAGCCGCTAAGTGGCGACCAAGCAATTAACATTTAATATCGATTTCATGCCAGCTTGTTTACAATATACAAAAAAAAAAAAGAGAAGAAGAAGAACAACACCAACAGCATCACCACAAAAGCTAATTTAAATGGTTTGCCTCGGCTGCGTGAGATATTTGTGATGTTATGTATCACCTTCATAAATGCCAGCTATGTGTGTGTGTGTGCGAGGTGTTTGTGATTTATGAACACATTGAGAGTTGAGTGTTTGCATTGGTGTGAGTATGTATGTTTTACTATTTGTTAATGGCAATTTTATGCAAATTTGTGGTGTGTTTGCCTACAATAAAGTGATTTGGAGCGTGAACTAAGCCATGACGTATATTCCCAGTTGCGATGCTGACGTGTTCATAATAACTAAATAACAGCGTTAACTGCAGACAATTTTAACTTAAAGCCAGAGCTTAAGACACAAATTTATGATAGTTAAATGTTATTTAAGCATTAGTGCTGTGAACATCAAATAATAAAGAAAATAGTGATAGGTGCGAACTGGGGTCCATTGATGTGAAATAAAATTATTTAATATTTATTTATTTATTTGTATCGCGAAAAACTAGCCTATATAATCACAGTAATGTTTAAAGTTCGACTAGTTTGATCCATTTTATTTGCTCACTCACAGCGAAAAGTAGTAAGTAAATGAAGAATAGAAATACAAAATATAAAATTAAAAGAATTGCAATGCATTCAAAATTGCCTACCCAAAATGAATGCTACAAAAAATAATAATTAATAAGATTAATGTATTAAACTACACTAAGAACATCTACATCTTGTTAGCTAGGGTCTACTTCAGATTTTAAGATAATAATATATCAGAGACATACGACATGTATAAGTAATACATATTTCAAAAAAATGTTGGGCTAAAACGTATAATCTAAATAGGCAAAAAAAAAAAATTTAATCTAATTTTAAATTTTTACTGCATTTATATATATATTTTCGAATTGAATGAAATGCGGCCATATTCATAATTTGTAGTAGATACTAAGCTCTTTAAAGATAAGTATGTTTGCGAAAGCCCTAATATGTTAAATTAATAAGTTTTTAGTCAAGCAATTTATTGCCATAATACATCAGCAGTTATTGATTATTGCAATTTATTAGAGTCGTAGCACCTGTAGGGGATTCGTTTGTATTTAGACTGCTCGAAAGCAATCCATTAAAAGAAAACACATGGACTTCATGGTCTTTGTTCGTATGTGCTCCAATTGCGATTTTAATCCGTCGGGGAGGGGGGGGGGGGGGGTGTTTGAGTTATACTGTCTAATGGTCTAGTACCTACGCATGCATGAAAATTTGTACAGTATGTATTCAAATATTTTGAAACCAAGTCGGAAGTTCATAAAATGGGGAATGTTAGAAGAATGATATTTTAAATCATTTTGGCTTTTATTGTTTTTGGGGCTGGGTTTGATAACCATTTCCATTTCCACAAAATATCGATAAAGCTTGATGAGCTGAAATATTATTTCTATTCTATTATTTAAATAAATCCCTATCGTTTTTCTTTTAATTGTAAACTTAACAACGTTTAATATTATAAGGATGCTTTTAAATTCAAATCTATTCAAATTGTTTAAAGGTAACTTGTTTTAAAAAAAAGTTTAAAAGTCTTTTTAAGCGAATCCCATTCACCTTATCAGGTGTGCACTGTTCAGGGGGCTATAAAACTATTATTTAGACGTATGTGGTTTTCTGCTTGCGTGGAAAAGCGTATACTTAATGTAGTATGTTTGATTGTATTTCATTTCTAAATGTCAAATATAAATGCCAACTTAGCTAGAAGTCAAATGCTAAACCTTGACAATAAATATTAAATTGCGGCAATTGCGCATATTTGTGGCTAAACTCTTACCTATAAAGCAATAACCCATTAGCCTGAATGCTAATGCAGTGTCACTTCACATTTTATTAATATATTGCAGCCGAAGACATACATTTGGACGATTTATACACACGCTATCGCCAACGGCTGCGAAAATCGCTCTTCAGATCGGGGCTGCTCATATCGCTGGTGTCATGTGTCGTGTCCATAATAATTGGTCTCGTTTACGAGCAGGTAAGACATTTGAGATGGCGGAAGCCACTTGACTTTGGCACAATATTAATTTATTTGCTTGTAGCACCTGCTGCAGACACTGCTTTTGGCCCTGGCCACCATTATATCGGCCTCGATACTCACGGCCCTGCAGTTTCCGGCTGTGCTGAGCTCACCAGCTGCCGCTTTGGCCTTCGCCATTGTTACCACCTTCTCGCTGGGGACTATAGCGGCCATAACGGGCGATGAGCTGGCTCCACTGCCCATGTTTGCATTGTTCCTGGTAAGTAGCGCTCGAACGCATCTATTGCTCCTCTCCGTGTTTTTGTTTAGAGCTTGAGCCTAATGCATTGTTTATTTTCTGATAGGGCATACACACCATGCTGCCCATATCCTGGCCAGTCTCTGTCGTCCTGGCACTATTTATGACCGCCATACATATCGTTTATAGAATCGGCACCAGCGCTGACTACGCCCCCAACCTTCCTATGGTAAGTTTGTCTTCCGTTTGCATCCCTAGGATTGGCATTAGCGTTGGATGATGATAGGAGTGGGCGGCCGTAAACATTTCTTTGGCGTAACAGCTGCATTCCGGCACAGTGGTGTAATATTAGCAGACAGTTTTTTTTTTTGCATTTTACAACAGTATTTGTTATTAAAAAAAATGTTGAAATGTACGGCAAATATGAATCCAGATTTCCGCACGTAACATAATTTATAAATGATTGGATGTGAAGAGAACGTGGTTGATTTAATAATTGATGCGCTGAAATATTTTACTGCAGCAGAACAACATTGACAGAATTGTAACAATAAATAAGGGAGGTTTGAGTGGAAGCTAAAAATAAGTGCTGCATCAATGTTTTTGTTTTTCTGTTGAATTTTTCAGAACTGTTTACGGTCGTTTGTCTGAATCTGCTAAACATATTTTTGTAAGGAACAAAAAATAGAGAAGGATAACGTTAGCTTCGTTTTTTCTGCACAAATTCATTTAAAAACGTTTTGGTTTCATTGCCATGAAAGCACCGAAATTGTATACTTTGTTATATATCTTAGCTTTTACAAGCATTGCAAAGTCGTTATACAAATGACTATATTTGTTTATAAAAATGAATATATTGCTTTCAGCATTTGAAAAGAACCAAAGGAATGCATCAAATTTAAGTTCTATATGCTAAGTTTCTAGTTGGCTGCCTTTTTCAATTGCAATAGCTTATTCATTTATTTTGGGATTAGTATTTGAGTAGGAGTAGAGCTATGGCTTAGACAAATTTATTAGCAGAACTTCCATCTAAAGTAGTTAACTTCCGGCTTCGGACAAATAAAATCAATGAGTGTTGAAAAACATGAAATTCGAAATAGCTTTTTTTTAATATAATTTTTTTATCTTTAAACATTGTTTTTTTTTAAGACCAATTTGTTTACTTCTTGTTTAAGCACTCTATGCAGTTTTTGCAGTTTTCTAAAATTAATTGAAGAGGTTTCTAAGTCTCCTGTGACTAATTGAACGCCATTACTGCAAAGGAATAAAGTAGCTTTGACACTGAATGCGTGTCATGTGCAAGCCTGGAGGCAACTTGGTTTCAGAAATTTCAACTACTGTCTTCCACAGAGCCTTTCACCATCGTTCCCTATCTGGAGGGTCGCATTTCGTTTCAATTTATAGTTAATTGGTATACACATGCACTTAGTTTAGTTTTTTTTTTCGATATAACCATTCCAACCACATGCCATTTGCCGCTTTTGTTTATGTGCACATTCAGTGTGTTGTGACCTTATTGTATTTTCTTCGTATTATTGCAGCTCTTTGGCGAAATTGTTATGCTGGCCAGCGCTTCCGTTTCCGGCCTCTATTACCGCATTATGTCGGATGCGGCGCACAATCGGACTGTCGATGGCACGCGGACGGGCATTGAACAGCGCGTCAAGCTGGAGTGTGAGCGGGAACAGCAGGAGCAGCTATTGCTGAGTGTCATTCCAGCCTACATTGCTGCAGAGGTGTGTGAAAATGGCATTGTCGCTTGTCTAAACTTTAATAAAATCCTTTGTGCTCGTACAGGTCAAACGCAGCATTATGTTGAAAATGGCGGACGCTTGCCAGCGCGCAGGAGGCCAGGCCTCAACTTCGGCCACACGCTTTCACGAGCTGCACGTTCAACGGCACAATAATGTATCTATTTTATATGCAGATATTGTTAACTTTACACCGCTCTCCGAAGTGCTGACCGCCAGCGATTTGGTAAAAACTCTCAATGATCTCTTTGGCAGATTTGATCAAATTGCACAGGTAAACTCATTTGTCATATGCACGAAGATATGGCTAAAAATCTGTTAAGTTCGCAAACTTGTAGCTTACCCTAGGCTGAAGTATAATTTAATAGCTATCGTATAATTTAAGTTTTATCATTACCTTTCCATATACCATGCAGGAAAACCAATGTTTGCGCATCAAGATACTCGGTGATTGCTATTACTGTGTGTCGGGTCTGCCCATCTCGCGGCCGCAGCATGCAACCAATTGTGTCAACATGGGCTTGCAAATGATCGATGCCATCAGGTGAGTCAACATTGACGCTATGTGTGAAAGTTTCAACAGCCATGTTGCTGTTCCCCAACCTCGCTATCGCTCACTCACTCACTTCTTGGCTACATGCTACCCAGAGCCCATGGCACTAGGGCATAGCTTTCACGACTGATATAACATTGAAACATTTAATGGCAAAAGTATGTAGTTTTTGTAGAATATATTTATCTGGATCTTAAAATATTTCATCCCCTTATACTTATAGTCCGCTGAAGTAAAATCATTTATCTTCAATCATATTTTTGTATTGTTGTTAAGTCTCTAGGTAGACTTTTATATTTCTAACAATTATTCAGTTCAAAAATAAGTTCAATTTTTAAAATTCGGGAATAGATATCACAGACTGAATTGAATGAATTTATTTAAATTTACAAGTAAAAACTTGTTGCTGATTATTAAAAAAATTAAATTTAGAGAAATGCCAAAAACCACACAGACTACGAACAACATTGTCACATTGCTTGATAATTTCACATTGTCTCAAATAATGCTGTAGGACACGAAAGGAGACAAGCATTGGGCGGACCAGTTTGTTCCGCTTTAGGGTTTTGTCATCAGAAAAGTGTAGCATACTTTCGTGCGAAACCCGCTTTTATCGCCATTTTGCTACTTTGTGGCATCGGAGTTGCATGTTATTTTCTGTTTCTGTTTATATTTGTATTGGCTGCCTCAATGTTGTCGGGGTTGGCATTTGCCTTTGTGCAAAGCTTATGCAAACTTTTGTAAATTTTCATTTTGGCATTTTGATACCTTTGGCTATGATGCTATAACACCTTAACTGAAATGTGCGTGGGTCTAGTTCTATAATAACAATACTTGTACATACAAAAAACAGGTTGATTTCACTAAATGAAACCGATTTATGGAACATATAAATAGCGCTATAAAGAAATGATTTCAAATTGAATCTCTTTTAAAATAAGAGATTTCAATTCTTAGAGCTTGTATTCTTCTTGGCAAATTTCCAAATATGTACATAGTATATTTGATGAGGTTTTTTTTTATAAAAAAAAATAACAAAATGAAATATTTATAGCGATTCTTTGTATTTATTTATCTTAAAAAAATAAAATTCAGATTCAACCCGTTGGTTTCATGGCGTTGCTTAAGTCTCAGCTAAGCAATTCAAAATTTGTTGGGCTGAAATATTTCGAAGAAACTAAATAGGAATTTAGTCGGACAAGAAATTGATTCGATTAGGTAAAAATCTTTCAGTAGCTCGTAATGGGGCTTTCTATGTATTTTTTATAATGTTTACTAAGATTAAAATTTTTGGAATTTATTTAATATTCGATTTTTCATTTTATTTATTAAATACAATAATTTTTTTTCTAAATGGTTTTACATTTCCCTAACCGAGTAGGCTGGCAACCAAGAATCTTTTAATGAAGAGGTAGTACATTTTTTTAAATATCAAAACGTAATGATTTATTCAGATGCACTTTATTATTTATCGGTATAAAGTCGCTTCACTGTATATCATTGTGTTTGCTAAGAGCCTTGCTGCAGGCTTCAATATAATCGCCACCAGATAGACACGTTTAATGTCGCTACAGCATTTGTTTCGTTGGCGCGCCTTTTAAAAGCATATCATACAATAACAGACAAAAAAAAAAGGAAATAAAAGACAATAAAAATTTCGGCACAAAGGCCATTTTATTACATGCGAATATTGCGCTCAAATGCCCCGGGAGCTACCGCCCCCGATCGTCACAATTCCAATTCACTTGGGGTATCCAATGTGTTGTGTTCTATTATGCGTTATTTTCAAGCTACTTCCACTTTCTTACTGTCTGCACCGAAAGTATAAGGTCTTAAGCTCGCTTTGTGCTTCGTAGACATTTGGCCTTTTAATCTTTTGCTGGCCATTGCCACTTTGCGCCTCTTTTTGGCTTTGTTCATGTCACGGCCGAAGCAACTAAACAAAAAGCTGGCAAGCAACTGTTGCCGCACTCGTTCTTGCCATTTATTTATTTATGCGCCAAGCAAAGGAAACTGAATATTTTGTGTGGCTTTTTGCGCTCATTCAGGAAGCAGAAGCAAAAAGTTTAATTGTGCGCTGCAACAAAATTATTTCTTGCTTAACGATGTCACACACTGAGGAACTTCAAGATAATTTACGTTGAGGGAATTTCCTTCAAACAGCGAATAAAACGTTGAATATAATTCCAGCCAATAATAAGTTTCTTTTTAAATATTAAATTGATATTCAAAGTGCGCTTCAGTAAACAAGAAATGCAATCAGCTTATTCAAAATATGGTAGTTTCAATTTACTTTTTCCTGCAAAGTTCCGATTTAAGAATTAAATATAACTCTAGAACACTTTAAATATTCATTTAAAGTTCCAAGAATATCGTTTTTCGAAGGTTATTTTAAATATTGGTTTAATAAAACTAAAGCGGGCTACATTTTAATATATAACGTGCAGGAAGCGTGGCAGATGAGTCTTGGAAAATATAATATAATGACGGATAATATTTGTGATATTGGACGATGATTAAGCACTTCTTTCAGAAATCTGAGTCCCTGTTAGCTTCAGTTGTAAAAAAATATAAAAAATATATATACAATATAGTAGGCGTAGATTTGAAAAGGACATAAAGTACTCCCCTAACCAGTGTGTGCTGTAATAAGGTTCGTTGGCCTAAACAAAACTAACTCCTTTTACTTGGGTACCCATGTCAATAAGTATGTGTATAATTAATTAAATTCAGTGAATATAAGCTTTGAAAACATAGAATTTCGATTGGCCTTCATAGTTTCGTCCTTTTTGAATTGATGCCCATGCCCCATGCCATGAAAGGAAAGAACGGGTCATATCGTTGTTATGGGTCAGGGCTTTCGCACGGAACTTTGCACAAACATACATACATACATATGTATGTACACATGAAGCATATGTCAGTACCCACTCATATACACATACACACACTGAAATTACTATGTACCATAAAAATGCTCCGGTGACCTACACACACACACACACACACACAAGACACAATTCAAGCCAAGCCAAAGGATACCCAAGCGATTTGCTCAAGGCATTTGCTTTGCTCGATGCGGTTCATTTACGCACTTGAACAAAAGCACAGCCCGTTAATAACTCAAGGACTGTTTGCTAGCCTTAGAGCGCTGATGTTGTCATTGTTGTTGTTACCTTTCTGCTATTTAGTTGGCAGTTGGCTGGTTGGCCCAGCTGGCTAAGAGCGCGTGTCATACATCAAAAAGTAAACAGTGCGCCTGCTTAGCCTGGTGTTTTATGGTCCCATAAAAATGTTAATAGGACAACACCACCAGTTACAACTGAACATGTACACACACACATACATACTACGTATACATTCGACATATGTTTCTGTGTATTAGAGATGGACATGGGCCGACCATCTTCGGACTAAAACAAAATGTCTACAAAATGTTGAATGGAAAACGGTCCAACAATCACAATTGTCAAAAAAAAAAAAAAAAACACACACACATACAACTTTAAAACATATACATATTTTCTTTCGAATCCAGCACCTTTAAATTTTGAATAAAAATATGCTCTATAGGTTGGTCCTAAAGTGGTTTCTTTCAAAAAATTAAGAGAAGAGAATAAAATCATGTTTTTTCTTTATATTATTGATTTATTCGAAAGAACAAAAATTCCCATTAGTTATAAAATACAATTTCTTTCAAGTGGCTGCCTCGGCTAGCCTGTTAACCCAGTTTCCCAAGATCTTGGTGATCTGGAGTCTAACACGTTACGTCTGCTGATAACGAAGAGCATCCCCCTTCTCTTTCAAGCAGAAGAGATAAAGAATTTAAGAAAAGCACATGGACCACACTGTATTGCCAAAGGCCTAAAAGAAAGGCTGTATTATTTATCCCGATTTTGTAAAGCAATCTAACTTTAATAAACAAATAAATAATAATGTAAGCTAAGGAGAAACATGGGATGAATATGTAGATTTCAATTAAATGTAAAAATATATTAAACGAAAATATCAGTGTAATATATTTCGATTAAATGTAAAAATATATTACAGAAATATATTAGTGTAATATATTTTGATTAAATGTAAAAATATATTACACAAAAATATCAGTGCCAGAATTTGTAGAATGCAGCTCTGCTCTATAAAACCGTAGCTATTAGCAGACCAATTTAAATAAATGGCTTAAGCACTTTATTTAAATATATTTTAAGATCTGTTTTTTTTACAACCACTTACATTAAAGGTACACAATAGTAAATGAACATTTTCTAAAATGAATGGAATGTACTGCTAGATACGAGTATATATGCAGGGAATCTCCTATCGAATAATTTGCCAGTGCCATAATAAAAATATATAAGTACTCGTACGCGTTCCATGCCCATCCCTGATGTAAAAGTATGGCTCTGTAAGTTTTATGTGTCTTGTGTGCTTTGCTTGTGTGCATTTCATGGCTTGCGTTGCTTTGTTTATTTGTTTGTTTGTTTTACTTATTCCCTTTCCCTTGTTCTGTCTCGTCTTGTTTTGTTTTGCACAGACACGTGCGTGAGGCGACCGGCATAAATGTTGACATGCGAATTGGCATTCATACTGGCAACGTACTCTGCGGCGTCCTTGGCCTACGCAAGTGGCAATTTGATGTTTGGAGCGATGATGTTACCCTTGCTAACCACATGGAGAGCGGCGGCGTGGCGGGGTAAGTGACACAACTTATTATGAGTCTATGTGGGCTTGGGTGTGTGGGTGTGTGCATTGTATCGTCAGCAGTGATGATTGTTTGTGCACGAAGTAGAGAAAACAAATAAAAGTTTACAGTCATATACTTATATGTGTGTATATTAAATACATACATATGTATTGGTAGAATTAGTTGCAGGCAGGTAGACAATGCTAAGTAATGTCAACCTAAATTAACCCGCATTTGACGGCAAAGCTAACGAGTACGCTGAAAATAGAGGCACGAAAAATTGATGAAATAGTCTGAAACTATTATTGTTAATTAATTTTTTGAAATGTACAGTTGCTTCACTATGTCTGCCATTGCTGCAAGTAATTTAGTTTTGATTGATATTTTCTAAATTAAGCGCGAACTGATTTCTATTTTAAAATGTTTTTGTGCGCGAAAGGCGCAAGTATACCAATTATATAACAAATTGCTATTAAACTGAGAAATAATTATTTCAAACATAAATTTATTTCAAATAGTGTTTTGAACTTGGGGGTCAGTTGACATGTTTTAGCTTTTATTCATTGTATAGTATATTGCTGGTTCCGTATTCTACTAAATACCCTGAAATTTTGAACAAAATCATTTTCTACGAACTGCATGTTACAAATATTAAACCTCTTAATATATGTGTCTAGACAATGCGGCTGGTGGAAAAGTGTTTTTATAATGGCACACCTATGTAGGTGGCAATTATGCGAAATTGAATTGGATTGAATTGAGAGATTGGTCAATGATCCGGAAAGCCCTCACGCGCCTCTTTTGTTTTTACGCACGAATTCGTTTGTGAAGCAAAGGCGGAAAGCCAAAAGAAGTAAAGCATAGGGGAAATGAGAAAAATTAGGAGACTGGGCATTGAGAAATAATGTGCCAAGGCGAAATAATTTACATGTTAGCTGCTGCAAATACAAATATAATGTAAATGCATAGATGAAAGAAATTCATATTGTGTATTCGTACTATTATTACTCATACGCCCGGATGGCAATACAATACAATTTCATTTTACAGCCGCGTGCACATCACAAAGCAAACTTTGGACTTTCTGGGTGATAAATTCGAGGTGGAGGAGGGGAATGGCGGCAACCGCGATGCCTACCTAGCTGATCACAAAATCGAAACTTATCTTATTGTTCCGCCGAGGGTAAGTACGGATATGTGGTCGATGAGCCAGCTCAAGATATTAATACTCCGCCACGCCCACAGCCCGCATATTCGCATAGTGTGCCACGAGTCGTAGAGTGTGTTGAGCATAGCGATGCGCACGAAATCGGAGCCGGGGATGCATCAGCGCCACAAAGCGATGGCAACGATGCCACGGAGAAGCTCCTGCCTGTGGAGACAAAACAGCTCTCACCAGAAGTTGGAGAAAAACTATCGCCCACATCGATCCATAGCCAAGAGTCACCGGCGCTGCATGCTCCCCTTGCTTCCGCAACCTCCATGTCCATCAAAGAGGATGACGAGGATGAGGATGCCGCTGGCAATCCCGACCAGCCGTTAGTCGTCAAAGAGCTGGAAATGACAAACAATAGTCCACCGATGGTGGTGCATCGTGGCAGCGGCGACTCAGCCGCCTCCGAATCGGCAGTAAAATCGGCAGCATTGTCGCTACCCGCCGAGGATATGCTCAGTATAAGTGGCAGCGAGAGTGGCGTCTCAAACAGCGGTGCTTTGGGCGCACCCACGCCCAACGAAGGCGGCCCTACATCCAGCGCTTCGCCAACACCCACGCACAGCGCCACGACCCCTGCAACAACGGCGGCAACTGCGGGACCGCCGACAGCTGGCAGCAACAGTCTAACAGTGAGCGAAGCACCCGAGAGATCGCGTCGCAAGCTCTCCGTACAAGGTAAGCTATAACTGAGCATTTGACAATCCTGGTGACTTGAATATTGAATATAAATAGGTTTTAAATTACATCCAATTCCATATATTTTGGTAGCTGAAGCATCAAGAGTTTTAGCTGACATGTGTAAAAACCAGAAGAAACAATAAATTCATAAAGTTAATAAATAATTGATCTTAAAAGCGAAAAAATTAAAAAATTATTCAAATACATAAATTTTATTATAATTTAACTTTAACTTTCCATTTTTATTTCATACTGAAGGATGCCCAAAGTCCTCTTTTAGACATAAAACAAAACCGAATATAAAACTAGAGAGAACACTACAGTAAAATAGCCTGTACTCTCCACAAGAAAGGATAATTAAAATAAATTTATTAAAAAAAAAATTAAATTATTTAAAAAAATATTGATTTATCTATTTATGGCTATAACCTTCGTCATAATTAACTTATCTTAATGAATCTTGGCATACGGACTCATAATCACTAATCACTAAATACCTCCCGTATTTGCCAAATCTGAGTACAAAATTCCAAATTTATATAACTCCGGTTTGTAGAAAATCGCGAATAGGGGGGAGTGGGGGGGGGGGTGTATCAGAAAAAAAACACAAACTCTTCATTTCTCGGGCTCAGGAGAATCTGGATACCAAGTTTGGTTATTCTAGCTCTTATACTTTCTGAGATACTTGCGTTCATACAGACAGACGAACAGACAGACAGACAGACAGACAGACGGACATGCCATATCGACTCGGCTTGTCACAGTGACCAAAAATATATATACTTTGTGGGGTGTTCTGTGTGTTACATACATTCACACGAAACTTACGCTTTGGCTACAGGCTATTAAAATAAAAACAGACAAAAACTATAACATTTTTTTCGAACTACAGAACTACTTTTTTAGCCATAAAACAAAAAAACCCATTAGCATTAAATGCGAATTTTTGCAGCCCTCTATATGTAATATTGTTGTACGCGCACTCGTTATGTTTATTGTTAATTGTCACCTGCATTTTAAATCCGTCACAGGTCTCATCTCGTTTGCCGACAGGCGCCGTTCGTCGGGCGCCTTCATCGAAGGCCGCAAGCTCTCCATACACAGCGGTGAAAGTTTTCGCAGCCATGCAGGTGAGTGGGTGTTCATCAAAGCACAACAGTTAAAAATCACTTGCACAAATGAGGTTAGGCCCATAATTTTGTTGTTGTTCGGGAAACTTTGGGCGTATCATAATCGTAAATTTTAATGCATGCACGCAAACTTTCCATAATATGGTCCAAGTCCGACTCCGAGTTTGTGCGAAATTAGGCGTCGCTTTGGCCGTCAACGCTGGCAGCTGAGCTCTGGCAATTCGCATTTATGATTTTGGGTTTGCCGTGTGGCTTACCGGCACTTTATGACTTTTCATTTGCCAAGTAGTCGAAAAGTGCGGCGTCACGTGCACCCACAAGTCCATTTTGATGACAATACTGAGCACCATGAATGGCTCCAATTTAATGTGCTGCCAAAGCTAATGGGCTGCTTATTATGTAGATTTGCTTACAACTGAGCAGGTCGAGTTGTACGCTATATTGGTGTATATATGATAGAATACTTTCTCACATACCTTAGTAATGTTAAAAGTTAAACAAATTTCAAAATCTTTGGGAACTCTCGTTCTGGGCTAAGAAACGAAACCACAATAAATAGAAATAGTGCATCAAGAATAGCACTAGAAATGAGGCCTTTTTTTACATAAATAATTGTAATTGTCAAATTGTGGAAACCTACTTGCAGTCGAGGTGAAGGAGTTTCAAAAATAAATTCATATTTTTTAAGATACACTGTATATGTTTACTTGGAGGGCTGTGGTGGAGAAAGAAAAGTGTATGGGGCTGGCTCAGCGGAATCTCTTTATTTTAAATAATAAACAGAGTTCATCAACGTTCGTTTGCCCTATCATGCTGAGTATAATTGCATCAAAAGAGAATTTGTTTGGATTAAATTGCTAATGTCTTAAGCTTAAAAATGCCTTGCCTTAGGGTGCTTAAATTTGTTTTAAATTCAATTAAATGGTTTTAAATTGTGCATGGACCGAGGGGCAAAAGCTTCACAGACTAAATTTCACAATACTTCCAGGCCATGTGACACGCAATCGCCCTTCATCGAAGATGACCAAATATGTGGAATGCTGGGGCGCAGATCGACCCTTTGCAAATATTGCCGAATCGAAGCTGGTGAAGAACATTGGACTAGCGGTGAGTGGGGAGTGGGTCAGAGTTCAGGGTGCAGCAACAAATCCGGATACAATATTAAATTTAAATGGCCAGGAAATGTGGCACAACTGGCTGAAATTGAATTGTTTCGGGAAACAAAGTCCGTTAGCAACATAATTCAATTCGATTAATGGCACAAAACGTATACGTTGGAGCATAAAAGAAGAGATTTTTCTTTTTTGTTTGCAGCCATATGACGTTTGTCCCAAGTTGAATTTCAATTTGCTGAATTGCGGAAATATTTTCAATATAACTTTAGTTTTTAATTTATTCCTAATCAGACATTTTTTTGATTAAGCTCAGGCTTAACTCTTAGCTTAGTTTATGATTCATTTCTTAAAATTTAGTTCTAACTTGTATTTTTTTTAAATGTTGAGCTTATCTAATTCATCTTGGGCTTTTATCAAATTAAATGAATTTATTAGGGGAATATGCGTTAAGATAATTTCTCAGGCAAAGTTTTCTCTTTTAGTCTCGAAAACTGCTTCAGTTTCTACGAAGCTTGGTTGATTTTAATTACCATATATTATGTTTCCATGCTTCTTTTTTAGAGTTAGATGTTCTTCTCTTTTTTTCCTTCATAGAAATATTTTAAAATGGATGAGGTGCTTTTCAGTGATAAAGTACAAAGATATAGTATTTCAATCAAATTTAAAATAAAAGATAGAAAATAGAATAGTTTAAAAGATAACTAGGAGCAGCAAATGGCACTCACCCAAGGGGGCTTAAGATCTCAAAGCACAATCTTCTTGTTTGGCCAATCGTAATTGGCAAAGGGGTATACCCAAATATTTCACTTGTATTCCCACACAAGGAGAAATTTTGAAATTTGAAAGTTCGGCGCATAAATTTGCATTTTATATCCATTGTTTGGCAAAAGCTCTAGCCTGTTGCCGGCAGCGGTGGACTCTTGAAGGTTACACAAACTAAACAAATGCTATTATCCTTTTTTGCTTCTGCCACACACACACACACACACACAACAAACGCACACATATAGAGCATTGCCATGATTGAATCAAATTTACTGCCGCCGGAGCGTAAATGTTTCAATTTTAATTTCTTCGGGCCACCCACGGAGCTGAAGCCGTTCACCATGTGGTATCGGAACACGCCCCGCGAGGCAATGTACCGAGCACAGCCGGACACTCATTTTCGCTACGATCTAATTTGCGCCTTCGTCCTCTTCCTCTCCTTGGCTGTGGTGCAGCTGATTGTAATCGAGTTGTAAGTTAGCCGGAATGACAAACTAATTTGCATTTAACTCGTAAGTGATTTACTTAACACTTGTCGTTTGACAGAAACATCGCTCTCCTTGGCTCTTTGGTGGCTAGCTTTGTATCGCTGGCATTGTTTCTCTATCTGAGCAACATGTCGGTGCCGGATGTGCATGCCTCGGCCACGGAACGCAACGGACCCGGCCAGGTGGTGGCCAGCAGTCGTTATCTGCGTCTAGCCATGTTCATTATCGTCAATATACTCATATCGGTGTGCGCAGTATTCAGTGTGGTAAGTACATACATATACATATACATATATGTAGAACAATGCAACAAGCAATGCTAATGTGAATCAATGCTGAATAAATAAATAAATAACCTTTACAATCATCATGTTTACTTTAAAAAAATTTTAAAAAATTCTGAAACAATTAACAAACGAACCACAACAAATTAAAGAAATATAGTACTTTACTTAAATTGCCTAAAACCTAACAAGTTATTAGTTTGTTTATAAAAAACATAAAATGATTTGCACTTGATTCAGGAAACACTTTATGAAATCCTCCCACACATGCATGATTAGTAGATCAGTATTAAAAACATTAATTATTCAATAAGAAAAGCAAATATCTTTAGTCAGAATCTGGTTGCTTTATCCACAACAGATTAACTACACATTGCCCGACTCGGATGCTTTCTCGGATCTGGGGGGCATGACGAATAGCAGCACAAGTGGCAATATTAGCAGCGGCAGCCTCAGTGGTAATAGCAGTAGTGTCCTGTTGGAGGATCTACAGCCGCTGGAAATTGCACATGCGATTCCCATTGCACCCATCTTTCTTTTCTGCTGCGCCATCAGCTTGTCAGCAATATCGGCATTTCTGCGTTCCGGCTTTATATTGAAGTTGATTGCCATGCTGGTGACTTTGATTGGTCAGGTGATTGTGCTCGGATATAGTGATCTCTATGCGCAATATAATCTGCACAATCTAGACTTGGGGTAGGTTTATTCCTTCACTCGGGTACCATATGATATTTTATATCCATTTCCTGATGCAGTCTGCCGCTGGAGGTGAAGGGATTTCTGTTGCTGCTGCTCGTCGTCGCTGTGCTGCATACGCTGGATCGTCAAGGCGAGTATGTGGCGCGCACAGATTTCTTGTGGAAGGCCAAGCTCAAGGTCGAACAGGAGGAGGTAGAAACTATGCGGGGAATCAATAAGGTATGCATATTAGCGCTAGAGTCTCTATGGCTCAATTCATCAAATGAGCAACCGCCCTTTCCCAGATTCTACTAGAGAACATTCTGCCTGCTCATGTGGCTACGCACTTCTTGCATCTGGAAAGATCTACGGAGCTGTATCACGAAAGTTACTCCTGTGTGGCCGTTATGTTCGCCTCCATACCCAACTACAAGGAGTTTTATGATGAAACCGATGTTAATAAGCAGGGACTGGAGTGCTTGCGTCTATTGAACGAAATCATTTGCGATTTCGACAAGGTAAACTATCAAGACGAAATGGATGAATACATATAGTAAGCTCATATTATTTGTATACTGTTTATTCTGCAGTTACTCTTGAAGCCAAAGTTTAGTGGCATTGAAAAGATCAAAACCATAGCGAGCACCTACATGTGTGCATCAGGTCTGAGGCCCGGTAAAGAGGATGGCGCCACGGTAAGTTTGTCAGACCGTACATTGCACCTTATTTCGTCATCATGCTTTAATCTTTACTCTATGTTAATATATATTTCCGAAATGCTTTACTAATCGTGTAAATAACAACTCTGTATACATAAACAACGCCTTCCGTATGAATTCCTATCAAAACAGTCGCGTAGTTTTGCGGTAAGTTATCCTTCAACTCCTATGTGCCACAGCTATTGTAGATATTTTACCACATATTGAATTATTAAATTATTCAATTGTCCAAATTGTATACAATTTAATTTTCATAATTAGAAAATATTTTAAGCCAACTAAACCGTTCGCATTCCACCAGAAAGATATCCAAATATGGCTCAGATGTGGTCCTAAAAAAGCCCTATGATAGATTTTTTTTATTTTCCCTCTAAAAAGTTAAGGGAATTATCTATTTATAAAGAATACCGAACCAGGTATCTGGGGCGACTTTTAAAGGCTTCTTAGTAACCTTCTATTTAAGTTATAGCAGAAATCATTTTACTCTGCGTTATATGTGACATCAACGCAATATTATTCTCAGGCTTTTAACTGAAATTTAATTATTTAAATATGAAACGTATTTACTAAAGCAAATTAATTCCAATTTTATAACTGAAGTTCATTTAATAGATTCATTAGAACAACGGCTATTTTGTTTTTGCTTAAAAATAAATTTTCTTTTTATAACACTTATGTATTAAGGGAAGTCTGCGCTGGAAATTAGTAACAGTTTTCTTTGAAATTGAATATATTTTTGCAAATTTCTTAAACTATGAACTTTTTTCTGAAGATTAACATATTTTTTTCTTGTATTCCTATTTATTGTCTTAAAATAAATTTTTAGAGCCATTATCTGACATCTTAAATATGTATTTATTGAGTGCTGAGTTCACCTTTTATGTAATTTGTGGACTATGTAACTCAGTTAGCTTTTAGTTAGTTAGTTAGTTAGACCAACAGCTTTGATTTACTGATATACCATATTTTCATCAACATACTGGGCAGGAAAGGCAAAATTGATTTAGTTTTGGCATCAATGAAAAAGAAATTGTGTTCACCGATTCACTTCATTCGCAAAGCTGTAATTAAACATTCCTAATCAAAATGGGAAAAGAAGAAAATTGAACAATGCTCACATCGAAAAAGGGATCCAATTCGAGGGATTACGTTAAGCAGAGCCCATCGATGAACGCTCAATTAAATTTTATCTGCGAGTCACATCCAAAAGCGAATGGAATAAGCTGCATGCTTAAAATCAAGCATATAAATTGAAACTTGCTTTTTTGTTTTTCTCTTTGGCTTCCTTTTTTATTTTTCCCAAATTAACGTTTTGTTATTTGTTGGCCACAGGACGAGAAACGCACCGAGGAGCACAACGTTGTCATATTGGTTGAGTTTGCGATTGCTTTGATGTCCATATTGGATTCAATTAATCGCGAGTCGTTCCAACGTTTCCGGCTGCGCATCGGTCTCAACCATGGACCGGTCATTGCTGGTGTGATTGGTGCACAGAAGCCGCAATATGACATTTGGAGCAATACAGTGAATGTGGCCTCACGGATGGATTCGTGTGGTGTTATGGGCCGACTACAGGTGAGCTTAAGTTCAATCGATTGTTATTTAACAATCTAAGTTACTTTTTGCCATTTTGTTGGATTTCAGACAACGGAGAATACTGCAAAGATATTAATGGCTGCCGGCTATGAATGCGAGTGTCGGGGCCTCACCTATGTCAAGGGCAAAGGGAATCTAGTCACTTACTTTGTAAAGACACCATTCGATGGAAAATTATAATTATGTGCGCTCACCTTGAGTCAGCAATTGATGTTAATATAGAGAAATACATAAATATCATATAGTAAAAATTAATTACTTAGTCTAGCTAAAATATTTTAGTTTAATGCTTTGGGGCCTGTTGTTATTTATTCAATTGGCTTTTGTTGTGTTATTTTAGTTTTAAAGCAATTGAAGCATTTACAATACACGCACGCAAAAAAAACAGTTTCTTTAGTTAGTTTAGTGTAAAAATTATAAAACGCAAGCGTTTTCAACTTTTTGATTAAGCCGTTAGCAACAGTACTAGTAGCTCACTTAAACAGCGAATAGTCATACATACATTCATACATACAAGGTTTAGTGATTCTAATTAATTTATATAAAAAAAAAATAAATATTATTAACCAATCAAACAAAGCAAATGCAAATTAGCCCACCCAAAAAAAAAAAAAAAAAAAAACAAATCAACTAATCCTACATATGAATGTATATGAACAAAGGTGCAACTGAAATTAGCAAATACAACAAATGACTACTCAACCTCCTATACAAGACAGAATGTAAAATAAATATTTTGGCAGCCTCAAATAATTTGACCTGAAATTTTGAGAAGTTGACAAACGTACCTAAATACAAACTAAACTTCGAATTTAGAAGTCTACCGCTTACCATCTATAAATAAATACATATATAGTACATACATAGATGGAAATCTTCAAAAAATGCAATAAAAGTAGGGAGTTTTGTTTTGCTTAATTTTTCATTAAACAGCGAATATACGGATTAAGTATTATTTACTTTTCTTATTTTCCAAAAATTCGCTCTAATATTGCACAAAAGATAACAACAAGCACATGAAAAGTTACATTTACAGTACTTTTATAGTTTACAAACTTTTTAAATACTAAAACAAATGTTATATATTTTTCTACTAAACTTAACCTGTTGTAAGCCTCAGCAAACTATTTTACATTTTGTATTCAAACTTTTTACAACACAAACACGTAAATTGCTATCACAAAATATTTCTCAAACTACCATTGTTTTATACAAATTGTATGTAATCCGTAGGTATACGTAATCGTACATATCAACACAACTATGTACATACAATCTGTATATGCAAAATAAATCATCAATTACAACACACTCTCAACAATCTAATAATTGTACGTTCATACTCGTATATATATAAAGCATATTGAATAAAAACATATAGAAAGCCTATTTATGTTCATCACAGGATAGTATTAATCAATCAACATATGTATACTATATGTACATTTTAATAATTGTTCGCCTACCTTTGGAAACAAATGCATTATTGTTATATTTATTAAACTCAAACTGCAAATAAAGTGTTTAACTTCAATAAATGATGCCACTGTATATTCCACGTTCCTGTGAATCAAATTATTATTTGCAGCAATGCTGGCTGTAAGTATATAACCCTTTGGTAACAAAGTAATAATAGCAATACAATTTACTAAATAGTTTAGCTACTTTATTCATTGGTTATATTCGATTAGTTAACTAAGTATAATTTAAGTTTTTTAATAAATGCAGTTACATTGAAGATATGTTGACCCAATCGGATGAACTACCAGTGCTCAAGCCGATGAAATAGTCTAGTTCGATATCTTTATGTTTGGGCTATCAGGAAAATTATCGATTGCAAACTTTTGCATAATTTCTGAAAATACGGCATCACGCAAATAGTGAATTAAGCACTTTGGCAACGCCAACCGAATGCTTGGCACAGAAACCCAAACATAAACATAGGATTTGGTAAATAAAACGAAAGGTGAAACGACGCTAGCCATGGACAAGCTGACAACAATAAGCGCTACGTTGTTTATGGCTGCCGATGTCTTTGCCATTGTAAGCTTGGCTATGCCCGACTGGATTATCACTGATGAAGCGGGAGAAATTCGACTGGGCTTGATGTGGACGTGCATGACGCTCTACAACCGACCACAAGTATGTTACACTCCCGATTTGCAGCCAGAGTGGCTAATTGCGCTCGTCTGCATCTTTATTGGTTGTATTTGCATCACGACGACAGTCATACTGTTGGCGGCGAGCACTTGGGATCGAAATGTTATTCCCTACGCTCGCTGGGTGGGATTCGCAGCAATGGTGCTGTTTTGCTGCGCTGCTGTTGTTTTCCCACTGGGCTTCCACATAGAGGAAATCGGCGGACAAGCCTATCAACTACCAAACAGTTTCAAAATCGGCATCTCATATATAATGTTTGTGCTGGCCCTTTGGATAACTGTTGTGTCTGAACTGTTTGCGGGAAAGGTGTGTCTGCCACACTTTTAGAGCTACTCTATAATTTTATGAAAAATTTAATAAGACCAGAAAAATCATTTAAGGATAATTAATTACATGTTCTGTGATTTTAAATCGAATGCATTAAATGTCAAATTTCCCAGAATCTATTAAGTTTAAATCTTGCATGAAATATTCAACATATACATAGATAAAATTTAAGGCTAGTTTTGTTTTACATGAATATGACTTTAATATAGTACATCAGGTTATTGAATAAATTAGATTAAGAGCATCAGTAATCATACATTTTCAGTGATAAGTTGCTGAACGGTGTACAACATTACGTTAAATGAAAAAAGCAGCATAATTGTTATGCAAAGTAGCCAAATAGTATTCGAGTTTAATGCAAATGTATGTACACACAGGACGAGGCGTACAGATTCCACACAGCATTCTATTCTTCTTTTTATCAGCGATTTAATAATTCTTTATTGCAACTACGTGTATTTCCAAAGAAACAAATATATGCATATGTATTTATTATTTATCAGTAAATGTTTTTAGTGCTTTGAAAACGTAAAACCTTCTTTATTAACAATATATTTACATCCCGCGAATTGGTCTAATCATCATTTGCATAAATACATATTTTTTCCAGACCTGATCCATGTAATATACTCCATCAGAATCGTATTCACCATTCAGAAAACTAAAAAGAAATATTATTAAAAAAAAAACCGGTTTTGTAATTTATTTAAATCAATATTATACTTACAAACTACCACAACCGCTGTACCACCAGCCTCCTTTATATTTTCCGGCGCAATTGGATGTAGGGGACATATCATTGTCAGAATCGTATGTGGAAAAGCTCATATTTAAACTGTGTACCAGGAGTTTTCCAAAATTGCCCGTGTGAGTTCCCAGATATTTCAATTTATACTTTACCGACTTGCCGCCAATTTCAAAATAATCATATCGAGCATACCTATATATGTTGTTTTTATCATTCAAAACGATATAAAGTTCGTGTTTTTGGGATTTTGTCATACGGTACAAATTTTTTAAGCCAATAAAAAAATTGCCTTTTAAATCGCCGAATCCATTTTCATAATCAAACCAGGTATTGTTGAATCTTTGACTTCCATTTACACGACGTTGAATTACTGTCCAGCCAGTACCAGCATATGTCGAATCGCATATCACTCGAATGGTGAGGATATCATGCACCTCTAATTTCTGAATTTTATTCGAATGTGGAATGGACAAACAGCTATTTGGCAGATTGGATTGTTTTGGTCGATTTTGATTGAGTTTGTTCTTCTGGGTAATATTAATACCCTTTTTTTCTTTGTTTGATTGGATGTTTGTACAATTGTTTAACAAAATTTGTAATTGTGTAACATTTGATGATAGACTAGTTTTTATATTTCTTAATTCTGTTATTTCATTTTCCATATTTCGCTTCTCATCTTCTATTCGATTTAGTGAGGAATTTAATCGCGTAATCGTTGATTCCAGGCCAGCCCGTTCTAACTCATAATTGTTGGACTTTTTTTTTAAGAACTGAATAAAGGTTTCCAGTTGGTTAGTTTTATTTTGAGATTTCTCAATAATGTCGTTTTTCTTTGCCAGACTATTGTTTAATTCCCTTAACTCATCATTACACACTTTATTTAAATTACGTTTTTCTTTTAATATTGATTCACAGTGTGTTAATTTGATTTCTTGGTTCTTCGTGGTGTTTGCGCAATCACTCACATTTAATTTTAATTTGGTTATTTGATTATTTAGAAATTCAATATTCGATGCCAGGTCAGTCCGTTCAGAATTATATTTATTTATTGTTCGTCGTAGGTCCTCAATATTATTTTTCTCGTTATTAGATTTTCGTTCTTGTAATATTTTTAATTGATTGTTGCATTTTTTTAATTCACCATTATTTGACCTATATTTTGATTCCCAGTCTGCTATAATTTCTGCGCTCTTCTTGATATTTAAATTTAATTGTGTCATTTGATTGTTTTGACTGTTTATAATTGTGCTACAAGATGTAATATTGCGCTTTAAGGACTCAATATCGATTCTCTGACTGTTACACGTGTTTATATTGATAGCGTTGGACCTGGTTATATTTTGTAATTCCCGTATTTTATTATCTTTTTCCCGAATAATGCCTTCAGACGATGCAAAGTTACGTTTACTTTCATTCAATTGAATTTCTTGTTTCTTTATCTGCTTTTCCTTTTGTTCTCTGACTGCTTCGCAGGATGATATTTTCGATAATAAAACAGAGTGGTCAGATTCCTTTTCTTTTATCGTGTTGTTGAGGGACGCCATAATGTCTTTAAGTACCCCCATACTTTTTTCTTGATCCATGGATAATCTGTTACACGATGTAGTATTGTACTTTAGCTTTTCAAGTTGAGCTTCCGTATTGTTAACAGTAGCCTCTAGAGAGATTATTTTGGTTTTCAGGATCTGCATTTCAGTTTTGGTGGTCGGATGAGCGTCTAATATCTCTTCCTGTGTTCTGTTAACAGGTTGCTGGTTAGCTTCAGTAGTGCTGACTTGAAGCTGCTGTTTCAGGTTCTTTATAATGGAATCTTTTAAATTAAGTTCACCTTCAATTTCTTTAATCTTTTTCTCGTGTTGCTTGCTTATCGAGTTATACAGGCTTGTTTGAAAGCTTAATTGTAACAATTGATTTGATTTTTGTTTTATTATGTTTTCATAGTTATCTACTTTGAATTGAAGTGCTTCGAGCTGGTTTTCTTGGTTTTCATTATTGGATAGCATGTTTAATTGATTAGGTTCAGTGGCTGTCGAGTTTACCGGAACTTTTGTTTCAATTGGTATTGAACGAGCATGGCAACTCATAAGATCTTTGTGTACCTCATCCAATTGTTTATCCCTTTCTCTAATGATATTTTTCATCCGAGTCAATGTAAGTTGTAAACTTTTCAGTTCTCGTATTTTAAGGTTGTTATCTTTTTCATTTTCTTGTAATTCTGCAATCTGAATTTCATTATCTGTTGTGCGTTCCTCGCATGAATCAATTTCAGTGGTTAGCTTAGCTATCTTATCTTCTCCGATTTTGTTCAAATTTAAAAGTTGCATATTTTTTTCACTCAATTCCTTTATTTGATTATCTTGAATTTTCTTTACATCATGATACAACCGGCATTGATCAGAAATGTGTGATGAGTCCATGTTAGCATTTCTTTCTAATCGAATTTGCGATTGCTGCGATCCCTATGAAGAATGATAGTGATTAAAATTAATGCAAAGGTTTATCATATTCACGTGCCCCACAGCGATAAAATTTAAGCAAACGGCCGACAATGCCGTTGCCAATGGTGATGGTGAACACCATTATCCTAAAATACAGATAATAAAGAGATCTCGAAAGATATTTAAAAACGAGTGTATCCTTGTTTGGACTTGCATTTTTATACTAGGTTGCGTAAAGTGAAAAACATAGCATGATCAGCATGACAAGACGAGTCGATTTAGTCTTGTCTGAGTATCTGTCCGCCCGTCCGTATTAACACCAAAATCTCAGAGACTGTAAGAGCTACAGAAACCAAATGGCTTATACTATATGTACGTATACGCATGTGAGAGTTCCGATATTGCTCTCGCCACTAACTTTTTTATGCCGTCGAGGGGGCTTTGAGATATAGCAGCTCGGGATACCAAAGTTGGCATGTTCAACTGCTATGATAATGAATTGTACAACAAAGGTTATTTTGGTTGAAAGAATGTACGATGATATGACCTTAACGTTCTACTCTTTCCCAAGAGGAAACTCTGTACTTAGCACTCAACATTGCTAGCTATACTTGTATTTCCAAATCTAATTGGTTTCAAGTTCATCTAAGGCCCAACATTTGTGTGCAATCGCGGTATTCAAACACACTCGTAAATAGGTACATACATCTATTTATGGTCATACATATGTATGTATGTAGTGAAACAAATGCGTAGGGATTTATAAGTGCAATAACCATTTCCTTAATGTTAGTCCACACGTGCCTCATGTAAATTACCAAATTGTTCATTAAAAAACTACTTTTGTGTCAACTTTATTTCACTACTTCAAACATCATCAAAAACAGAACATTTCTCAAGAATCAAATGCCACGTGGCGTTCCAACTGTACCATTATTTCTTTTTTCAACTTACTAATACGATAGTGTTGGATTCTCCAATAGTTAGGAGTACCATTAACAACAAAATATAATCTCTCTTAATCATATTTTAATCTTGGCGATTCATATATTCTCACGATTCGAAATCTCCCTTTCAATCAATCATTTACTTTTATCGATTTATTGTATAATAATTTAAATTTACACAATTCACGGAAGAAGAAGAAGTAAAGATTATACTGTATTAATATCCACATTCGAGAAAACTCTAAACATTCTCTGTCCGAAGCTCCCAGCATACTAAGAACATAGCTGCAACTTATTAATGTTATAATAAAAAAGCGTTATGCCAAATCACGTTTTATGAATGTACATATGTATATACCAAATAGAGTGTTCTATAGAAGCATTGTTGTTTTAAATTCGCTTTAGCTTGATTTGATCGGAACCATGTTTTTATACTCTGTACATAAAATGTACAAGAGTATATTAGGTTTGCGCGAGCTGAAAAATGTAACAGGCAGAAGGAGGCGTGGCAGACCCCACAAAGTATATATATTCTTGATCAGCATGACGAGACGAGTCGATCTAGCCCTGTCTGTCTGTCTGTCTGTCTGTCTGTCTGTCCGTCCGTCCGTCCGTATGATCACCTAGATCTCAGAGACTATAAAAGCTAGATCTCGCCTATATCTCGGAGACTATAGGACCTAGGAAACCCAAATTAGTCCAAGATGCCTTGTGTGAATACGCAGAAAATGTATATTTTGGAATTCGAATACCGAGAAAGGTAAAATCGATCAAATTTTTTTTAATTTTCTTATTTTTTTTTTTCTATAATTATTGTAAGCATATGTACAGAGTATTTCAAAGTCGGGACACCCGACTTTAGCTTTTTTACTTGTTTTTACAATTTTTCTATTACCATTACCTGCTATTTTTGGTAAAATGGTTTTGTTGTTCTTAAATGCCTTTAAGTCTGGCGCAAGAAAGCAGGAGAGGTAAATTGATTATATGGAATCATTCAGATTTGGTATCAGCCAAAAGGAGGTAAGGCAGACCCCAAAAGAACATACGAGTATATTCTTGATAGAAATTACAAGTGACAAATGTCCAACAAAACTGCAAAACATATGTATTTATGGACATACTCGTACACATAGTTCGAACTACAATAAATTATGTTTTCAAACTTGTAAAAAATGGACCAGTCTAATGCTTTTGGCTGTTAGAGTTGTTGATAATATCGGCGCTATATATGTACATATGTGAATGATTGACGTCACATATTGACGTCCCATATTTTATTTCTGAGCTCATATGTATAACAGGCTTTGCATTTGCTGATAAACATTTTTAAAAACTATATTCGAGAAGTATTTTATGACTATAATTTGAAAGAAAATACGTTGGAGGCTTTGTTCTTGTGAAACAAATATTACATAAATACATCTGTACCGTTCATATTGACAAACTCCCTTCCACAAAAATAGAATGCTTTTAAACTGCAGCTACTTAGAAGGAACCAATACTTATGTATAAGCTTTTGTGAAGACATGCTTTAAAATTATAAACTATAGCGGGATTTTAGAGATAATTTCAGCAAAATATGCATAGTATCTACTTTATCCGTGGGGAACACTATTTGCGTAAGCAATGGGATAATAAATAATGCGGGTAGAGCCAATTGCTTTATATGTATATACATATAAACACATATATAAATACTTTTTTTTCCATTTCTGTTTCAAATTTCAGTTCATTTCTGTTGGTGCCAAGCTAATACGCAACAAAGAAGTCAAGTACCTCACATATGTGCTTAAGTATCATCTACATGTGGGCATGTGTAGTTATGATATTGAAATACGAGATCCCATTTCTACATCAGGGAACGCATGAGCGTTCAGCCATACATAAATGGTCCTCTGTCCGAATAAGCAGCATGATTTTGTTTCGGTTTTAGTTTCGTGGTTTGGATATACATACATACATAAGTAGTACATCCGCGAAATAGAATGTCAATATTTAAAAGTGTTTCGTTTATTCATGAATGCCGACGATCTAAAATCAAGTTAATCCAAAAATAGGTCTCCCTGTAGGTAAAATCAAAACAAATCACATACAATATGCATACATATTTATTGTTAATCTTATACAAAGTATGAACTTAGAAAATAAAGAGGTTCCACAGTTTACATGCGGACCTTGGGTGTATATTCCAAAGACAAAACTAATCTGGGTTAAAAATCACAGAAGTACTTTTGTACAATACATAAATTATCAAATAAATAAAAAACAAAGATAATGCTAATAGATATACACATACATAGGGAGTAGGAGGTCTAATTCAGTGATATCCGTGGACGCCTAGAAATGTGGCAGACACACCTTGCCCGCAAACAATTCAGACACAACAGTTATCCAAAGCGCTAGCACAAACATTATATATGAGATGCCGATTTTAAAAGTATTTGGCAGTTGATAGGCTTGTCCGCCGATTTCCTCTATGTGGAAGCCAAGTGGGAAAACAACAGCAGCGCAGCAAAAAAGTACCATTGCTGCGAATCCCACCCAGCGAGCGTAGGGAATAACATTTCGATCCCAAGTGCTCGCCGCCAACAGTATGACTGTCGTCGTGATGCAAATACAACCAATAAAGATGCAGACGAGCGCAATTAGCCATTCTGGCTGCAAATCGGGAGTGTAGCATACTTGTGGTCGGTTGTAGAGCGTCATGCACGTCCACATCAAGCCCAGTCGAATGTCTCCAGCTTCCTCGGTGATAATCCAGTCGGGCATCGCCAAGCTGACGATGGCAAAGACATCGGCGGCCATAAACAACGTAGCGCTTATTGTTGTTAGCTTATCCATGGCTAGCGTTGTTTTCACCTTTCCTTTTTATTGTCAATTTTATGTTTTTGTTTCGGTTTCTGTGCCAAGCAGTGGCCAAACAATAAGTTGGTGCTGCCACTGTGCGCAATTTACATTCCGCGAGCTGCCACATGTTTAGCTAATATTGGAAGTAGATCCGTGAACCAGTTTGAGCTCACTTGCTGCTCGCTAGTTCTTTCACTGCTCGTGCAAAAACTTAAACTTAGTCCGTTAGATATATGAAAATATCCTCGAAAACAGTAATATGCAAATACATTTTATACCATTTTTTATACCAACTTCAATACAATACATTTTATACCATTTTTTATACCAACTTCAATACAATAAAAAACCGATGACCAAACTTTTTTTTATAGTATTTAATATAAAAACATAAAATCCAACACAATATCGAAAATATATGTATGTATGCATGTATGTCAATAAAACGGTGCAAATGAAAATAAAACAATACAAAATTAATTAGTTAAAACAATCACATTATTAAACAAATAACAATAAATTGAAAGTTTTTGGTGATCGCAGAAATTAAAAAAAAAAATGCATAAATATTTATTTATGTGTGGAAAGTATTTTGTTAATTGGAGACTTCAAAGAAAACAAAAAATTCGAAAAAATACATCTTTTTAAACATTTAAGAAGTTTGAGAGCCTCATTGCGTGAAGTGCAATTAACTATAGCATACTTATTTGGAGAGCCACCGGCAATAGGTTTTCAGTTAGCGCAACAACCAACAACACGAATATCTATGTATAGAGTGCACGTTATTAATAAACTTGAAAGCCAAGTGTATTTGAATGACACCTGCAAGCTAACTACCCCATACATCCGTCAACCACGCACGAGGTCGGCATTTGGTTTAGCCAAACCATAATAACAATAAAAACAGCTATTGGATTGCAACGACTGACCGACCCCGTTGAGCCACGTTAACAACATCCTCACAGGTGACGTGTCCTTAGTCCCTGCTCCTTGCGTGTACTCGTATGTGTGTGCGTGAGTTAAGTACAAGTATCAGAACTCCGATATCTGCTGAAAAGGCAAACGTTTGTTATTCTTTTTTAGCCTTTCAATGCGCCATAATTGCTGGGGCCTGCGCAACGTTAACCCTTCGTAATTTCTGTAGCTGTCGCAGTCGATGAGGAGGCAAAGCGACTGCGAAGCTACCGCAACTGCCCACAAAGTAATAAATATAATCAACTAATTGGCATTGCACTCATTCAGTTTTCGGTTGTGCAACTCAAAGCTCCTCCACTTCGCGCCGACAGTGTCGGGTTACGTCGCGACAGCGTGAGTCTGAGGGCTCTTGTGGGATGTTTGTTTTGTTTGAATTCCGATTTGTTTGTTGTCGGTGCCAGCAGCCACCAAGCGCAGTGCACCAAATTCGGAATAAATTCTGTATTTTGCTTCATCGTCAGTTTTCATTAGATGGGCAAATGAAAGCGCCGCAATAAAAACTAAAAAAAAAAAACAAAAATAAACAAATACGTTGGATATACAGTAGGCCAAGAAAATACATACATTTACTTGGACATATGTAAAAAAATTTTTGTTCTTGATTTCTTCGTATTTTTTTTGGAGCATTTAATAGCAATATGAAAAACTTTTAACAAAGTCGAGCAATAACTTATATTTAGTAGTTTCTTAATATATAATTAAATATTTAGAAATGACTGAAACACATTTATTATGTGAGCCTAAGTTGCTTTCGATTTTGACATGGTGAAAACACTTTTGGAAAGTGTTCATAAAATATTCCATGTCCAATTCAAGTTAATTTTTTCTGTGCCACTTCTATGATCAAATTCGATCGTTTAAGTGGTTGAAACAGATTATAATTTAAACATGTCGCTACTACAAATTTTGGAAAATTTTGAAAAAAACATGATTATAAAAAAGAAAAATGCATAATTCAATCAACAAACAATTTAGTTTTTTTGCCAAATGTACCTTTTTGGTTTTTGCAGTCGGGTCGAAAAAAGTAAAGGAAATTGAATCATTGTGAAAGGATGACGTGTCCTGTTCCAATAAGTTTTTGCATGCACAGCTAGTTACAAGAACAGGCTACAAGATCAGAATGGGGAACAAGCTGACGCAGCTAAATAAAGTTGCGATTACATAAAGACAACACTCATACACTCGTATTCACAATTCTTTGAACACTTTAAACCCAATGAGTTCCCAGTACTTAATCTCAGTTCGTTACGAGAAGTGCAACCGCGCAGGCGTCAGTGTTAGTCTCAAATAAAATTATAAGCACATAAATTAAAATTTTTTTAGCTTAATATTACTCAACTTACTTGCTCAGTGGTTATCGCACTTACACATATACACAAACAATCGACCCACAAATATGATATTTAATGTAAACATTTAATTTTTCCTATATAACCAACGACAGAGCGCGCCAGTAATTGCAGTTGAACACTAGACCTTGAGCGGTTTACATCCAATGTCCGCGCAAACGGAGCAGGAAATAGAGCTGAGCGCAAAGTAAGTAGGTCCCAGGATTTGTTTTTTATCCCAATCATGCAAGGATTGCTCCGTTTTAGGGCGCTGCTGCTTCAACAAAATAAAACTGAAATAAATAGCCTGAAGGGGCGCGACAGCGCCGAAGCAGAGCCAATAAGCTCAGCCTCGCCTGAAGTATTGGACAGGAGCGAGGATAAGCCACTAATGCTCGAGGCCAGGCACACGCTTTCTATGTAAGTATAGAAATAATTATCATTAGAACTTAATCAATTTTCATCAATCAGAAATATTAATGAACACAATTTCTAATGACGAATGAAATATGTTGAAAGTAATGCATCTTTCTGCTCTTAGCGCCGAAACGAAAAAGCGGCGTGCTAGTGTCTACTCCAGCGAGAGTTTATTTATACCCAAGGAGCTGGCCCGATCGGAAATTAGCTTGCGGAAAAAGGGGCGCTACACAAAATTTAAGGCGATGAATAAAAATGAATGTTCCATCCGCATGCTGAAGTTTCCCGTTTTATCTGGTCGAGCCCGCTTGGTGGCAAGAAAACTGAGACAGAAACAAAGACCACAATTAGTTGGTGAATTTGCTTTTAAAATGGAGAATAATAGCGGAGTTAAAGCAACCGGAGAGCAAATGATAGGGTTCGAAAATAATACGGACGCCAAATACACACTTAGCTCTCCATTGTTGCGCAGTATGCCCGATTTGAATGCGGAAATTAATAAAAGCCCAACGGATGGGCAGTTGAGTAGCGACGATGAGATAAGCATTGTGTTCTTTGGCATCGTGAAGAAAGAAAGCCAGGAACTCTCGCCATGCGAAAACCGGCTAAACAATGCATTGGAAATTAGGTATGTCAACATATAATTTGATTCTCAAATTGACTAACTGTAACGTTTAAATTTACAGCAAGGAAGAGCCGAGCAGCCATCATGATGGGATAATCAAAATAAACAATTTCAGTTGGCACAGTCCTCACTGCTCTGATGGTGAAATGAAAATGGGCATTTTAAAGGACTTGGAAAAGTTTATCATGCAAAACCATGAATCCAATATGGAAACTTCAACCATCTCTTTAGATGGGGGGGAAGAGACAGCTCAGGATCAAGTGAAAGCCAAAGAGCAGCAAACTGAGAACATTAGCGACATATTATATTCAATACTTCAAACGGGTCAAAGTCAACTGGACAAGGACTCTCAGCCGACAACATCTTGGACGGCAAAGTTGCAGCAACAGCCACCGAACGTCGACCAACAAGAAGCAACAGTTGAACAACAAACTTACCTAGAACTGCAACATCAATCAACTTTTTTCAAAGAAAAAGAACAGTACTCGCCATACTCGCTGCGGCAACAATCAAATATGGAAGCACGAAGCTCTGTGCCCATAAATCAGTCGAGAGACGAGCCTAATCTCCAAGTTTCCAATGCGACCATACTTGCCGAACTGCCCACAGTAGCAGCAATACAGACGCCTTGTCAATCGGAAATAATGCAGCCAGTCGATTATCCCGTAATGTATAGTAACCAAATGCTGCAACAATCTTGCGATAAAGGGACAGAAAATATGCCGATCACAAACCAACAGCAACAGCAATTACCGGAAACAACTTATTCTCCAACTGTCAGCTCTACGAGACTGTCCCAAAATATGCCCATTCTACAGCAGCAGCAGCAACAGTTGCAACAACAACATATGCAGCAACAAGCGTTGCAACAGCAACAGTTGCACCAACAACAGCTGCAACATCGACAGTTGCAGGAGCATCAGTTGCAGCAAAAGCCTCAGGAGCAACTACAACAACTTCAAGTATATTACCATCGCTTGAAGTGCCACAAACATGAGCAACTGAAGCAGCTAGGAGCAAGGCAGACCAAGATCTGTGCAGAGCGCGAAGAATGTGTGCGCAGGCATGCGGAGGAGAAACGCTTATACGTGTCCCAATTGGAGAAATTCAAACGGAATGAGGAGAGCTTGCAGGCAGAAAAGAAACGCTTAGAGACCAAAATAGAGAGGAAACTGAATCATTTTGAGCAATTAATGAAGCAACAATTTTGTCAGTTGCAGGAACAGTACAGAGCGCAACAATACCAGCAATGGAGACAGTCTCAAGACCAATACCTTCTGCTGCAGCAACACCACAAATCCATGACATTAAGACCGGAACTAAATCGCAGTGCTTGTGTACCACAACAGCCAACAGAACCGCCTCCATGGTATCAGCGACCATATCAGCAATGGTGTTCAGACCTTGGAACTGTCATTATTCCAGATCAGCGACCCTACAACCACCCTACCTTCTGCCCAGCCAATTGTCCAGGCTCATTCCCATCCGTTCCAGGCTTAACACAAGCAGCAGTCGCCCCATCTCAGTGTCCACCTACACCAGCCCATCCACAACATTTAGCGCCCATGACCGTAGAATCGCTGCCCAGTTTTTCGCAATTGAATTACATACGTCAGAGCAATATGGGTCCACCACCAACGAAATCGCGATTGTCAACCAAGCCAGAGCCAACGCTTAAGCCATTGCATCCACTTCAACCTCCTCCTCTTCAGAATCAACGCAAAGCATCCGGACCAGTTCCAACTAACAATCGTATCATGCGACGGCGGCACACCATCGACCACAGGGCGCACAGCGACCTTCTCCATCTCTCCCAACAGTCCAACCACCTGCAGCATCAACCGACCAGCCAGACCCCACAGTTAAGAGCATTAAATCTGAGTACGCATATATCTAGCCCTAATGACTATTTTAAACGGCCAGACCCCACTCCACAGAATGGTCACACTTATGGTCAGAGAAATATCGGACCATCAATGATATAAATCATAAGCATCAGTATTGAATCTGTTGAATTAGTCGGCCCCCCAATATGCTTCCATTAAGAAAAATACGGACCTTCTTAGATTTTGTAACAAAATGGGGTGATTAAAATATGTGAATGTTTTTGTTTGAAATCCAAAAATAATGGTTATATATAATATTTTACAAGTTTCTAATTTTAATTTAAAAAACAATCCTAATTTGAAAAAAAAAAAAATTCGAAGGCCTTAAGAAAACTAGAAAATTTTAAATAGATTATTTCTCAAATAAAATTTGTTTTCGAATTTTCGTACCCGTATGGTCTCCAATCAGCTTATCCATTTCGACTACTGTGCCTACTTTCGAAATGGATTGAGCAATTGAAACAAATCGCACCTATACTTGAAATCATGTTTTTTTGATATCAACGATGCTTTATTAAGAAATGATACATATACTTGTACATATATAACAGGTATTAAAATGCAAAAACTTTAAGCTAGCTCCATAAATAAATAAAAAAAATTTAAAAGGAGGAGGATAATACAAGTATTGAATGAGATAGTCACGTCAAAGCACTTTCAAAGTTTAACATGGCTTTAACATTAACATAACATAGATTTGACTTTTTTTGTGGAAAAAGTAATTAAATAGATTAAATAGATCTTTGCATAAATCTGCTGAGCAAAATAATTGCTATAATTGAACCTGATCGTTTACGTAAGTTATATATGCTCCTGTCTGCTGCACAGATTACTTAAATAATAAAAAACCAAGGCTTGTAGGACCATTTAACAATTAAGATGCAGGTGCTGCAGCTTTAAAAAAAAATGATTTCATTTTGTGGTTCAATACTTATCCTATACATCTTGCCCAGACGATATAAGTACAATTGGTAAATGGGTAAATAGCTCTAAAAGAATGTAATTACAAGAATCGTCTTAAAAAGCTCTCATGCTTTTGCAGATTCTTACCTCCATATAGACGGACGAACAGACAAATATATCCAAGGTGACATTCCTGCCCCATTCGACTACTAATGAAACCCAAATAATGCTGCCGTTGTAATTTGTTCAATATATATAATCATGTGGACATATATAGAATTGTTACTTTTGGCGAATTAATAAAACAATACATAAATAATTATCAAGTTTTGTAATTTTTCAGTGCAATATGAAAGCGCGATTACGCATAGATGTAGATTTAAAGGGCATCTTAATGCAAAACGCAACAACAATTGATAATATAATTAAATAACAGAACAGTCTAATAATTTGTTAACAACGCCTGCTGCCTTTTGCGGGATCACTTAAAAAGTTATTTCGGATCACGACACGATTTATGAATAAATTATGACCTTCTGTATATTATATAATCCAAAAAATATTTGCTTAGATTAAGAGGGACTCTCGAGACATATAGTACGTACATACCCGTATATAAACAATTTGACTGATTACATTTGTTTATCAGCACCAACAAATTTCGAAAGTGAATCACCATGGACTGTGCTGAACTTTTAATTACAATACCATGAAAAGGCTTTAAAAACATTTGATATTATTGCAAATAATTATGTTAACTCGAAAGAGAATTATGCCAATTTTATTGGAATTAGTATTTTAAGCTTCCTGGGGGCACACTTTTTGGGTAGTATTAGTATTAGTATTCAATAGCATAACATATAGTTGTATGTATAGTAATGTTGCATATGAGAAATACATTTAAAAAACAACATCCCTCTCCCAAACATTCCAGAGAATTTGCGAGCATTTTGTATGTATGTACTATATATAAACAATATTTCCTTGTACTAACATACATATATACATAGAATTTCTGTATATCATGCCGTTGCTCAAAATGGGAAGCATTGTTTTTGAGTAAAAATCTGGCGATAGTACGCTTTCAGCGGCTGATCGTGGAAGTTCAACACTGCTTAAAAAGAATTATTCAGTTATACTATACGTGTGTATACATATTTATTTTTTACTAAGCTACATTGTATATTTGAGTATATTGCCATGCGCTTTAAAAAAAAATAAATAAATAGATAAAAGTAAAGGTTAATTCAAAATGATAATTGGGTGGAAAAATGTCGCTATTTTGTGGATTACTCTACTGTCTATTGGAAGATCGCTCAATAACGAAACTGAAAAACGATATGACTTGGTGAGTAACGCAAAAATTTAGACATTTTTGACAACAAGTCGTCTTGTCATGTTGATTTGTTGTATAATTTACTTTCTTCACAAAATCTAAACGATTCCATTATACCCTTTCCACCTTCGGGCATTCTTTCTTTTTTACAGAGATCGGAGAAACCACATGATAAAATTGAAGGAGATGCAAAGTCCAAGTTATCAGACATACGAGTAGAAGACCCATGCCACTTATATCATGAGGTAAAGAAAATTCAAGATAATCAAATAAAGGAATTGAGTGAAAAAAATATGCAACTTTTAAATTTGAACAAAATCGGAGAAGATAAGATAGCTAAGCTAACCACTGAAATTGCTACATGCGAGGAACGCACAACAAATAATGAAATTCAGATTGCAGAATTACAAGAAAATGAAAAAGATAACAACCTTAAAATACGAGAACTGAAAAGTTTAGAACTTACATTGAGTCGGATGAAAAATATCATTAGACAAAGGGATGAACAATTGGAAGAGGTACACAAAGATCTTATGAGTTGTTATGCTCGTTCAATACCAATTGAAACAAAAGTTCCGGTAAACTCGACAGCCACTGAACCTAATCAACAGCAACACGAGAAAAAGATTAAAGAAATTGAAGGTGAACTTAATTCAAAAGATTCCATTATAAAGAACCTGAAACAGCAGCTTCAAGTCAGCACTACTGAAGCTAACCAGCAACCTGTTAACAGAACACAGGAAGAGATATTAGACGCTCATCCGATCACCAAAACTGAAATGCAGATCCTGAAAACAAAGATAATCTCTCTAGAGGCTACTGTTAACAATACAGAAACTCAACTTGAAAAGCTAAAGCACATTACTACATCGTGTAACAGATTATCCATGGATCAAGAAAAAAGTATGGGGGTACTTAAAGACATTATGGCGTCCCTCAACAACACGATACAAGAAAAGGAATCTGAGCACGCTGTTTTATTGTCGAAAATATCATCCTGCGAAGCAGTCAGAGAACAAAACGAAAAGCAGATAAAGAAACAAGAAATTCAATTGAATGAAAGTAAACGTAACTTTGCATCGTCTGAAGGCATTATAGGGGAAAAAGATAATAAAATACGGGAATTACAAAGTATAACCAGGTCCAACGCTATCAATATAAACACGTGTAACAGTCAGAGAATCGATATTGAGTCCTTAAAGCGCAATATTACATCTTGTAGCACAATTATAAATAGTCAAACAATCAAATCAAGAAGAGCGCAGAAATTATAGCAGACTGGGAATCAAAATATAGGTCAAATAATGGTGAATTAAAAAAATGCAACAATCAATTAAAAATATTACAAGAACGAAAATCTAATAACGAGAAAAATAATATTGAGGACCTACGACGAACAATAAACAAAACTAATTCTGAACGGGATATTAAATTTTACAACAAAACCATTAACGATCAGAAAAATCAAATGACTCAATTAATAGAATTACAAATTAAGTATGAAAAATTTTTGAAAAATTATCCGAATTGGAATTACACCGACCAGACTTACAACATAAAAAATATCGAAGAGTCTCGGCAAACAGAACAGTTGGCGATATGTAGGAATAATATGAACATTGCTAGCTGTGATGAAAAACTCACGGTTTGCGAAAAACAACGAGAGCGACTGCATCAACGTCTACCAGGGAGCTGCCTATCGTTTCCTTACTCAAATAACATTCACGAAATCGTGTTGCCTGATGGCGACTCTATTCCTGTGAGATGCTACTTGGACTATTTTGGTACTGGCTGGACAGTAATTCAACACCGATATAATGGCAGAGAGGTTTTCAGCAGGAACTGGACCGATTATGAAACAGGATTTGGCTATGTAAGCACCGAATTTTTCATTGGCTTAAGAAATTTGTATCTTATGACAAAAGCAAAAAGACACAAGCTTTACATATTAGTCAGAGACCGAAAGAACAGGTATAGGTATGCTCTCTACGATAACTTCATAATTGGCAGTGAAACAGAGGACTATAAATTGAAATCTCTGGGGAAAAACTCTGGTTATTATGAAAATTTCATGGAACCGAGCTTAAATATGAAGTTTTCTACCTATGATAAAGACAATGATGGTTGGTCTGATGGTAATTGTGCAGAAGTTCGTAAAGGAGGCTGGTGGCACAGTGACTGTAACATTTCGTAAGTACGAGTATATAGTAGAGTTGATTGGAATTGGTCGAAAAGTTAATTTTTTCTTATTTAATTTGTAGTTCTTTAAATGACGGTGAAGCACTCAAAAATTTCCAATCTGTACAAATAATGATAAAGCAGCACGAGCTCTAAACTTTTCCAAGCCCTAATACTAATGGAAAATGAATATGTAAGTTTTATTATTGTAACATTTAAAGAAGCCATTTTTATTTTATTAGTTTATATTAGAAAAAAATTTTTCCTTTTTTTTTGCTAAGAAACGATTAAGTAATTGACTTCGTACATGGCTTCTTTAAATGTTACAATAATACAACTTACACATTCATTTTCCATTAGTATCCATTCCATTAGTACGAGCCCTAATACTAATGGACTTTGAAATACTCTGTACATGTGTAGAATAATTATGTGTGTATGTGTGTGATTGTGTGTGTCTGTGTATGTCTCGTGTGCCTGAGCAAAGCAGTAACAACAACAACAGCTGCGGGCACTGCTTGGTCATACATACATATATGGCTATAACTTCCTGTTAAATCGGTCTTTCATGATGAAACTTATAGCATACAGGGAAGGGAGGAAAATTCCGAGATATGGGCGATTATACGAACTGAAAATCGGGAAAAGCCCCATAGGGGGAAGTGGGGGGAAAATCAAAAAAATAAAACTAACTTGCACAGCGTACACACATAAGGCATCTTTATGCAAAATTTTGTGTCTCTAGCTCTTGTAGTCTCTGAGATCCAGGTGTTCATACGGACAGACAGACAGACAGACAGACAGACAGACAGACGGACAGGGCTAGATCGACTCGTGCTGATCTTTGTGGGGTCTGCCACGCGTCCTTCTGCCTGTTACATTTTTCAGATGTACAGAGTATAAAAATTTACAATTATCATACTATAATGAGATGATAAATTAGTCTTTAAGAAACTCTCTTAAATCTCACACCATTATTATGATGAAAGAGTGATGCTGGCAGGCTCCCCGTATACAAATTCCCCGTCGTTCACTTACATACTCTTAGAGACAAGTGCTAGTTGGGATAAACTCAGTCTTCTAGTTCAAATTTTAAGTACGACTACTTTTAAGGCATACCAGCTACGGACACAAGCCATATATATAGCCTTATTATAATAATGAGGTGCCAAAGGTTTATAAAGATTTAATAAGAAGAATGTATGAGCTTTCTATTGGGGCTCACCACAAGCTGAAATTTCATTAAATGGGAAGGATCTTTGTACCTAAAACTTAAATGCATATCAAGATATACTTGTACTAAGCCAATTTGATATTTATGGAAATCCTTACTATAACCTTGAAACTACGAGTATACGAGAATCATATAGCTCTCATAGGAATGTGTAGTGCAACAAAGAATAATCTCAATGGACGAATGTAGCAGGCATTCCAGAGACAAATAATTCCGGTTTGATTTGATATTGTAATAATGTTAAAAATAAAAAACAAAACAGTTTTATTCATTATTATTTTGCATTTTCCATTGCGCTCACCGCCTCTGATTGCGGGAATTGTTCTTATCGGCTGCGAGGCGCAAAAGACCAGGATGCCAAAAGCAATTGGAGCACCTGGAGCAGTGCCAGTAGTTTCCATTTCCGCATTTCATGCACACATTGCCGGCACAGTGCTGCACATTCCAGTCATCCTTGTTGCGATTCATGCACTTTGGCTTCGGCATTGCTGTTGCACCATTCGCTGTTGTTGCTGTCGATGCTGTGGCTGTTACTGTTGCCCCTTCTGGTGCGGCATCGGCTGTGGCTGTGGCCGTGGGTGGTGGTGATGGTGGTGGTGGTGGTGCCGCCGTTGTTGTTGATTCGACCATGGCTTCTGGCATTGCTGTTGCTGTGGCCGGGGCTCGCAGGCAATCGGTTAAGCTGAGGGATTGCATGGGTGCATAGAACTGCAATGCCAACGGTATTTGCAGTGGTTGCATGGCCTCGCGGCTGCTGTTTTCAGACCTCAGCTCGGTGAGCAGGCAAGGAATGTCGAAGCGCAGCCATGTCGTTGACGGTTGTTGCTGTGGTTGCTGTGGTTGCTGCTGCACTGCCGCTGGTGCTGGTGCTGGCGCTGGCGGTGCGGATGGTGGTTGTGGTGGTGCTGGTTGTCCAGCTGTCGTCGTTGGCAGCATTGGAAATGTGCCATAGAAATAGCCGCCTTGCTCCGACATGGGTATGGGATTCAATAGGCAGGCACAATCCATATATACACCCGTTGGCGGTTGTTGCAAATGCAGTTGAGGCTGAATCTGTGACTGTGTCTGTGACTGTGTCTGTGTCTGTGGCTCTGGCCTTGACGAGCACTGCATAGTGGCCGGCTTGAGCAACGAGGCATTCGAATTGCACTGCAGTGGGCCCGTGGCCTGCGAAGTAAGTGGCAGCGATGAGTCGTAGCAAGCACTTGTTGCAGCCACAGGCACATAGTTGCTGCCTTGTGGCGGACTCGGATTAGTCGCTGGCGGCGGCAACGACGGCAGCATTTGCAGCGTGGGGGCAGGCGCTGGAAGAGGTATGCAAAAACGCTCATTCTGCTGCTGCATAGACATCGCAAAATAATTGCTATGCGGGGGATAGGCCATTTGCGGTCTATACGCGTCCAAATTGAATGAGTTTGGAATGGGTACATTGCAGTCAATGCTGAAGAAGGAAGGAATTAGAGATATATATTTTATAGCATATATTAATAAGCATATTCCCCAGGACCCGTATCAAATTTTTAAATAGCCTGCAACCAGAATTTGGTGATTCTGTATTACAACTGATCTTAAGGTGAAATCTATGAGAAGCTCTTAAGACTATTTCAAAAGATATTGAAAGGAATCTTCAGAGAAGCTGTGCCACAACATAGCTTTTCGCGCTTTTTCTTTGAGGCAGGGATTTTATTTGATTTTTATTTGATTTATACATGTGGAGTTTCAATCGAACTCACATGATATTGTCCAGGGGCAAGAAAAAGCTGGGTCGATAATAGATAGGTGCTGGCAGCAATTTCTTCACATAAGGTCAACCATTTTCGGAGTGGTTTTTCCCCCAACACTCTTACTGATTGGCTTGATGGTAACAATTATTATGTGGAGTTCTTCGATTTATATTATAAACAAGTTTATAGAATATTGCTGTGAAAAGTGAATCGAACTAAAAGCGGAGCCTAAGTAATAAATATAAGTAATCTTCGTCTAACCCGACATAGATGATCATGCTGATTATACATATGTGTACCTATGTGGTCTACCATTATATTTCTTGGCGTTAGAAACATATATATGTACATATAGAATTTTACTCCGATACACTCTAAAATATATAATTGTTTGTTTCTTCCCTCTAAGCTAGTAGAGTACTTGTATGCTTCGGGATAAATGCTTAAGAAGCCCCTCTAATTACCCTAATAATGTTGTATACTGGAAAAAGTATAATAGTTTATACGAGTATGTATATATATATACATATAGTATATATATTCTGTAGTCAAAATTGAGCTATACCTTAGTCCCTCCGGTCGCTCGGTGACGAAGCACATGCCAACACGTGCTGGTTCCATCTCTGGCTCATTGCAAGGCTCTGCAACTCGTAGAGGAGCGTAGCACATATTTAATGGTTGCTGTTGATATGGGGCATGTGGTTGTTGTTGTTGTTGTTTTAATGACTGGCATTGCAATTGTTGTTGCAGGTAAACATCATTCGATTGCACTGGCGTCGATTGATAGTTAATCAGCCTACCCGAGGACGTTCCATGGATGCCATGCTCACCGCTTTCTGTGCAAAACATTTTGCATTCGGCTCAGGGAGTTCACACTAGCGTAGGTTCACTGTACAAGTATTCTGCTTGATTGCCTGCATTTGCGTGGCCAAGGAATGGGTTTCTAAGCTGTGCTCTTGGTTTATATAATTTAGTGCATTTTTAGATCTGACCGGAATTTAATGATTTTTATAAGGGAATGTATTTGAATAAAACAATGGCTTGGCATTGGCTTGCTTTGGTTGAAGAGATATTCTCAATATATTTTCTATATTTAGAGACAAATGAAGTACTATTATGCAATATTAAGCTATTATGTATTAATTTTAAGTGCAAACTTACTCTTAATACTATATATTGTATGGGATTCAGATCCATCATTCTTCGAGGAATAAACACAGCCCATTGTAGCGCTGTATATACAATATATTTACAATAACTAGCCTTAAAATAACTATTAGCATTATTTTGATAAGGATAATCCATTGCTTCAGGCTACAAATTACTTATAATACTTTACTCGAAAAAAAAAAAAAAAAATAATTTACTAACTTTAAAAAACACATTTGTTTTGCATTTAAAGCCTTTGTTTTCTTTAACAAAATATTTTAAATGTTGTAAGTAGACGTTTTAAAAACCTGTTTTTTTTTCTTTCGGATCACAAGAGAAGTGTCAGTGCCAAAAATGCCGAAGATGGCACCCAAAAGTGGTGCGAAGTCTTCCGGCGTAATTGGAACCGAAGAGCAGAATGGAAAGCGGAGCTTCGTAGTCACCTTAAACAAGGATGGCCAGCTCGAAATTAACTCCAAGGCGCAAGTCACTCCAAAGAAACGCATATGCTCTGGATCCTGCACCAGAAGACGCTCGAAAAAGTCATCATTAGGCCAAGGCGAGAGCCAGAATAATATTGCTAATGGGAAGAATGGATCGGAAAAAATGGAGCAAAGAAAATGTCAAGGTTCGGAGGCGCTACATCGATTTATAAAAATCTACAACAAGCACCATAAGCGTCGCATTGAGGCCAAGCCATCGTTCGTGGTTATCGAGGATGCCGCAGAGCGCAAGCGCATCGAGCAGACTCTATATAAGGGACAAAGGGACAGCACCGCATCGCGCTTCGGCATGTGCGATAACATGGCCTGCCAAACCGATGACTATCTGCTGCAATGCGTCAACGCGAACTCACCCCACATGAATCACTTCACCTCGCCTTGGATGTTAGCGGAGCACAAGAAGCACGTCGCCAACATGCAGCTCTTGCGTCGCATGTCACATATTCGGGCCAAGCAAATGGCGGCCAACTCCCACTATTCAATGCAGCCGATGATGAATGTCGAGAATCTGCGGCACATTATTCCCCAACAGTTTATAGCGTCGCGTTCTGGCTCCACAGCCGGACGCTTCGGTCGACGCAAGCCGGCCGGATCGGCTCAGACCAATGTCTGCTCCATGATGATGGGAGCCGTAAATCCCGTTGAGCGCGGAAACAACACATGTCCGAACAATGCCAATGGTAATGGTAATGGTAATGGCAATACTAACGAACAGAATCAGTGTGAATTGGGTTTGAATCCCACCTGCCAGCCACATTGTTCACGAATGTGTTGTCATTGTCCCCTGATGACAGCCAATAAGCGAATGCAGCTGCAACAACAACTGCAACAACAGCTGCAGCAGCAGCAACAGCTCCAACAGAAGATCCAGCAAAAACTCCAGTGTATCTATCAGCAAAAACAGCAGATGGCCACCAACAATAGCACTACGGAATCCCCAGATCTAGCCCAGCAGCGGTCTGTGACACTAACGCCTGTACAGAGCACAGTGCCACAAAGCTGGCTGCAGCTGGCAAACAATAGCAACGGGACTCCAGCAGCAACACCGGCACCAGCGGCAGCAGCGGAAGCAGAAGGAGCGGCCAAAACGTCTGTGTCGTCCGCTCATTCGGGTAATAGCAATGATTTGAATAATCCACATCAAATCTGTCACCAATCCCAAAAAAATGCAATGTCCACTGTTACGGATTTGCAGGCGCAACAACATCAGCAACAAACACAAGAGCAGCAGCAACAGCAGAAACAACAACATCAGCAACATCAGCAACAAGCAGCTGCTGCATGCAGCTATCAGAGCTGCATGAACAGCTGCTGCTTACTCAAGTCAGCCATGCAACAACAAGCGCAGCAACTGAAAGTGCAACAGCAAGCACAGCAACAGCAGCAGCAGCAGCAGTCGCAACAACAGCAACAGGCAGCTGTTGCATGCAGTAATCATACCTGCATAAACAGATGCTGCTTTCTCAAGTCAGCCATGCAGCAACAGCAACAACAAGCGCAGCAGCAACAAGCGCAGCAGCAGCAAGTGCAGCAACAAGCGCAACAGAAAGTGCAGCAACAACAGCCGCAACAACAGCAACAAGCAGCTGTTGCATGCAGCAATCATAGCTGCATAAACAGCTGCTGCTTGCTCAAGTCAGCCATGCAGCAACAGCAACAACAAGCGCAGCAGCAGCAGCAAATGCAGCAGCAACAACAGCAGCAGCAGCAGCAGCAACAGACACAACAAGAGCAACAACAGCAACAGCAGCAACAACAACACTACCCAACAGCAAATCGCAGTGCCTACTACCCAACAATAAATATGGCCAATCACTACAGTCAACACTTGTTGCCACAGTCATCAACGCAGCAACAGCAAGGGTGTCCAGCCGGTTACATGCACGGCTCAATGTCGATGCATCCCATGGGCTTGCCGCGCGGCCACAGCATGCATCAGTGCCTCTACTATCCGGTCTCATCACTGAACATGCCCTATGGCCCATCGCAATGCCCATGTCGCATGCATTCACATCACCCCCATCTTTCGCACCACGGCCTCTACTACAATGTGCCACAACAACAGCAACATGGTTACTATGCAGCCGGCAATCTACGGCGCGGCTATCCGACCATTCGCTTAAAACACAAGACCACTGAGGAGCTGCAGACAGCTGTCAAGACAAGTGGCAGCCTCAAGAAGCTGAGTGATACCGATCAGGATGACGGTAGCCCAGCGACTAACACTGAGATTGGGGCAACTGCATCCCTGCTGACTGTGAAACGTTTGGCCTTGCCGGCGCCCAAAGAGAGCAACGAGCTGGGGACTCTAATGGCAAAGGAACAACGCTCAACCGCCGGCTGTGCGCATTACAAGGCCACTCATGCCGCCTCCCACATCAATGCCAATGCTCTGTATATGGCACGCTTCGGACGCAGCTGCTTGCTATTGCTACCAACAGCTCCCACGCTCATGCCGCGATTGCTGACCAAGCGGATCAGTCGTTATACATCTGTGATGGCTTGGCCCAACAATGACCTGAAAGTGAGAAACCCCTATTCTGTTTTGTAAAGACCTCTTTGACACAACACTCTGAATAAACATCGAGTAGATCCGAACTGCTTATGTTTCATTGCCATACAAGCGCATGTGAATAAATTACAAGAGTGTTGATCAAGAGGGGAGATTACTTATAGATTTTTTGGGATTATTCGAATTTCTAGTCCTTAAGTGGGTTTCAGGAAACGTAGAATAACTAAACCGCAGGCGGAAGAAAGTCTATGAAACCAGCAAGTTGCTGGGCTGAAAATCATCATCATCATTCAGATGTAAAGAAATAACCATCTTTCATCTCTTCAAGTCAGCAGTAAAAACGATAATGGCTAATGACCATTACCCATGGCATATCTTTAATCCACTCCTAATGTACCCCCTTCAAGTGCAATTTCAAAACATACAAGTAATAGAAAGCACGGTTCCCAGACTTTGACTTTTGACTACGGGTCTTACTTTGTTGAATTATTTCGTATAAATACAATTTTCCCGGTTAATAAATAGGACGAGGACCGCTATGTAGTTGTTATCCAGATTGTTCGGAAGTCTAAATATCTTTCTTAGGTTAGACAATTATTATAATATATGAGAACTGATAACTTATATCATACTCAGAGAGCCTACTCTGCAACAATCTCAAATTGTGCGATTCCGGCTAGCTCGTCAAAGTATGAAGCAGGGTTTTTTTCGTATTTTAAGGGGTTGGGTCATTTAATAACTTCAGACAAGGGCGTAGGCAGGAGGGGCTCTCAAAAATATCATTCAATATTATGGCGCACTATTTGCCTTAAAATGACACTGAATTGAATTTCTTTGAAATTTTTCTATTGATCATATGCATAAGGTATTATTTTATAAATGGTATTTTATTAAATAGAAATATAAATTTTGTAGGCCCTCCCCCCTTTGGAAAAAGCTGCCTTCGCCCCTGACGGCAGGTTTACGGAATCAAACCTAGTGAGTGGAGTTAAATGAAATACAAAAAATTAAAATGTTTAAAAAATCTTTATTGATACATTTCGCTCCTCAGGTATAATCTCAAAGATCGTATTTTAAGACTAGTATGTACTATAAACCTATGATCTCTTGTATGAATTAAAACCGTCGCAAGTCGGATTCATACCACACATATGTTGGTCGTTTGGTTGTTGCTGCATGCATGGACATGTCTGGCCACGTATACCACACATGCTATGGGAGGAGCAACTTGGAACATCATCGGAGGTCTGTTGCTGCTGCACCTGTTGCTGCTGCTGCTGCTGCTGATGCTGGTTCTCTTGCCCACGCTGCTGCTGTTGTTGCTGCTGATGCGGCTGCTGCTGTTGCTGCATATATGGACACGGCATACCAGAGATGCCGCAGATAGAAGTAGTACCAGATGATTGCATATCATATGGACTGTACACATTGTTATTCGTATTGAACTGCCGCGGATTAAACTGGCATCCTTGGTGGAAGTACGAGTCCATGGGCTCGATTCCATACTTAGTCACGGTGCGTTGATAGAAGTCGATGGGTATACGAGTATTTTGCAAATTCGATTGTGCCATAGATATATGGGGATTGAAATTACCGCCAGTGGCGCAGCAAATGGCACTCTGTTGCTGAGAATATACCTGCGATTGTGGATACGGCAGTGCCATGGACTGTGATCCTGGCAAGGGTGCTCTGGGATCCAGCCAGTAGTTGCATTCAGAGCAGCTGTTCAGCATCTGTTCCTGCAACTGTTGTTGGTCCATTTCGGAATAGGATTGCTTTTGCTGTTCGTCTGTTGGCTGGTACTGTTGCAGAAGCTGTTGTTGTTCCATATTTGGAATATTTTCCATATTCGCATACGGCATTTGAGAGAAATTGGTTCCCGCGCACGCTTGCAGATAATTATTCATATCGCATGTGGTGGTCGTTTCAATTAACAACGTCTTCTCTATGCCTGGCTGCAGTGCATCATTCTGGCCGAGAGCATAGTCGGGTGCCTTGACACTCACCTCACTCTTCATATTACGCGGTTGCAGCAACATCAGCGTATCCGTTTGTTCCACAGTAGTGGGGTACTTTGGTCGAGCCGAAGATGGTCGTTGGGGCTGAGATTTGGATGCATTGCCCCCTCTCGCCTTCTCCTGCGCCCGTGTCTTTGTGGAGCTAATTGAGGGAAATATATGTTTATATTATTTCAGACATTCTTCTCTACAAGTGCTGAAGCCATTATCATTATTTAACCTTAGAGTCTGAATTTAGTTCATTTTTAAAAAATCGCAAACAGACGAATTAGGCGAACATTTTTAATGACCCAGAACCTATAGTATAGTTTGAAGAACCCATTCAAGTGATTTTACTTACCATGCTGGATCACATATGGCTACCTTTCGACTATTGCATATTCCATTTATCTCTTTCAGATCACAGTTGACCCGAAACGGTACCAGCACCACAGGTTGTTTGTCCAAGCCGCTGGGGAACAAGAAATTATTTGCTAACAATAATAAAACTAGTATGCAACCCAGTGACTAACCAGTTGTTGTCGTTGCTTGGTTCCGTGCAATAGCCCTCCAAATCCGTAAGGAAGCAACTACAAAAGCTTTTCGACTCATTCGCGTTCAAACTAACAAGTTGTATACTGTCGTTGTCCCGTTCGGCCACACTCTGTTCGGGTGAGCTGCAATCGCAGGAGTCAGTTGACGTTTCTGGTGAGGTGCGATTCTGTAGATCGCTGCCCCCCTTTTGCAGCTCATGGGTGGTGCATGGATCTTGTATAAATTCATTGACTACACATGTGTCTCGTCTGAAACGTTGACCCATGCATCGTCCGAAATCCGCCATATCGCTACGTTCCAGCTCTCTATCGATTCGTTGATCGAAACTGTTCCTTTCACTGCAGTCACATTTGCTTTCCTTAATAACGTATACTTCCACATCATCATCGGCGTGCTTATATCTCAGACGTGGCCTATCTGCCGCCTTGGAGCCCAGAGTCCGTTCACTTAGTGGTATGAACTTGGGCTGTGACATCAGCGCTGGACACCGTCGGTTGCAATTCATGTCCGAGTTTAGCTCTGGTATGAGGAACGTGCTGACTTTTTTACCGGTTTTTTTGCCAGCCCGTGTTTTGGCATCGGAAGACGCCACGTTTCGGCCACTGGGGCGTTTCTGTGCTCTCGTATCACCTTTTGATGTTGAGCGTTGGGCAGCGCCCTGTCTGTTGCCGGTTCCCGATCTTCCAGTGGACGCAGTGGGTTGTTGCTTTAGCGCTCCCTCATTCCTTTTATCACCCTGCGAAGTTGATCTTTGTGTTGTGGCTTTGGGTCCCTCCGGGTGAGTAGCAATACTTAAAGTTTCTTCCGTTTGGCTACCGCGGTTCGTTGGCAGTTTGGGAGTCCAGCTTACTCGGTGCGGTTCGTGTTGTGGCGCCAATTTAGGCATCGCAGCATTTGGACCAACCCGACTCATCTGTAGCTGAGGTCTTCTTACTCTATTATCAGGGGACGGGTCTGTTGAATTTTTATGCATCGCTGAAGATGAGGGGCCTAAGTTTGTTTCGGACAATATTTCATTTTGAGAGTTGGTCGCCAATTGACTGTCGGTCTGTGCCCGCTGCGGCACACTCTCTTGTACTCGGCCATCCCTCTGCTGCATATCGTCATCCATGAACATAGACGAATCGCTTTCTTGCGTCACCCTAGTATTGCGTGGCACATGTGGCATATCGTATGAGTCTTGTTTTGGAAGTGGTTCTTCTTCTAACGATGGTGCTGCGAAATTTCCATGCCTAAACTGTTCTGTGGGCTGCGGTCGAAATTGGAGGTCTTGTTGCCACTGAGATTCATCTAAGTTCCAGTTCGAGTCGCATTGACAATCATTACATGTCTCTTCTAGCGGATACGAAAGCTGTGACTGATCCATATCTTCGGGCCCACGTCCAGCACCGTTGTTCATACTGTGTGCAGAATATTCGCCATAGTTATCCCCTGGATAGCAGTTGCAGTCGGTGGGACAAGTCCTAAATTGCGAAGGTGATCTCTGCCATCTGTTTTGATTCTTCTCTGGTAGGGCCAAGCCTTTCGAAACCTGTTCTGATAATCGTTTTGCTCCCTTAAATGCAGACTGAAATAGTCCAGCAATCTTCTCCTGTAACTGTGGTTCTTCTTCCTCGGCACTGCACTTGCAATTGCTGCTGCAAGCTGCCTGTTGCATTGGCGTTTGTTTCGCCTGATTTGCTTTTGCATTAGCTTGTCGCTGATTGCGTACTGGTTCCCTATAATCTGCTCCTGAATATGGGTTATCGTTTCCCCAATTCTGACCGCGGTGCGGTGCCATATTTTGTCCAGTACTATAGCCCATTCCTGAGGTATTGGGTTTTTGGTCCCTTTGCCAGTCTCTATTTGAGTCTACGTTTGGCAACTGTCTATCAAACCGCTCCTGTGGAGCTATATTGTTTCCCCTTGTCGCCCGATTTGGGTTCAAATACATTCTACCATCGTCTGTAAGGCAGCTGCCGTCGGTTTCCCAATCTCCCCGGTATTCTGATGGCTGTACTTCATTCCCGTTCTGCCAACCTATAGCTGGCCACTCATTTGGAGCGTCTCTTTCAAAGTCATTCCGTGGTGCCATGTTGTTTGAGGTTGGCATCTGGCCAGGCTTGCAAGTGCAATCACATTCGCATTCGTCTTCATTCCCAGCTGGCGGCTGCCATTCTCTAGCTGACCGCGTATTTGGAGACTCGCTCCTAGCCCGACCCTGTGGAGCCATATTTCCTGTTTGCATCTGATTCGGGTTAACATTCCTTTTAGCAGCGCTTATTGAATAGCTGCCCTCGCTTGTGCAATCTTTATATTCAGGCGACGACTGTCTTTGCTCGACAGTCCCTTGCCAGTCTCTTGATGGCCACGTGTTCGCTGCTTGTCCTCCAAAGTTATTGTTGCCTTGGCCGTCTTCGTTTTGTGACCTGCCTCTACCAGACCACATGTTCGGTGGCTCCCTTTCAAATCGGTTCTGGGACGCATTATTGTATCCAAATGGTATCTGAGTCTGGTACGAATTCATTCCTTCACATCTGAAATCGCAAGTGTTTGCCGATGGGTGTGTTTGCTCAGCATTTCGCCAGTTTCCGTTTGATGGCCTATCAAAACCACCCTGTGATGCTGTGGTGTTGCGATCTGATATTTGAATACCATTTAAATTGATCCCAGAAAAAGTGGGTGGCTTTCCAAATGGATTCTGTGGTGCCATTCTGCTTTCAGTTGGCCATGTTTTAGTTGGGTTCGTCATACAACTGCAATTCGGCAGACAGCTCTCGGTATTCAAGGACGGTTGCGGCTTGGTGCTGCTATCCCGATCTCGGGCTATAGCATTTGGTGGCTGCCTACTTTTTCTAGCTGTCAGCTGTGGCGCGTTTGAGTTCATCGACCCTGTATCAGGTTGCGCTTGTTGCTGCTGTGACTCACGTTTATTCGGGGGCATTGACTGCATATTTCGCGGGTCCATGTTGCTTTTAGTTCCCATCTGAGTTGGGTCTATGTTAGTCCCTGCCATAGTGAAGTTGCAGCCGCAGACACCTTCTGAGCTTTTGGTCCCCTCTTTCTCCCTTTGCTGCACTGTGCTGGAGCCCCGGGACCACTCTTCTGGCGCCTTCTGCATTCTATTGCTGTTTTTCGCAGTCGAATCGGCCACATAGCTAGACACAGTGCTCATCGGTGGCTGTGTGTTTTGACTCTGCTTTGAAGAAGCTTTTTTTAGAACCCGAATGTTGGACTTGGAGGCATTTTGCTTTATGTCGGTTGAAGATGGTTTGCCTTTGGCTTTCATTGCCTTGCTATTGGATGTGCTAGGCTTTGGCTTAATTGAATTACTCATATCGGCTTGCTCCTTATTCAAAATCGCCAGCTGTGCCAAGGACTGTTTCATAGTGTTAATGCTCCGCCCGACCTTCGACATAGACGTACACTGCAGTGATCTCTTGGATATGGCACTTCCCTTTTTTCCTGCTCTCAACGAAACAAGGCTTTTTGCAGCCGCTGCACTGCTGCCACCTTCTTTGGACTCCGTTGCAGTGTTAGCGGATTTTCCTGCCACACACATGCGCCGCAAGTTGCTCATAGCAGGCACCATGGGTCTCATCATGGCCGCTCCATGCACCACGTGCATTGCTTTAAAAGCCGCTGTATGCACAGCACCCCGCATTCTTGGACAACAGGTACGGTTGCATCTACAATTTCTGAGTCTGCAACACTTGCAACATGACGGTCGCCACTGCTGCATTCTACTCATGCACGGCCTGTTTACTTGTGTGGCACATCGATTGAAAGCCGGCGCTTGACTATGAAAACAGTTGAAGCTACTCATATTTTCTGGACTTGCACAGACGCTGGGTGTAATCTTTGGCTTGGATGTGAGACGGGGTTGCATATTACTCGAATTTGCCGTTGGGCCAATTCCCCGTGGGGTTTGGCCGGAAGAACCGGCGAATTTGTTACAGCTTGTCCGTACGTTCGTAGATTTCTCAGAGAATTTTCGACACAGCTGCGGTCGCTTAGGTGGACAACACTTGCTGCCCAACGTTCGCCAGGAACTTGATTGCAATCGTTTACTGCCAGCTGGCAAGGAAGGACGCTTGTGCAGCTCCACACAACTGCACGGTGTCTTGCCGTTGGGGTAAGGCACACTGCCCGAGGTCTCATTCAGACCGAACTGTCCTTTGCAGTCGAAGGCAACTTTCTCGCTGACGATGCTATTGTCCAGACAATAGACTTTGCGCTCAAAAACCTTACGCACTGGCAGGCCATCCATTGAATTGCAGTTGCACCCATTGCCGATATCGGCGGTATTACACATATCCGCGGCCGGTGCGGATTTCTGTGCTCTCCTCTGGCCAAGCGCTCGCTTCCGCTTTGGCTTGGATGCAGACACCGGAGCTGGTGGCTCATTTTGGCAGCAACAGTTGCCAAAACCGGGCTGAAGAGAGATGCAAAAACGGGGTGTGGGGGCTGCTACCGGCGGAACTGCCGCTGGACACTGTCTGGCTGCCACGTTGGTGCTGCAGCTGGGCGCTGTGTCCATGCAAATGGACGTTGGCATATTCACGCGCAGCGGCACATTACACTCGAACCTGTAAGGGCTAAGCTTAGTCGAAAATCATTGCGGTTCGTTTAAGGGAAAGAAAACTTGTATATGTACTTTAAATAAAAATATTGTGGACGCCCTCCTCTGCGATTCTCATACCAAGTACTTAAGTGATGGCAAATCGAGATTTAAATTGTGAAATTTGTGATCAATTAAATAAAAATAAATGATGAAATTTTAGATAAATTAAATTAAATAAAAATAAATTGTGAAATTTCTGATAAATTAAATTAAATAAAAATAATATGTGGCCGCCCTTCTCTGCGATTCTCATACCAAGTACTTAAGTGATGGCAAATCGAGATTTAAATTGTGAAATTTCTGATAAATTAAATAAAAATAAATGATGAAATTTCAGATAAATTAAATTAAATAAAAATAAATTGTGAAATTTCTGATAAATTAAATTAAATAAAAATAATATGTGGCCGCCCTCCTTTGTGATAAATTAAGTAAAAATATTGTGGAAATAAATTGTGAAATTTGTGATAAATTAAATTAAATAAAAATAATATGTGGCCGCCCTCCTCTGCGATTCTCATACCAAGTACTTAAGTGATGGCAAATCGAGATTTAAATTGTGAAATTTCTGATAAATTAAATAAAATACAAATAAATTTCTGATAAATTAAATAAAAATAAATTGTGGCCGCTCTCCTCTGCGCTTCTCATGCAAAGTTCTTAAGTAATGGCAAAGCGAGATTTAAATTGTGAAATTTCTGATAAATTAAATAAAATACAAATAAATTTCTGATAAATTAAATAAAAATAAATTGTGGCCGCTCTCCTCTGCGCTTCTCATGCAAAGTTCTTAAGTAATGGCAAAGCGAGATTTAAATTGTGAAATTTCTGATAAATTACATAAAAATAAATTGTGAAATTTCTGATAAATTAAATAAAATACAAATAAACTGTGAAATTTCTGATAAATTAAATTAAATAAAAATAAATTGTGGCCGCTCTCCTCTGCGCTTCTCATACAAAGTTCTTAAGTAATGGCAAATCGAGATTTAAATTGTGAAATTTCTGATAAATTACATAAAAATAAATTGTGAAATTTCTGATAAATTAAATAAAATACAAATAAATTGTGAAATTTCTGATAAATTAAATTAAATAAAAATAATATGTGGCCGCCCTCCTCTGCGATTCTCATACCAAGTACTTAAGTGATGGCAAATCGAGATTTAAATTGTGAAATTTCTGATAAATTAAGTGAAAATATTGTGGAAATAAATTGTGAAATTTCTGATAAATTAAATTAAATAAAAATAAATTGTAACCGCCCTCCTCTGCGATTCTCATACCAAGTACTTAAATGATGGCAAATCGAGATTTCAATTGTGAAATTTGTGATCAATTAAATAAGAATAAATGATGAAATTTTAGATAAATTAAATTAAATAAAAATAAATTGTGAAATTTCTGATAAATTAAATTAAATAAAAATAATATGTGGCGGCCCTCCTTTGTGATAAATTAAGTGAAAATATTGTGTAAATAAATTGTGAAATTTCTGATGAATTAAATTAAATAAAAATAATATGTGGCCGCCCTCCTCTGCGATTCTCATACCAAGTACTTAAGTGATGGCAAATCGAGATTTAAATTGTGAAATTTGTGATAAATTAAATAAAAATAAATGATGAAATTTCAGATAAATTAAATTAAATAAAAATAAATTGTGAAATTTCTGATAAATTAAATTAAATAAAAATAATATGCGGCCGCCCTCCTCTGCGATTCTCATACCTAGTACTTAAGTGATGGCAAATATAGATTTAAATTTTGAAATTTCTGACAAATTAAGTGAAAATATTGTGGAAATAAATTGTGAAATTTCTGATAAATTAAATTAAATATAAATAAATTGTGGCCGCCGTCCTCTGCGATTCTCATACCAAGTACCTAAGTGATGACAAATCGAGATTTAAATTGTGAAATTTGTGATCAATTAAGTGAAAATATTGTGGAAATAAATTGTGAAATTTCTGATAAATTAAATTAAATAAAAATAAATTGCGCCCACTCTCCTCTGCGCTTCTCATACAAAGTTCTTAAGTAATGGCAAAGCGAGATTTAAATTGTGAAATTTCTGATAAACTACATACAATGAGCATGGAGAGACGAATCAACGTATACTGTTTGTACCCCATCCATCTGTACGTTTACCTGCCTGCTTGTCCGTATGAACACCAATAACATTTCACCCATAACAGGTAATAATTTCATACCCAAGCAAGTTTTTTATAAGCCATATACTGTATAGCCTCATTACATAACATTTATCAGTGAAAAATTACACTTTTGAATTACTTTTGCGTTCATCTTAGGTATCTTGTATTTAAGACGATTTCGCAACCAAATTAAGTATTTCTAGTGACTATATTGCATAGCTGTCGTGGGGGACTATTGCAGAGATGGGGGACGAAAAGTTTTACCTGCTTTATTTTCCTTTTAAAGTTACTTACCAGATTCCAGAGTTTCCCTCTTGTGGGTCAGGTGGTGCTTTGCATGGAGCTCTGCGCACGACAGCCTTTCTCGTTTTTTTTCTAATACAAACTTCTGGCTTGCAGCCATTGTTGAAGGGTTTTGGATCGGAAGACAAGCTGCAGCCCCTTTTAAAAGTCTTCGGCTCCACCTTTGCGATTTCGCGCACGGGCCTATTGCAACAGCAACAAATGCTACATGGCTCAGCAGTAACTGACTCCTGATTCTGCCTGTTGCCACATGCGCACCATCGCTTGGGGCTCAGGCTACAGGGAGTACACTGAGAGTTGTATGTAGATGGACTGCACTGATCCCTTTCGGGCTGCCTTTCTCTAGCACAACGCGTTAGTTCGTCATCGGAGCGATTGTAGTAGAAGACTTTTTTGGGAAACGATTTGAGTTGAGTTGAGTTTCTAGATGTGAGATTGCAGCAGGGATCCCGTGTAGGCTGTTGCGAGTCAGATCTGAGACATTTTCTCTGCGGCATTTCAGCTCGAAAGAGCGTCTTTGTGGAGGAGCAGGTATAACAGGGTGTGGAATTGCGCTGGTCTTTTGATTCCGTTTCCTGAAAACATCGACACTCAAGTCCCTTAATTGTTGTCTGACTAGCGTTTGGTTGCATTTTCTGCCTTAAGTCGTAAGAAGTTCGTGCTGGCATTAGGTTCGTATCGGAGTTTTGAGCTCGCGGATACATTGTCTTATTTGAGAAGCACGTACAACTAGAATGGGCGCCATTACGCGAAACACTAAGCCGCTTAGGCTGTGTCCTTTGGAGCTGTTGCCGTTGTTGCTGCTGCTGCTGTCCTTGCTGGCTCTGTTGTCTCCTTCCCTGCTCTGTCTGCAGTTTCTGCTGCTGTTGTAGAGAGGATGCGCGCAACCTACTGGACCTTGCCGCTGCTGCCATTGACTCCCTGCTATGCAGCGGATGCGTGCAACGCGACTTGGGCGTGTTCGCCGTTTTGGAACTGTCTAGGCTGCCCTTTCCCTTTGCAGATGTCGTCGCTCTAGCACCGTCTAAAATGCTCCTTCGTTGCTGTCCTCCTGCAGCTCCCTGCTCTTTAGGGTCAGTTTCTATTCCACTTCGAATCGACACGCAACTTCGCATTCGGGAACTCGCACAACTGGGTCTGGGTGTGGCCGTCGTTTTGGGGCTGGATTGTGCGGCATTTAGCTGAGTACATGTGGAGCAAGAACGTTTCTCCAATGAGCCGGCGTTTGGTGTATTTTTTATCATTAGACTATTTCGCATCTTACTGCAGTTGGTTGAAATTACATCCTTGGTGTTATCTCTCTTGACCCTTACCAAATTGTTTTCCTTAGCTACTGCTTGCCCGTTCGTCTTCAGGGAGCTGATTGAGAGGCCGGGGCACTTGTTGCCAGCCGAATTTCTTACTTTGCTGCTAATAGAAATATTATCCCCATTGCACATCGAAGAGCCGTTAGCGTCCCTTGTCGACGAGGCACTCGGCTGTACAGACTCTATAGTCAAGCGTCTTTTGATTGTGCTGGCATTGCTACTATCGCTGCTGCTGCTGGCCCTTTGTTGTCTCTCCATATTTAATTTGGGATGCCTTATTCCATTCTTTCTCACTTGGAGCCTGCAAGGATACCTGGGCGACCCAGTGTATTGAAGCTTTTCCAAGCGGCGATAGCCACAGCAGCGGCCACCACAGTAGGCGCTGTAGCAACCATACCTGCAGTGTCCGGTGCCGCATATTGAATTAAAATTACACATTTTTAATTAAAATTAGTACTACTTGGACCGCCGGCTGCGTCCGCGTGACGCATGCCGCCGTCAGGTTGTCGTTTTAATGAAAAATCTGCAATTTAAAAGGAATACGCAGCCGATATCATTGGCAGCTCAGCCAATACACCGTATCTCAGGAATAGTGATGAAAACTTAAAATTTTGGATTTGACAAGCGATTGTGTACCAGAAATATTCCAAAAATATTTGTGCTTTTTCTGACAGAATTTTGATATCAACAAGGTTTTTTAAAGAGGCCCTTCTAGGCCAAAAACAAGTTATGTCTAAAAAAAAATACATAACCGCTTAAAAAATATATATTTCGCAGGCTATCGATTTAAGCGTACAATTCGCTTATTCATACAATTTTTTCAGATATTAAATTATTGAATATTATCGTGCATATCGTGCAAGCCAGGATAGCATTCTAAATAGGCAAAAAACAAAACTGAGTCGCAAAAAGAAAGAAAGTGTGGAATTTTAATCATTATTTATTTTATTTGTTCTTATACATTTATTTATTAACTTATCCTAGCGTTACAACTACCAGATTACTTTTAAGTTATTACGCTAGTCATTACATATTCATTTCATTTCAATTTAATTCAGTTAATTATTAATTATTTATTTAATTTTATTTATTTGATATCATTTAAATTTTAAAGTTTTACCGATGTAGTTCGATTTAATTTTAAAATCTACGAGTATATATCCTTTCATCGAAAAACTGTTTTTACATATGCTTTTTACATGAAATGGTTTCAATAAAAAATATATAAAATAGTGATCTGGCAGACAGCTTAAGAGACGGGCATCGCGATTCGGTTCCGTCCCGACACGCTGATCATAAACATATAATATGCGGTCCAACCGAACCAATAGATAACGCGGTCTGGTTAGCGGACAGCAGAAGCCAAGAGAGAGATAGAGAGAGAGAGAGAGAGAAATACTTAGGTGTCCAAACTCAGTCTTTCACATATTTTTTTCCGATTAAATATTTTGTTCTTTATTAATCCTACAATTTCGGAACATGTCGACAAACAAATTTAAGCGGAAGTATTGTGGAATCAGTTAAATGCCAGCAGAATGCCCGGCAACGAGAGCCGAGCAAAAAGCTCCAGTCCTTATAGGCGCAATACGAGTGGCGACCGCAAAAAATACTCGGGGCAACAGTTGTCAGCGCCATCGATGGTACCAGCCAGTGGGAAAGATCGCTCGTCTGCGACCAATCCTGGCGCTCAACTACGGCAACCAGTTGCCGAACGTTCGATCGGTTATAATTCAACAACAAGCTCGAAACCGCTTTACTCGCGATCAGATCATGCCTCGGCGAGTATGACGGATGGAGCTGGCTTAACTGGCGACGCGCAGCAACGTAAGTTGCGATCAAAGACCAAAACTAGTAAGGTTTTGGTGAAAAGCAAGTCTCGTTCCGGTGCCGGCACCTCGCACGGCAGTGTGATCCAAGAAAGAGGCGAAAAAATTGGCAACCAAACGTGGACAGAGATGTCGGCGACAACCTATTCGTCCAAAGGCAAAGTAACTGAGGCAAGCAGGTCAAATGTGGAGCCACCTCGGCGCAATTCGTCAATAAGCTCACCAGCGAAGATTGAATACGGATCAACATATACCACCGCACCAGCGCGTACTCCAGCATCAGCTCATTCCGTGGGACCATCGACCAAGTCATCAATGCACAAAAGAGATTATGGCTCGAAGTATGAGAAGATTGCTGAAGAGGATGGTCCCGAAAGATATGCTGCTGCCGATCAAATGCCCAAGTCCAGTATTTTGTCGAAGCCCAAGGTGACAGATGGCTTCGGGGAACAGCCGATGCCGGCACGAATTTCCGACCCGGACAATGATTGTAACTGCGATATGTTTTCGCAAAAGCAATATCCAGCTTTTCGCGGAGAGTATCCGACAAGGAATCGTCCCTGCGCATATCCGTACTATCAGCAAAATCAACCAAAGGGTAGGATGGAGCGCATGTACAATGAAGGCGGCCCGGTGGACTGTGACGGAAAAATGCTGGCATGTGAGGTTACCGAAGAGCACTTTGTTAGGTAAGCTGCTATCAAAGCTTTTTAGTCCAATAGAATAATAATAAGTTTCTCCTTAGCATCGACTGTGACCAGAATAATAAGGATGGGGAATATAATCGCATGAACAATGTTCAGCAGCCCTGGAATAGCCAACAAAATCAAATAGACCGACGCCCATATGGCGTAGATAGCTCCGCCCCTGGCTTTGGCTATCAATATCAACAACAGCAACCACCGCAGCAGCAGCAGCAGCAGCATCTGCAGCAGCAACTTCAACAACAGCTCCAACAGCGGCAAAGGCAACCCATTCAACAGTCTAATATCTGTCCCTGCGACCCGCAGCAGCAGCAGCAGCAACAGGCCGGAGTATGCCGCTGTGATCAGCAACTACGGCAGGGCAACATACAGCAACAGCAACAACAACTACAGCAAATGCCACAACCGGGCTTATGTCCCTGCGACCAGCAACAGCAGCAGCAACTTCAACAGCCGGGCATGTGTCCTTGTGATCCGCAACAGCAGAACCCGCCGCTAGACCTAAGCAAGTGTCCCTGTGATCCACAACAGCAAATGTCGCAGCAACAGCCGATGACAGGCGGCATGATGAATCCCAGACGCTTGCCCTCGCAATGTTGGTGCAGACCCCATAGGTCCCAGCACCGTCCTATATGTGGGTGTGAACAGCGCCAGCAGCAGCAGCAGCAACAGCAACAGTTTTATTCCATGTACAATCAGACGGGTCCACAAAAACAGTGCCTTCCACAAAACCCATGCTGCTGCCAACAGAACCAAATACAGGCCCCGTATCAGAGTAACAATACCAGTTGCCTGACAGACCAGTTAGCCATGCAACTGCATCAGCAGATGGAACAGGCCCAAGCCCAAATTGCCCAAGTGCGACAGCAATTGAACTACGTCTGCGCCCAGAACAAGGTGCGTCCGATAGCCACGGGAAATGGGAATGAGTCGAATCCGTGTCCTTGCAACTATGCTGATGCACAACAACAGCAACAGCAACAACAACCACAGACACAACAGAAGGCTTCGCCCACAGAATCGCAGACAGGCATCAATCCCAATGGGACACTGCCAAATGAAATAGAGAATATGGAAAACAACACAGAACTGGATGTGAATCAAGCAGCGGAAAAGAATATTTTGCCAGATCGTTCGCAAGGGGTGATGCCGAACGATCCTTATAATGCGCCTAGTTCGATGTATATGGATCAACAAATGCAGCCACCTGGAGTATCTATGTTCCAGGCTCCTGGAGTTAGCAGTCCAATGCAGCCGGCGGCAAAGCCCCCGTCTTGCTGTAACTGTCTCCAACAGCAGCCTTTCATGCCGTTCGGTGAATATGGAACAGATCAGTACGGTGGAGACAATATGCCGCAAGCGCCAAATGGCCCAACACAATTCATGGGCGGACCTCCCATGCAGCAACCGGGGGCAAACGGAGTGGTGACAGGGCCACAACAACAAGCACCAAATATGTTTCCCACGTTTCCGAGCAATCATTTTTGTAATAACTGCATGCGACCACGATATGCAAAAATGCGTTTTATGATGCCGCGCTGTTGGCCCGGCCGCTAAGTTAAACGGAAATTAGGCGCCCAATGTGGGGCGCACAATGTGGTAAAAAGGGCAAAGTTATCGGGCAAATAAACAAATTGTGCTTTAAATATAAATATGCATTGTACAAGGCTTCCGTTTAAAATTGAATAAAACAGAGATTTTGAGTTTACTAGACGCATTTCGAAACATGTGCATTCACTCTTTAATAGAGTTTTTTACCATGTCTTTGTGTGGTATTTCTTTCCTCCGGCACAAAAATGGCCTGAAATCAAATCTCAGTATTCCCAAAAACATTTTGACAGCATTTTGACTCTGTACAATTAAAAATTTGGAAATTAACAGAACTAAGCATCTTCAGAGCTCTGTGCTAAATTTTGTCGGCTTGTCGATGCCATTTAAGTAATGCGATCTAAAATGCAACAAACTTGATCACTCTGCTAGATCAAGATACACAGACTAAACAGAACAATACGTAACTGACCAGGACAGCGCAACAACCAAGTGACATAGAGTGTTCTGCAATGGCGCTATCCGATATAAATCAAGATCTGGACTCTCTCTCGAACGAGCAGAACGATGAGAATGCCGAAACTATGAAAAGACTCGATAGTTTCGATGACTTCTATAAGACCTATAAGCCAATTGGTCTTGAAAGCAGCAACTCAACAACATCCACATTGCAAAATGTCGAGATCGATGCCAAAAAAAAAGTTACAATAATTGCACCCAAATCTAAACAACCATCAACATCCAGGACAGTATCACTCCCCGCCAAAAGTGAACAAAAGGAGCAACGAGAAGGTTTGCACGTACCCTGGTAAGGTTATTTACTCCAAACTCCAAAAAACTTTAATCCATACCATATTCTCCCAAGTAGTTGTGATTTTCGAATTGCCTCGGGTGAGATGTCCTGTAAACGGACCTCTGGCGTTGATTGCAACTATTGCCAATATCCACCTGTCTCCAATGGATCTTTTGATTGTAAGTATAGAGTTGCATTACAATTGAAGTAGAACAATACATACTATACAGTCGATATTATTATTATACTTGGATCTATCTGTTCCTCAGTCGTGGGGCCGTTTTAATAGACAAATTCTCCCATATTTTATGCAGGCTCTTGTGCTGGGCCTGGTCAAAGTTACGTCACTTTTATGGAACCCAGCTGCTGTTGCGAAATGGATAATGCCAGTGCTAGTGTCGCCGGTATGGGCTCTGTGCAGAGCGTAGGTCCAGATGACTACTCGAGCTGCAGCTACCAATCCCCGATTAACAATAGCGCTTCTGCTGCCCTATTGAGCAACTACAGCGAGTGTACATCGCAAAAGTCTGGATTAACTGGCCCGGCGCAAAATTATTCAGATGAATCATGCTGCTGTTCTCAAGGGTCACAGGATGAGGTCAGTCTCTGCACGCAGGCGAGTATGCCATGTGGGGACGCTATGGATTCGCAGCAACAAATGAGTTGCTGTTGCATGGAGAATCCACCGATGTGCATGGGCCCAATGTGTTGCTATCCTGCAATGGGCATGGGCGGATCTTGCCAGGCTCCTCCGCCCACATGCTGCCCCATGCCGTCTTCCAATATGATCCAGCCCGGAAACTGCATAGACCTTGAGGCTTTTATGCGTAAATATGCGCAACAGCAGCAACAACAGCAGTGCTTACCCAATTGTATGACACTGCCGTCAACGCCCTGCATGGGAATGGGCATGGGCATGGGCATGGGTATGGGAATGGGTATGGGCATGGGCTGTGATAGTGCTATGCCTTGCCCATGTCCTTACCCAAGCATTCCGCCAGATGCCTGCCACACTACCGGCGGCCCCGGCAGCTCCCTGATGAACGATTCGATGCAATGTCAAACAGTTTACAACACCGACTACAAGCCTTTCAACAGCTTAGGCAACAACTTCAATCACTTTCCGAACGGCAATGGGGGCTGTGGCATTAATATGTCGAGCTTCGGTGGTTCTTGTTGTGACGCTGGCGGTGGGGGCGGTGGAAACGTTCTGGGACTGTGTGGCGATTTGTGCGGTGGTCAATCGCAGGGCATTTACGGTCTGGGTGGCCAAGATACGGCACAGTGCTTTCCTATGAGCTACATGGATGCCGGCTGCTGTGGACCATGCTATGGCCGTCCCGGCGAAATGCCAGGCGGGGCTTGTTGCATGCCAATGACAGGGCCGGGCGGCATGCAACCCTGTTCCCCTGCACCGAATGGGAACAGCTGCAACTTCGGTCCCGGCGGTGAGTGCGACTAAGAACTCTAGACATTTAACGTAGCATTACAAATCAAACAAATAAAATTTTAGGATATTTTAATTAAATTGATGTAACGAACTTTTACAGCTCCACACTCGACGTGTACCATGAGCTAAGTGGTAAAAAGAAATCTTAAACATTTTAGTGCCTAGGACAAGTCTGGAAGTTATACCAGAAACAACAACAGCTAATTGCCAGGATGTGTAACTTCAATCCATCCCCTGAAGGGGAATGCATCCCGAACAGGTAAGCAAGCCCATTGGATCCAAGATCCAAGCCTCCGTTTTAGCCTCACCCTTTTCAGCATGTTCAAGGAAGAGTGCCAAAAGGCCAGAGGCTGCTTAAGCTGCTTCGTTTGCAAGCCTTGCCGATATGATCGGTTAGTATCTCCCACCCATTCTATTAGCCAAATAACACTAACACCATTGACTATCGACGCAGCAGCTTAGTGGCTGAAAGTGCAGCACAGAGATCTCGCTCCACAGAGTCACACAAAAATTGCAAGTGTTTTAAAGAAGAGAAATTTTCAAATATGATACCGCCCAGCTTTCTGTGTAAGGACGAAACAAAACCGAAACCAAAGTGTCCCCGTAAATCCAGCTGCGCCTGTCCACGGTCCAAGGACACTTGCAAGGACTCAGCTGCAGGAGACAAAAAGGATAAAGCTGCCTGCAAATGTAAGACTGAAGATGGTCCCTGTACTCCAACAAATTGTTGTCCCAGAACTGGGCAAGGACAGGGTACTTTAGACAATGGTTTCGGCTCAGCCGAATACATTGCTCCGGGCATTGTAGAAATTGGCTATGATCGTCCTGGAACGATGTCGCCGATAGCTGTAACACCTGGATATGAACCTGAAGTAGCAGCTTTACCAGAGATGGGCCTTCCGGCGTGTTTTCAGAAAAGACCGCAACCGATTTGCTGTTACCAAACGATGCCGAGAGAACAGATAGCACCCATTCCCCCACAGACTGGGCAATGCACAACTCGAGGTAATCAGCTTGCAGCTGGATTACCAACGAGACGGTCCCCTCCATTTGATCCGTGCACAGGTGAGCTGTGTGAGGCACCTTGCGGTGCAACTGCCTGCCACCAGAATGTGCGGCCATCCAACGGCCTACGGAACCAATCGAATTGCCCATGTCAGATGCAGAATCAATCTTCAAAAAGACAACGAACAACTGGCCAGCAGCCACAACCACAACCACAAGCACAGCCACAGGAATTGTTTAATTGCTGTGAAAACCCCGAGAAATTTGAATGGTAAGTCGGCCCTCAGTACAGACTTGACTTTTACGTCAGGCGATCAGTTCTATTTGTCTCCCATAAAAAACTGTTACACACAAACACAAACATACACATATTTTTGTTGTAATGAAATAGCCAGAATCCTTAAAAGCATCACTCCCTATGTGTCCGATGTACCTTGTAGTTTCTGCAACGCGCTGCACATTCCGTGTCCGCGGCCTGCCGTCGATACGTCGGGATCAATGAGCGCACCGTCCAAGCGCAGAGGAGAGCACACTAGGAAGCACAAGCCTTCCCTGCCGAAATCACGCAAGTCTAGCGCTAGGATGTCAATAGCTTCGACCATGCAGAACAGTCGAATGTCATTGTCGCGGCGGCCAAGTGCCATTAACCAGAAATCCCGGCCGAGCACGCGCCAAAGCACCAGAGCCAGTCGAGATGTGCGCCGGGATACGCGATCCGCCCGCCAAAGCCAATCCTCCCTTTGTAATTCCGAAATGGAGGGCTGTAACAACAAGGGCAAGAAGCATCTGAAGTATGGCACCTCTGGCTGTCCGTGGTAAGACCTGTTTATGTTTCTCCTTCCAAAGATCTGCATGTACTAACTATCTACTAACCACTCCTGCAGCACCGATGACAGCACTCAGACATGCGGAATAGATAATTGTGACGGGGGACAGAGTTGCGCCGGTGCAGGCCAAGGACCGTGTGGGCAAGATGGAGGGGCAGGCAATTGCAATTCTGGAGGCGCTGGCAATTGTAATGCCGGTGGTGCTGGGAATTGTAATGCCGGAGGCGCTGGCAATTGCAATTCCGGAGGCGCTGGCAATTGCAATGCCGGGGGTGGCGGTGGAAATGCATGCGGTATGGCGCAGCAGGATCAGGGGGGCAAATCGTGCAACCCATGCGGCTGGTATCCCTGCTACGTGTGCAGCTATTATCCGGTCAAGTGCTGCAACGGTTGCGTCCACTACAACAGTTGCTACTGGCCCGTCTGCTGCTATGGCTGCAACCCGTGTTGTCCCCAACCGGAACCGGAACCACAAGCATGTCCAAGCCAAAATGCGTGCGGCCAGTCGCAGTCACAGCAACAGAACCAAGGGTGCGTCTCTCAATCACAGAGTAAATGCCAGAGTGGAAACACATCTTGCAAGGGCAGTTCGCGGATCGTTGCCGGCGCTATTGTGCCGTACCAGCCCAAGACACAGGAGCCGGATGAGCCATGGACGCGGTGTCAGTACTGCTCCACCTGCAATTTGACGGGCGGCTGCAATTTGTATCGTCGCGTCTGCTATCCACCCTACTGCTATGCCTCCTCACAGCCATCGACATATCGCAGGACCTTGACGTCGCGCCGCACGGACATCGATTAGGGGTCACTGGTCTCTCAGATGTGCTGCTTCTCGGGATTGAACACAACACAACAGAAGAAAAGCAAAAACAATCAACATATTAGAGCTAAATTTTAAGTTTTAAATTAAAAGGCGAAAACAAAAACAAATGTGAAACGCATATTTTCTTTATCGCAGAAGCTAAGAAGCTCCTCTGCTCCTCCTCGGTGATAAGTCATATGAGCCGGAAATTCCTTAATTAGTGCAACAGTCATTGAAAGGCATAGAAGTTAGGAATATTGCTCCAAAAACGACGCACTATACCCATGGATATATTCTGAATCTATATTGAAATAGAAACTATATTTTTTAAAGCAAATGTCAAAACCTAAAATCTGAACAGACTACTAAACTTTTTTCGTTTGGACGACTAAAGCATAGAGCAACATAAAACGATAGTTCCAACTAAGGGGGTGTTGCATTGGATAGGCATATATTTTTGAAGATTACAAGATAGCCTTCGGATATGAGTTCGTGCTGTAGTTTCTAAGATCGGGTCCAGGTCGAGAAGTCATTGGAGAGCATTTGTTTCAGTCAAGGTTCATTAATAGCAATACATTAACCTAAATGGCCACAACTGGCATAGAAACAATTAATATATTTAATAGTAAAGCCCGTTTCGAATCCAAATAACATTTTTTAATGCTAGGAAATATTTTTCAGTTGTTAATAAAAGCCGCCACTACATAAGCAAGGACTTGTAACCTTGATACCGTGCCCGTAAGTATATGCTTAGTTTTTCGTTATTTATTTGAATTTATTATTTTGCCTTTTTTATACACTTTAATATGTGTCTGTTGGTAGTTTACTTATAATACATATGTAATAATTCTTAACTTTGTGGACTTGTTTTCAAGCTACAATTTCAGTTGAAAATTAAATTTGTTTTTTCAGAAAAAGCCTAACTAAAAACTATAAACATAACACAAAATGTGTATGTACCTTTGTGTTTGTGTAGTGCAGCCATAAATATATATAAATTCATATATATATCCATTTGTTTGTCTGAATGTACGTGTATATATGCATATATATATAAAGGAATTTGTATGTATGTACTAACATGATTGTTCTTTATAACATAGGCGTAGCTAGGTTTAATTACCGCTAGATTAAGTTGATGTATAATTAGTTATAAATTAAACTGAGTTGGCTTGCATGTGGCCCATATTGTTGATTTGTTGGTTGGTTGCTTGATTACTATTTCTTGCATTTGTATTGTAGATAATATTTAAATGTATTATTTGCATATCTTAAGAGCTATTTGGGTGTCAAATGCGGCCATTTTCTCCGCACTTAACAAGCAAGTTCTCCAAATCCGATGGAAAAACAATTCAACTTGCATACTATTTACATTACACAATCAGATATCAATGTGGGCTCAAATAAAAATGTAAAAAACAAACAACTTAACATTAAATTATTGATTTCAAAATGTATATGTTAGTGTAGTTTTGTTTAAATCACATGTTGCACACGCTCAAATAAAACGGTAAATAACTTAAGGAAACGACGACAAAGACTGTCGTTTGTTGCTGCTTTCTATTGTTCCAGTTCCTGCTGCTTAGGCGTTCTCATCGGTCACATAGATATATCCATGCTGTTGCAATATGCTTAAACGCTTCTCAACAGCATCGCGATCTATAAAGAAATAAAAATGGACATTTTTGTATTAATTATGCTTTACATATAAATAAACTCTTTTAATCGTAAAAAATTTTTTCGTTCTACGCGTTTTTAACTTGTTTTAGTAACAGCTGCCCGCTGTTCCGGATAGAAAACTCATATAATCATCAAAAATAAAATGAAGCGTAACTTACATTTGTTCAACAGCATTTTGTCTTGCGGATGATTGCATTTTTGGACCAGTGAGTGGAGTAGAATGTGCGCGGTATTGTAGCGTTCGAAACAATTCTTGGTATTCTTGAGCAGCTCATCTAAGGCGGCGGCTTGACACTGTGAAAAAACAAAGCAAAGAAAATTTTAGAACTATAAAAAGAAGCTACTTATAATATAAAATTAAGTATAATACTAATATATACTGATGTACCGTAACATTTATCAAGTTCCTAACTCGCAACTGAACTTTTAAAAATCGAAAAAAATATGGTTTGCGAAAGTCGGAACATGAATTTTTTGTGTTGTTGCTGGACATAATTTTACTTTTCTCTCACTTACCATATCCAACGCATAGTCGTAGAGTATCTTGTCAGCCGTTATATTAAATGCATTTGCCTTTTGCAATAGACCGCTGCCATTCAGACGCTTGGATTCGAACAGTATGCTGCGGTACTTGGAGTTCATGGTAAGCAGCGCTGTGGCGGTAGAAATAAACAGTTATAAAACAACGTCGGAGGATTTCGAAAGGGATTAGGGAGTCCATACCATTCTTGACATTCGACGATGGCTTCAATTGGCCGGTGCGCAACTGTTGGGAGGCCAAATTCAGGCCGGAAGACAACAATTGGAGGGCGCGCACCAACAAAACCAGACGCTCCGCTCGCTTGCAATGCTCCGGAGCATGTGGCGGTATTTGCTGTTCAGTGGCCGCAGCATTGCTGCCAGCAACCATCAGTGTGGAGAGCGGCGCACAGCGCGAATCGGCCACCTCCTGAATGCAATCGGTGAGCGCGAGCACAAAGTTCAGCTTTGAGAGCGTCTCGTTGTGTTCGCGATCCATCAGCGTCTCCTCGGACAATTCGGGCGCCTGGAATGCATGTTGCTCGTGCGCTCCACCGCTGCCTGGCACACCCGCTCCCGTGTCCAAAAGACTCTGTAGGCCACCTGTGGCGCCCAGTTCGGGGAGTGTAAAGGCCCGTGGGCCAAGCATATGGTGCTGATTGTTATTCTCCGAGCCACTGCCCGCTGAACCAATGGAGCCGAGGGAGCCGGGCGCCACCAGCAGCGTAGGGCTGCCCAAGGTGGGCAGCTTGGAGAGCGCAGCGGACGGAAGCACCGGGGAGCTGTTGCCCGAGCGACGCAACGGCGATTGCGAATGGCCCGGGGAGACCTGCCAAGTGGATGGCGCATGCGGCGGTGGCGTCTCTGACAGCGAACCACCCGATGCGGACCGATGACGTGTGGGCGGCGTGCCAATGGCGAATTGCACTGCAGGCGGCGAAATGGAATTGATGTCACTGCTGACGCTGCTCTTGCGTTGATCGGCACGCGGTTGCTTCACACTAATGGGCTGCGACCGTGGAATCTGATGGGGTGCGGTCAATGTGGCCACGGTCAGTGGCATGGCCTGTGATTGCTTGGCCGGTGACCCAGCCATGGTTAGCACTTTATCGTTAGCATGACGACGCGCTGGCGCCGGCACTGGCTTTGGCTCTGAAATGGGCAGACTACTGGGTCGTGGCGGACTGGATTGATTTTGTTGTTGTGGCTGCTGTTGCTGCTGTATCTGTGCTCGATTAGCATTTCCCCCGCCTCCATGTCGTTTCTCATAATCAATAATCTGTTGATCCTCCGGCAAATTCTTGGGTACAAGCACAAAGTCATCAGAGTCCTCATGCGAGCTTGACGATGCGCTGTTGTTCTCGCTGTCGCAGAGAACGCCCACATTGGTGATGGTGGCGCATATAGCCGGATTGGCTACAACGGAAACTGCAAATCGGATTTTATTTATTGGTACGATCAGTGTGGATCTCAAAGCGGTGGAACATACCCGCATTTTCTTCCTCGGCTGCATCTTCGTCCTCCTTCTGTCGTTGCTGCTCCTCAGCGAGTTTTTGCAAATGCAATTCCTTCTCGAGTTGCTGCTGCAACGGACTCTTGCCCTTGGTGGGCGGGGTACCTCCCAATGGCGGCATATCAACTGCAAGTGATGAAGCAATCAGTTAAAAATTCAGAAAAAGCTTTAAAATATCATTCTATTTGTATTCTATTTCAGCTGACTGTCTGGAATATCAGGTAGATCATTTATACATATCTGTATACTATTCTAGTATATATAGTTTTTCACATACCCGGCGATGCAGCTGCTTTCTTTCCCTGCAAAAATCGATGCACAAAGAAACTCTCGTACGAAATTCTGTCCTTGGCATTGCGACGCAGCAGGCAGAGCAACAAATCGCGCAAATCTGGCGAAACACCGCTGGGTATTCTGTAAGGAGAGAAATTTGCCAAGTTTAATTTTAGCCGAAAAGCGCATTAAAATTGTCACCGTTCGTGACTCTCTCCCGCTCTTGATATCTTACTTGGGCGCCAGATTAGCATTCTGCTCATAATAGAATTTCAATTCGTTGGGCGTTTGTGCATAAAACGGTGCCTTCCCAGTCAGACACTGATAGACAATAGTTCCCAGTGACCAGAGATCAGCTTTAGCGTCATACTGCAGCGACATGATGACCTCAGGTGCCTAGCGAGGAGGACAGAGCGGAACGTGAATATAGATTTCTAAATTTTCCCGATTCCCACTTACCATATACATCGGCGAGCCGCATAGTGTAGCCGCCATGACACCTTCGTTCAGAAAACGCGCAAAACCAAAATCAGCTAAAATGGTTTTCAAAAGGGAAAATTCAAAATATTAGTATGTTTTGTTTTTTCGATAATTAGCCCCTTTTTGGGTGAGTGGATTTTCGTATCAATGTTTGTCTTGTTCATCAAATCAACAACAATAAAATTAATATTTAAATAATACAGTATGCGATTTTGTTGTGAGAGATTAAATGAAGAGCACTAATCTTGAGGACGATTGTAAAACTTCTTCCTTTTCCTATGCCTAATCAGAAGATTATCCCAAATATTTAATGATTTAAAAGGAACCTAATTGTCACCAATAGCAGGAATCAATTAAGAAAGGATATTCCCCTTTGAAGACGGGATAAGAGAAATATTTAATACATTGTTCTAACTTGTCGAGATTAATTTGTTTAGTCCATTATAGAAATTGTTTAAGTAATTAGACAAGTGGAAACACAAATTGTGGAATCAGTAGAACCTTTCTTCGAGCCAAATGAAAGTCATCTATGATCTTTATAATGATATTTTTCATATTCATTTGTATTATTCTTTTTTAATTTAACCTATATTTACCAATTTTTAATGTTATTTTCGATGGTGCTGGCAGTGCTTTGCCATAATTGTGCGACAGCAATATGTTTTGTGGCTTGAGATCACGATGCACAATTCCTTTGGTATATAGCGCTTTCATGGCACCAGCTGTAAGTTGAAAATATATATTAATTATATGTAGTTAGTGGTAGGGAAATGTGATCTCATGTCTTACCTAGTTGTATGAGAAACAGTCTAACTGTATCCTCGCTCAGTGTGCCCTTCATGTTCAGATAATCCGCCAAGTCGCCGCCATTGCAGTACTGAAATGAGATAAAGGTAGACGTTTCCTCATTATACGAATGTCTTGCTTCAAATCTTAATGTCATCGCCAGTTAAAAATGTCTGGCGGCACATCGCATCATCAATATACATAAATATGCTGTACAATGCGTCTACAAGCAAAACGCGTACTATGCGAATGAATTACGTTTAATCAGAGCTAAATTTGCACACATTTTACAAATCGTCGCCGTCGTCACATACCTATTACTGTATGCTTAAGTGTACTGTGTACTTAAGTTAATATATTTGTGAGGTCTTTTGCTTGACCGCCAAGCAATTACAAAATATCCGCCTACATATTCGCAAGGTTAGAGTTAAATTATGGATGTAGTATGTACTCGTATGTATAATCTTGAAATTGTTAGAAATGCGAGATGACCAGAGAAATTGTGGATGGGAAAAATGTTCAATTAAATGACATCTTAGTTATGAAAACTTGCTCCACAGCTTGCTTACATATGTACGCGTATGTGTAGTAACTAATGTATGAAATGCATTTGGGGTCGGCTTTTAAATAAGCTGTTGTTTTGTGTAGTTTGTTTTATAATTTAAAATCCTACACATATGTACATACATATGAGCATTTACTTAACACTTAAAAACTCATAAATCCCGCTGCTATTAAAATGACTGTCCAAAGTCAAGTGGTTCTTTCTAAAACCCATATTGGACAGGTTTAAAAATATGAAAGCTGCAATTATTAAAGGCATTTGAAAGCGCGTGTCAAAGTTGACTTGAAATCTTAACCATCTCCCATTGGACACACCCTTAACGCAGGGCCGAAAATAATGAATTCAGTTCAAATATATTTCTGTATAAATGAGAAGACTCTGCGTAACCATCTCACTGACGTCTAAGGCTAGATATGCACGCAAACTATTTGCACGCATACGTCTAATAAAAGAAATTGGCGTGTATGACGATAGCTAAGATGTAATTACAAGTATAATTTCTTCAGAATGTGTTACTGTGCACTTAAATGTATAGTTTTGTTTAAGAAACGATTGTACATTTTCTAGAAACTTATAATATATATTCTATAAAATATAATATAATGATAATTTGTGTGACTGCTTAATTGTTAACATATTTTATTTATTTAAATATTCTCAGCAAGCTTTAAAATGTATCCAGATGCCACTTGAAGCAACCAGATAAATAAATCAAACGAAATCAAGAAACTACATTATTTTTGGATAGTTCAAAAGTGAAAACAATGTTGGTTTGTTTCTAAGATTTTAAGGGAATCGTTTTGCTTCAAATAAACTCAATTTACCAAAATCTCAATTCTGTGTTAAATATTAATATAAATACGAAAAAGTTGCCAGAAACGATTACCGCGAATTAAAACCTAAAATAGCAGAAGCAAACCTCGCCAGAATAACAAGTTTCCAAACACATAAGCAATACATATGCTATACATAATAAGTGTACATGCATACATATTTATGAATGTATAAAACATATATATACATATGTAAATTAATCAAATTCTTGGCCTTTTTTTTGTTTCCTTAAAGTTTTTGTTTCTGAGAGAACTTGCAAACTAGAAGGAAACGGTTGGTTTATTTGCCATGGTGGTTGGTTATGGCCGCTGCCAAGGGATGTGACCTTGAGGTATGAAGTCGCAAAAGCAAAACCCTAAAATTTTAAAAACCTTTGCACAGACATAGTTAAGTGCTTTTGGAAGAAAAAAAAAAACAGCTTATGAATGAATTTGAGGAAATCTGACCATATGGCACTGGCACTTTAATGAGCAAACAAAGAGCAGCAACAACAAAACAATTACGCACACACACACGTACACAGACACAGACACAAAATAACGGCCAATTAAAATTACGAAATTAAAATGACAAAAGATTTCACTTGCTTTTGTGGAAAACGTAACAGTAAAATAGCAGAACCAGATTTTAGAAAAAGATACAATAAAGTCATTGACATGTAACAAAGAAAAAAAAAAGTTCATGATACGAGTACGTACAGAAAGTAATTTCTAATTTAAATCTGAGTGAGAATATCGGAAAATGAGCACTGATTGGGCTTAGATTACGTTCGATAATCAGCGCAAATATATTATTTACAATGAAAATTCTCATTAACGCATTAATCAGCGCATTTTGAAACTTCAGTTACACAGGGCTCGGCCTTTGGACACACTTTCTCGCTCATTTCTATACCCTGCACCTGAAGGTGTGTTAGGTTTGACAGAAGGAATTTTAATGTAACTTTATTCTACTTTCAATTTTATCCAAATACTGTAAACTATGATTCGGATCTTTTTTCCCCTTTTTTTTTAAAGCCAAAAATTAATTAATTTTAATGGCTGGAAATTTTGAGCACAATTGGCAGGTTTGCCCAACAAGTGATTATTAGATATAAATGTAATTTGATTAAATTTTAAACAAATAATCTTCAGTTTCGTTCTTCTAGCTATTATTGTTTGCTTCTGCTGTATAACACAGCAGCGGAAGTTTGTTTGGGTACCAGGAGGGTATCTCATTGTCGGACTTGCTCCACAGTACCACACATTCTCTCTTGTTTTTAAGAGCAGTAGCTAAGAGCTTTTGAAACGCACAGCTAACACTGAGCTTCGCATTTTGTCTTGCGACCACTGGCGCGCTCAGTCTGTTGCCGATGCTCGCGCCATACGCGTTCGCCTCTCGCCTTGTATCAGCTTCGAAAAGCGATTCGAAAAGCGTCAATCGCTCAGTAGCCGCGTCATTTTCGTATTGGGCAAAAAACAAAGCGTCCATTTTGCCGTTTGCCATTTGCCTCTACAGTGGCTCAAAACAATTACAGAAGCGGGTTACGGGTGCCCCCAAGAGCATTACGTAGCAAAAACCAAAGCAACGCCTCAACCGAAACATTGAAATAACTTCGTGCTACTATATGCCTGCCCAGTGACTAAAGGTCAACATTTTGTAGCAGCTATGAGGCGATAAAACAGAGCGAAGCATGGTGCACACATAGAAAACAAACCACACACACACACACACACACACGCTCATCTATATAAAAGTGAAATAAAAACAAGCATTTAACAAATATGCATATGTATTGATGTACATATTTGTATACATTAAAAGCAAGTGCCATGGAATCGTGTATGAAAACAAACTGAACAAGGGACTCAGAAACAGAAACAGGAAAAGTGCCCCAAAACTGAATTAACACTACACAGAAAAGTATCAAGAGTCAATGTCTTAAAAAAAAAAACACATGTCAGTCCTATCTTTATTGATACAATTTTGTTTTATCAAAACCAATTCATTTTTACTGATATTTCTATATTGGAGAGGCTTATTTTATAATTCTGATGCAATACGCTCTACAAATGGTCTTAAGAAACTTCAAATGCTGATTTTAAATTCGAAACAAAAAACAATTTAAATATTTAAAGTTTCAAGTTCTTAGCGACACATCGAAACATGGAAGAAAACTGGATATGCCCTTAAAACAGCTCAATTTTTTTAATTCGATAATTTTTCCGTTCGTTTTAAATACATTCATTCAAAGCTTTGCTGAATTTAAGATACTTAATACTGAATTAGACATAATTGCAAATACGTATAGTTAACAACTTTTATTCTGAATAATTAAATCGTAATTGAGTTGGCTTTAGAACGTATTGCTCAAAAGGTCAATAGATTTATAGGCCGTTTGGCAAGAATTGTAGAGTACCGTTGGCTTTTCAAAAGGGTTTGTGCAAATAAAGCTCTCAAAATGCTACCTCAATTATGGCAAACACAGAAATTATGTCAAACAAAAACCACTTAAAAAATGAAACGAAAATAAAACAACAATGAGCGCAACAAATGACACACAAAATTGATAAGATTAGCGATGGAAAATCTTAAACATTCTACCGATTAGTTTAGACATACCGCGCTCACTAACACATACAAACACATATACGCAATTAGCAAAGGAATAATAAGAGAAACAAAACGAACAACAGATGCATTGACAAATGATGTGCAAAATAATACATAAAAAGGAATAAATGCATGTGCATATCATCAGTGTTGCCAATTCTTGAATGTCAGAATAAGCCAGAACTAGCCAAACTAATTGTAATGCTGGCAATACCCGGATTTTTCATTTTTATAAATCCGTTTCATTGGTGTAAGAGCAGTCAGTTCGAATGGGTCTATGCTTTTTGTGAAGCTCCATATTTCATATTTAATAAGACGAGTTTATTCCACAACTATTACAATGTACCACATATGTAATTATACCTTTAGTATTTATAGCACATTAAATATCACAAAAGCCAACTTTAAATTCTAAAAACGATGTAATTTGCAATGCTTAAAATAAATACAAGTATAAAAACAAACTACCGAGTTGACGAGAAAAAGGCTAAACTGGCATATGCAGCAATCAAAGCTCGCTCTTTGCACTTTGCGCTCTCATTGTCAGTTCAGCACGCAGCCGTGAGACGCTCACCGCCTTTTGATAATGCCGACACACATACAGTTAGCAAAAAACACAGCTGTCAAGAAGAGGAAAAAACAAGTGCTCGCTGCAATTGGCAAATTTCGACGGCGCTCTTCGCTCAGTCAAAAGTTGACAGCGAACGAGACAGGTTGGCCTCGCGTTTTGTGTATGTGTGCGAGTGTATGTTAAAATTGAGCGGCATAATAAAAATACACAAAATATTTTACTGCTATGTTTTAGTAAAAGCATATACCGTTTGTCCAATTAAATAAAACAACTGCGAAAGGACGTGCCCTTTGTTCTTGATATACAACGAATGAGGTGTTTTTCCATTTAAAAATGTTTGTAAAATGAATGGAAATCAATAAAGTGACTGATGATGAAACTTTTGAAAATATTGTTGATTTCGGATATTTAGTGGCTGGTGCAAGTTTAAAAATACATACAATATATAATTAAGTCGATTAAATCCAAAACATAATCCACAAATTCCTCGAGTCAATTTGATTATTTATTTGAATAGAAATTACGTCAACGGTAACAATAAATTATAATTTTTAGGCACCAAAATTTAGCCAAATACAAACCAAAAACTTTGTTTAAACAATGATATGGCAAATATTTGCTTACACAATGCAAACAAACAAGTAATGACAAATACGTACAAATAAAACAATATTGTTATAAAGACCGACTTTCAAGTGAGTAAATAATTGCACAAAAGTTGCATAAAACAACAACGACGACAACAAAAAGCCAAAACAAAATATACCGCAACTACAGCTACAACAGCAACAACAAACAAACAAAATGCACGTGTATTACAAATTTGGATTACTGCTCATTTTTTTGCTCAGCGTAAGGTAAAGATCCAAATTAAGAAATAAACCTATAATTTATGGATAAGTATATAAGTTGCCCCACATTGAAAAACTCTTTAATTATTAATAATTAAAACGCTTGAAATAGTTGTTTATTTTGAATGAATAATAATAACAAACGTCCCTATTTAATCAACTCCAGTTAATGAATATCATGTTTTATTGAGAAATTTACAAGCTTTTTATGGCATTCAGTAGCCTGATTAATCCCAATATTATCAAACTTAATCGGAAAGAGTAACTCTATATATGTAAATGCATAGCAACAAGAAAAAAGTTTATGGTTTGAAGAGTTCAAGAGATCTCCCCTATCAGAGGAATTCTAGTAGATGTGGTTACGTCACGCTGTCATGCGTCATTCAATAATATGTGTACTCAGGTCCAGTATTTCCCCTACATATGCTAATTTCCATTATGGGGAATCGAATTACATGCTTCTAATATTCTCCCATTTGGTAATTTCTTTGGAAATTTGCAGCTAATAATTACTAATGCATAGCAGCACTCTCTATTCTCTGCTTTTTCCGACATAATGCTGTTGTAAATCGTCCAACTTACAAAGTCAATGTACAAAGTGCAGATCTTGAGATATTCGTAAAACAGAATGACAATAACTCGCGCTTATTGTCCATATTAATCATTAATTGAATCCAATGTCATAACACAAACCTGTTGGCGTTCAACGAGGACTTTGAACTGAGCACCAAAATTATAAATACCTCATAGGAAACTCACGCGATAAACGATTGTATTGATAGCACGGCAACAGGCCAGAACCTCAAGTAATTATATTATAACACATTTAATCATATCGTATAACTGATATAAAACAAAAGCCACATAGTAGCACCACATTTGTTGTGTTAGCTTATCAAATTCTCATATTTCTCTTCTTCTATTTTGCACTGGGCGGTAAAAACACAAAGTTTCTCTGCGGTCAAGTTTGAAAAAAAAAAAAGTAATACTATCTCGACTACCCACCCAAGTTTTATGACTCACACACGTAAAGGAAGCACAGCAGAAATTATTACGCTCAGACTTTTTTCTTGTCTAGTTTGTGGACGGCATTGAAAGAGACTCTATTGATTTTCTTGGCCAACAGTGTTTGCAATGATTTAGTCTGTTGTCGGGGGAGGGGGGTGTGTCGAGGAAAAGGGTGTATCGTGTGTCGTTCTAGGACCATCAATTGTAGGTAAACACACTAAGTGTTGAGATGTCAGAGTGTAAGTTGAAACCTGTCATGGCTCGTTGCAGCATGGGGTTTTACAATAGGGCTTTAATCCCATTGATAGTAAAGCGAGACTCTTAGAAATGAAGGGGTGAGTGAGCTCTGATTGAATGCTGAATGCACTTATATTTCCTTACATTTTAAAAAAAAAAACGAATATACAATTTTTTCATTACTTTTTCTTAATCGTAATATTGAACTTTTTATAAAAAGTGCGATTATTCATCTAGTTTCTTCTGGAATTCTTTTTATATTCATTTTAACGACAATACTTAATGCTTCTGTTATTTCTATTTCAATGTTTCCTCTGTTTCACAATTGAAATGTTGATCCTATTCATCAGATAATTTCGATTGTTAGCTTCTACATTTCGTTTCTATCACTGCTTCTTTGGCAATCATTAGAACTTCATAAACAATTTATAGAAAACTCGACGTCAAATTGTAAGACGCACTTCAACTGTCGTTGGCAATCACGTGACTTTGCAAAAACTGTCAACATAATGCCGCCTCACTGACAGGTCCTAATGAAGGATTAGAAATTAGCGAACAGAATAAGGTGGAGAAGACACCAAGTCAACGAAAAGTGAGAGTAAGTGCAGGATAGATACTAAGAATGACTGAAAAACCGGTCAAGTTGTTGTGGCACCATGTCGTAAACGGGTTTTCGCCCATCAAACATCCAGTCGACGTGACCGACCAAGCGACCGTTCAGTACAGATAAACAGGCGACCAGATAATACATTCATTCATTCATGGAGAACGCTAAAAGCCAAATAGCAAACATAAACAAAAGCGTGTAATGATAATGAATAGACAACTTAAAGCAGAATGAAAAACAAAAATCTTACAAAAATATAAACGTAAACTACACAGACACACACTCGAGTTTCTACGAGTATGGGAATGAGGGTAGTAGACTCGTATAGTATACTTGATATGGTGAGACAAGCGTCGTCGTCGTCGTCGTCGTCTCCGTCTGCGTGTATTGTATTGTTAAATGGGTCAAGTGCGTTCAGGACAAATTACTAGGTGTGTTCTGCTGCTATACATGGTGATGTAAGCAGCTTTTCACCTAAATTGGCGAGTTCACAAAATGGCAAACCACTTAAAACTAGCAGCAACAAAAAAAAAAAAAAAAAAAAAAAAAATACAAATAAAATGTTAAAGAAAAATTTGGTCAGACAAGTTGTTTGGCAAACAGGCGCTAATATATGTACATACGTATGTGTCTCTCAACTAGATGCTAAGTAATTAATGATGCTTCATTAACGCCTTTTCCCCCAGCATCAGTCATACAAATGCAGCGCCTGCCCAAAATCAGAGCAATGTGGAATACGATTACTATGGCGATGATGACGATTACAGTGATGAGCAGCTGAGCAGCGATGGAAAGTCGCCGGAGACGGCAGAAAATAGACTGATGCCCACATCATCGACGACAACAACAACCACATTTCGACCGATCTTTAGTAAGTTCATCAAGGAATATATATCAGTTAACAAAAATAATAATTGCTTTGATTCTTTCGTTAGCATTATTAATTCTTCCAAAATGGCATTACTAACTTAAATGTATGCTCTTCCATTTTATGCAGACATACCACGACGCAGCAACCACGTGCTGGAGCCGAGCTGTCCACGCGCCTGCCACTGCCTCGAGGACTACAAATATGTGCAGTGTGCCAATGCACATCTCACACATGTGCCCCTAGACATGCCCAAGACGGCGGCCATTATAGATTTAAGTCACAATGTCATTGCCGAGCTGCGTGCTGAGGACTTCGCCAATTTGTCCAAAGTAGTGGAAATCAATTTGAATTATAATCTGTTGAGCCGAGTCGATAAGGAGGTAAGTTGCTTTAGTTTTTGTTATATTTTCGTACATTATTATAAAATACATTTTAATATAGGCATTCAATGGCCTGGAACGGCTGCAACGACTGCGTCTAACAAACAATCGACTGACGAAAATAGAGCCCGACACTTTTGCAGGCGCCGCAGATTTGTCGCAACTCGATTTGAGCAACAACAGCATTTCGCAACGAACTGATGGCTCGTTTCTCAATCAGCCCAGTCTGACTGAGTTCAGCTGCTCGAATTGCAGTTGGACGCATCTAACAGATCAGACATTTGTCAATATGAGCTCCTTGAATGTTCTACGTTTGGATCACAACGATTTTAAAAAGGTAAGTCTACCCGCCACAATTGCTGGTATCGAACTATCGATAAACAGCCAACGAGTTGGCAGCCCTGCACATATGCAGAGCATTGCCATGCGCAGCATATAAGTAAAAAGCTGCGGTCAGCTGCTTTTCTGTTACTCGCTATAAACGTTTCACTCGCTCTAATGTGTGTGCATTTTCCACTGTTCTCATTTTGACAGCAAATCAATACGCGAGCTTTTACGCCGCTAAAAAATCTCATCAAATTAAAACTGCCTGAATTGGACCAACAGAATATTGAGGATCTGTGCAATCTGCTCAAGTCCATTGACAACATCAGCTTCAAACACTTTGATGTCAGCTGCTTTGAACTGGTATTGGGCACATCATTCAACGAGAGTCTAATATTCGCCACAGACCCGCCTTTCAAGCGTGTGACCGACTTGCCCACAACAGTCAAGACAACGCCAGCGCCCCAGCGCACAGGTGAGCCATGAAAATTCACTTTTCTTTATGGTTGGATAATCGCGTTACTATGTTTGTTTATTGTGTGTCTGAAACAGCAAATCGCAACAAACACAACAACAAAATGTCCAACGACACGACGTCAATAACACCAGTAAAGGCCGGCATTTTGAGTGAAAGTAGCGATGGCGTTGCCACCTCCTCGGGACCAACAGATACAGGGAAGGAAAATCCAAATCAGGTGTCAATATCAGAGGATACGATTAACACGCTGCTTATATGTAAGAAAAGTGTAAAAGCGGCTGAAAAACTAGCCACTAATTTGATTTTTTCCATATGCAGGCATTATGGTCATTGCCATAATAGGCATCATTATTGGACTAATCTGCCGCAAGGACGTTTTCGGCATAAAAACCAAATGCTGCCGCACTAGCAAACCGGAGCCAAAGGATCAGGTACATCCCACCGAGGAGATACCATTGAATAAATTAGCCTAAGACGACTCCACTCCCCAAAAAAAGTTTCCAAAGTTTCATAGATATCAAGCATTGAGAACAAAAATTCCACAGAGGGCATTTTTTGCGACATTATACAATGTAAAATGTATCTGCCAGATACAGTCTAAATAGACTAAGCACATACATTCACATACATGCTACTTTCTAATCGTTTATATCGTGGTTTTTATAGCTTCGACCCATTGACGTCACCCAGCCGTAGACTCCATTGTTCGGGAAACTATATTTAAACTCGTATACATCGTTCACAATAGCAAATGAATTCCAAAATTGTTGCAATTAGTTTTAGCTAAAAGTATGCCTAGTTTAAGCTGCCTAGTCGCTTAGCGTATCAGTAGTTTAGTTAGTTGTGTTGGTAAAGATATGTATGTTTATATATACATACCTATATGCATATATACACATACGAGCAAAACGAGCATTCTATATGGTTAAGTTTGGATCACATTTTACGACATTAGCTATATCAGCTCTTGGATAAATGCTAAGTTCATACTGAAAATAATGAATAGGAGTAGCTCCTAGAAATGTATTGTACTTGCAGTACAAAGTTTTTCCAATATATAATAAACAATGATTGTAAATAGTTGAAAATCGTACGGAGTTTAATTTCTTGGTAATGCTATAAGGATTATTTCATGAATTCAATATACTCGTAATGGTTTGTATGAACATTAAAACTACATTCGTTGCTATTTTCAAATCTTCCAATTAGAAAAAAAGAGAATTTTTCAATTGTTTCAAAAGATTGATCTTAAAATAATATAATTCGATTTCGAAAATTGTGAAAGTAGTATATTCTGGCTAATAACTGAAGATACTATATATTCATTTGCTAGTCCTATTGAAATTTATGTTGTCCCAGAAAAGTTCTGGGAACTCAAATGGAAACTACTCTCAACTTTGGCGTTTTTCAATGGAAAGCATAGTGTTCTTCCAAAACAAAAAAATATGATACACCCGGACTTTATGCACCTATGCCCACCGCTCTGTCTATCAGCACACCACCTGTCTTGATACACCCACTTCCCATTCCACACGTATATTTCTGTAAACGTATTAAATAACCACAAATAGTAGTAGTCCGCAAAATAAACAAAGTAGCAGGAATTAATACATAGAGAGAGAACGAACTGATTACATTTATTGGGCAGGGCCCTTAACAAACAAATTAGAATAAAGCGAGTTCGTAAACAGGGAAAATGGGGCCAAAGTCAGACGCGCTAACGAAACCGAACACATGCATAGAATATATACATATGTGTTGTTCACACATAGCATATGCAAGTACATATGTGTGAGTACGTGAAATGTACAAAACATGCAAAGCAAAACAAACCGGGCAAGACATTGTGCTCATTTGCAACGCTGCGCAAATACTCTTTCAAGACATTCTTTATTCATTTCACTCATTCAACGAAACCAACAAAAGAAGAATCAAAAAATACTGATTGAGAAAAAGTGACAGTAAATACAGAACGCATTATAAACATTATAACATATTCTAATTAATTATTAAAGAATGATTCTGCCTACCTATCTAAATTTTCAAAGATAAATTAATTTCATGTAGCTTATCTGAAATTTCTGGTATTTTATAGAAACGAAAAATATTATAAAATCAATGAGAAATTGTCACAGTAAACACACCAAGCTCTACAAAACAGACCGCATTATAAAGATATGCGGGATAACACATTGAAATTAATTGTTAAAGAATGATTCTACCTAGCTACATATCTTTCCAAAGATAAATGAATTTCATTGAACTTATCTAAAATCTCTAGTATTTTATATGTTGGCTTTGAACAGTGATTCCTAAAGTAGTTTGTTCTAACAGAAAACTGAATTTTAGTATAGGGTGCTTATTGGTTTTAAAACATTACATTTAAGGCATTCAATTACAAATTTTCTCACCTAGCTATTTGTAAAAAAAAAAAAAAAAATCCAACAAAAACAATCAAAAAAAAAACAAGTATTTTAATATCATTGAATAAATACTTTCAGAGAACACATACATATGTAGTGGAATATAATGCATTATTTTTGGAGAAAAAATGTTCCGCCAGTGAAAAGTAAATTATATTTGAAAACTTTCATGAACCGTAACCAGAGTTATGGCCTATTCAAAACACTCCAGTTATCAAAGTGCATAATGTGACTTCCCTATTCAATCTTATCAAGGTAAGCACACGCGAAACTAAAACCCCTAATATACAAGTACAATACAATGAACAACAACAGTAAATAGTGCGCAAGGCAGTCTGGACGCAAGTTGACCCACTTTTGTTTTTTATTGCCTATCTGAATGTTAAATGTACGGGCAAAGTAGGGAAAAATCAGCGCATTAGTCGAGTAGATATCGAAAGACACAAATGTATCTCATATGGTAAGCGATATATAAATAAACAAATGCGTAAAAGAATTAATGACGACGCATTTAATGCCAACGAACGGTTTGAGTTTGTGAATAACACACACACACACACAAAAAAAAAACATTTTCTAGGTGAAAAATATAAAAACTTTTATTTGATTTGCTTATTTTCTTTGCGAAAAACATTTCGCAACTTCCGCAATTAATTGCGTAGCTTTTTCAACTGCACCAAGAGACGGGCGGAGAGTGCAACGGGCACGGAGTCGAGGGCAGACCTGGGCTTGGCCGTTGGACGTGCAAAGTAGCGTGCAACTCTTGGCTACGTGCATTTACAATTGTCCACATCGCCTCATTATTGTTGACACTCCCTGAGTCACAGCCATAAACTTGTATTGTTGTTTGTGCTTTCTATTTGCTGCTGCGGTTTGTCAAAATCAGCAACAAAACAAAGAAGACCAGAATACAAAAACAATGACATTGCGATTTAGCGACTAAAAACAAGATAACAGTCTTGGCCCACCGAGAAGCTAAAACGCTAATCGAGATTGCAATATTTCTTACACAAAAGTACCAAAAGAAATGGAGGAAGCAACCGATCGATCCAACCATATATATGTGTGTGTGTGTGTGTGGGGACTGACTGGAAGGGAATCATTACCATGAGCGGCCATCATATCTCCAAACACTAATTTGAAATCTAGATAATAAATGAATACCATTCAGTACCATTGTACAATATCAACAGACTTCCCTCTCACAGATGTACATACATAGGTACTAAGAGCGAATGCCCTATCAAAATCTAGTCAAATAATGTTCATTAAGTTTAAGCAAAATTGCATCTAAGATTGAATCCAAGAATCTTGTAGAGAAGAGTTACTTTAAAATGTATTGTCTTTACGACTCATAACTCCTACGGCACATCTAGTAGAAGTACCGTACTTGTCAAAACGTGTTGTAAAATAGAAATAACCTTCCTAGCAATATCGCAACTTCCCATGAGAGACTTTTTAATCATTCACTCACCTCCATGACCAAATTAACGCAGTCCTGCGACTCCTTGCAATCCAAGAGGGCCACAACATTCTCGTGATGCAATTCGGTGAGCTCCTTCAGTATTTTGATCTCCTTTCCCAGTAAATTCTGTGTCTTGATTAGACCCTTTTTCGAGATGCATTTTATGGCAACTGGCATATGTTTCTGAAATGAAAACAGCAACAATAATTGTGTTAATTAATATTAATTGTTATAAGTCATTTAGCGGTTGTGCCTCTAAATGAAGTCATTGCACGCTTAACCTAATTAAATTTAATAAATCTATCTTCATTGGAACTGTAAACACAAATGAATGCAATTTAATCGAAGTGAATGAAAAAGTAAATAAAAACGTTCATGCTGATCTCAACCTTATGTCAATGCCCGATATGTTTTTAACCTCTAATCTCAAAACATATTAAATTTATCAAACGAAATTAAAATGCAAATATGAATTTCAATTCTAAAATAGACAAAACAGCTGTGAAGATATTGTATTTTAATTAAAATTAACATATTTATGATAATTATGGCTCATAGTTTTTGGGAAGACATTGGAAATGACGGCTCCATTGATCAGTTTACACCCTAGTTATAATTTTCAAAATTTTGCAAACGTCTCAACAGAAATAGAGAGAGTCGACGATGTCAAGACCCTTCAAACATTTAACTCACATACACACTCCAAAGTAATTAAATGTTTACAAAGATTTTGCATGACCTCGAGATCATGCAAACACCCCAACAGATGAAAGCTCTGTGTTATCGGTCAAGTAGCGAATACGTATGTATATTACTTGATTTATGTTTGATTTGGTATATAAATAAGAAGCAGTTAATTTTAAAAATAAACAATTAGCGAACCATGGTCCGCTTATCGTCCAGCCTCGCAAACAAATCTTCTCCTCAGTGCAAATATAATGTGCATTGTATATAAATATGTGTGAGGCAATATAAGTATGTAGCTCGGCAATGCAGTCGCGACTGAAGCGATTGCTGCTCCAGCAATTGGCATAAACCACAGATACAGAGAGTATCTATTACTAGATGTAGTGGCATCACATGAAAAGCATGTGCCAATCACGTGGACAACAGCAAATCACGCGAATGAGCGCCAATTGTGGTTGCACCTGAACAATCGGGTGCGCTTTATAATATGTTCACATATACATACATATTATGTATATGGCTAAGCACTGGCATAGTTTTAGGTATAAATTTCAGACAGAAAAAACATTTGCTCTACTTATTTAATAGAAGTAATTTCTCTGGAAATGTTGCCCGTAGATTTAACAAGAGAAATTGAATTTAGATTTTAAAGATATAGCTAATAGTATAATAACTTAGCAGTTCAATCAACGTTCAATCTTTACAATCTAACAAACCAGCAGTTCAATCAAGATTTATTATAACAATCGAGGCCATTCTTTAGCAGATGCGGCATTATGAAAATACATAATAGTTTGCGAATTTAATGCAAATTGAGAAAAGAATCTTTTAAACCTTCTAGCTATAGGTTTTAATTATAAAGATGAATGTTTTATGATATTTATAATAATATTAATAATATTATCTTTTAAACTTGCTTTTATGCAAATATTTGTGGAAACCAGAACGGGCCGGTATATTCCAAATGGAATAATTAATAAAAATTAATATTGTCAATACTTTTGAACTCAGAAATATTTTTCAATTCTCAACAACGTAAGTTATATTTGTATCGTGTGCCTTACACAGGACCCTTTGAAAATAATAACACAAAGCTGATATTTTGGCAAAATGCTTTATGCTTTCACTCGAACAATATTGAAAATATCACGTTTCATTAGCAGTCACAATAATGGACAACAAGTTTTGGTTTTTCCACTCCTTAATGATGTCTTTCGAATGTAGTCGTGTCAATTTTGACAGAATGTCGATAAAACGCAGGCACTCATCAACATGTGGCGTCATCAGAAAGGGATATTTTTAAAAGGTTTTGTTTATTTGGGTGATGCAACCAATTCAAATATGTATGGCTTTTAAATCTAAGAAGCATAACTGCAACACCCTACAAGATCGGGAATATACGCTTAGCTAAACATTTGTGTCTAAACACAAAGAACAGACAACAAAATAAATAACAAAAACTAAAAACAGATTTCGTATTTGTTAATGGAATAGCCGCCAAATCAGCAGATCCAGTTACCGTAATATATGCATACCAGACACTATATGCATACTTGTTGTATTCGGAACACAAATATGTATTTTAAAAACAATTTACACTTCTGATATTGCTTTTGTTTAGCACTATTAGTCCCTTCTCTAAACAAACCCAGACAATTGTCAACAGCTGTTGAGTGCCAAAGTCAATATGTTCAGGGACAGAAGAGGGGTAATGCGTTTTATCGCTTTAGAACACTCAGTCATTCAACTAGGCTGGCCAAGTTCTTAATCAAACAAATGTCGTCGTCGTCGTCGTCATCATCACTGTTGTCGTTGTCGCTATCGCTGCAATGCCAAGTGCAAAGAGCCCCGGGCCCACTAAGATTTTGCGTATCTAATTATAAACGCACCGCAAACCAGACGAATGGGGACCTAGGCGGGTCCTCCGTTTCATCGGCACATTGCCGCATCTGTGATTTGCATGAGCACGCAGCTCATTTGGCCGAAGGCAACCCAGTGGTGGCACATGTGTAAGATGCAGAGGAAAGCGGACGCGAAATGCAAATACATATGCTGGCTATATAAATTATAGCAATGCAGTGGAACTATATCATCGTGCTATTTTTGTAAACAGACATAAACAAGTAATTGAGGAAACTTCTGATTCTAGAGGGATATCAATCAAAATAATGCCAAGAAGGAAAGAAATAAAATTTCATTCTCTTCAAAAATGCGCTTCTAAGCTTATTAATTCGAACTACTTTCGTTTGGCTAATTTCAGGATTAACAACAAATGTGTTTATATCTTGGTACTTGGTATTATGAGGTGGACTATTCCATTTATTTATATTACGTCTTTTAGGTAGAAGGTCTGTCCAATATGCATATGTGATGGCGCTTAAGGTACTCTCTTAAGATGGACCAATGTCAGCCTTTTTCCATTGAAAGTGTATTACAGATAAGCTAACAAGCGTGGGATCTGCCTCAAGTATCCTTCTAAAATTAAAAAGAAATTAGGTTTTTATAGTGGTGGGGATACGCCGCCAGACAACCAATTCCATGATTTCTGCGAAAAATGTAGAGATCAGAATCACGGAGAAAGCGTAGAACATCTTCTCTCTATCTCACGGAGGTTTCAAAAAACAAGATTGTGAAAATAAGTAGCTTTGTTCATTAGATACTTAGTAATTAACAGTTTTTTATATTATTCCGAATTATAGACTTTTTACCAAATTCAATTAATTTCAGTTGCAGACTGGACACACTTAGCAGCTTTTATGAAACAAATACTTTATGTAATGCTTTTCGAAATCAATTAGCAAAACAAACATGCGATTTAGCAGAACTAGTTAAGCAGAATGGAAACACCTTTCCCATTTCAGACATGTCTGAGGAAGCAAAATGTGAGCCACGTGTAGACGGTAGACTATGGAAATATGCACATAAATTGTTTCTTATTTCAACAAATGACAATTAATAAAATGTCGTAAAAAAGAAATAGAGAAACATACGTTTATTTTCTCACGTAAACCTGTTTGGCAGGTTGTGTGGCGTTTTAGACATGTTTTATGTAGCTGGCAAGTACATAAACAAATACAGATACGCTAACATTTGTATTGGTACATGTGGTCGAGCTAATTCTTGTTCCTAATAAATTAATAATAATAACTAGTGTGGCCGGTATTATTATTTTTATTTTCACGTTGATCAAGCGCAAAAAATATGTTGCTTGAAATTTAAAACTTGCCAAGAGATTTCCGCCACGGATTTCAATTGTGATTTCAAGGCATCGCAGATACATTTTCACCATATATAGGAAACCAGTCGGTGCACTGCACTGCAGGTCCAGTGCATGTCTGCGTGTGTGTATCTGCCAGATAGTTTTGCAACATTGTGCGCTATGATGTGCCGCGAATTTTCTTTCGCACAATCTCATAGCCATAACAATTTTTGTTGGTTTCCTTTTCCATTTTTAGACAAAGGGCATTGCACCCAAAACTTCATTTAAGCCATTGCTTATCATTCATAAAAGGCCGTGGTTCATTGAACTCCATACCAGTTGTTAGTATCCACATCCAAACTAATTTTTTGCGACGCAATTGCTGGCAATTGTCATTGTTAAAATTTCTATATGTACCAATGTCTGTCATACGCATATACACAAGTACATACATATGTATGTCATGTGCAATAAAACAGATACATATGAAGGTGAAGAGGTGGTCTAAGGGGGCTCGGCGTCAGCTTCCGCAGCTCAGCCGCGTTTTGCAATGCAAATTGTTGCGAGCGACCGCAACTTTCTCATTTGATTGACACCATTCGGTTTTCATTTTGCATTTGTTTCACTTTAGATGTGCGTACTCGTATGTCTGTCTTATTTGTTTGCTTGAAATCGAGGTGATTGGGTCAAGAACTATTCACGGTAAACGAACTTTTAATGCAACGCATAGGAATAGGCCTTGGATCTGGCTCAACGGCTCATATCCATAGAAAAAACGATAAGAAAATGTAATCTAATCAATCATTACGAATTTGAAACCCGAAAACAATTGCAATTCTTTTTATAAACACGTGACGTCAAATAAAAATGCGAAATACTTTAAGTTGAAGGTCAAACTACATACGAATTCAACTAATGCGAAAGTAAGGAAATGTTTAAACACAATTATTTCTCGTACTTTCTCATTACCAAGTCATAGATCATAAATAATATATGGATAGAAGAGTAATTAAGTACGCTCGATTTACAATTCAGCATTATTTTTATTAAATTACTTTCTGGCAAAACAAGATGTTTCAATCTTCAAAATTATTTCAAATCTTTCTGAATATATTTTGTTTCTCCTAAAATTTCAAAATCGAGATATAATTAATTAGTCACATAATCTGTTACTGACCTGTGATCATTGTGCCATCACTGTGCGAAAAGAAAAATCTTTCAAAGAAAAGAAACATTGAAAACTCGACAACATAAACAAATTATAGTCAAAATAAAGATTATTATACTGATCTGCTATAATAGTTCTCTTATCTACTGTCTAAACAAATATTAAGTCACTATTTTGAAGGCAATCACAACAAACTTGAGGTAAATATATGCTGACAAATCACTCTTATATTTCATTTAAATTCAAGTTTCATTCACATATGTATGTATAGGTCAATACTGATTCTGAAAGAAATTACATTTTTGAGAGATTAAGAATTGCAATTGAAAATACAGGCGAGTATTAAACACATTTATTTAGACTAAGTTCCATATGTTCTCCCATTTCGAAAAGCGTAATATGAGTAACCGATTAACCACGTGTAAGGGTCTGGCATATGGCAGGCATTATAGCGACAAGGGCGATAAGAAACGCCCGTCTGGAGGCGCGTGGGGACGTAATGGCGCAGCTGTCTAAGTGTTTCGAAAAGCGCATTTTAAGCGATTGAATAATGCAGCTACATAGATACTAAAATAAAAGGCACAATGCAATTGCACACTGACAGAATTATGAGAAATAAATGAATAAAATATGTGAATAAAAAAACGTACTTATTACGAATAACAACAACAAAACAATAGGCAAGGGTGCGCTGGAAAGAGACTAAGAGGGGGTTACGAAGCCATCGCACACAACCCAACAACATCAACAACAATTGGTTCGCATTTGCACAATGTGCAATATTTATATTGTGGCTATATACATATGTATGAACATATGTAGTATTCGTATGTATGCAGGCAAATGCCAGTTTTTAGGTATGTGTGCCTGATATTTAATCGACTGCGTCCACCGCTGTGAATTATTCAAAATATAAACAAAACAAGTGTTGAATATGTCCGACTAAGGCATACCTTGCACCCAGTTTTTAGTATGAAATATTAATAACTGAGCAGCCAAAAACCCCCACAAAGTGTGCTTCCTAATAACTCATTAAAGGAACGTTTATTGTACATACGGTTTGAAAGTTATTTGTCTTTACTCTCTTATTGCATTCAAACTATTTTCAAAAACTATCTAATCAAAACTAGTACTAATCAAAAGTTCCAAGTGAGAAAACGAGCAAAAATTTATTTTAGCATTGCAAAATTGCTTGCCTTGAGGCGAAATTCCCACATTTTCCATCAGGGAATTGGCTAAAAACTTTAAACTATTGTATAAAAACAAATGTGAAATTGGTTTAAAGTTAACTTGAACATTTTAAAAAAAATTGTTATTTTGTCTTGTATTATTATAGACTTTGGAACTAGACTTATGTACATATGTTATGTACATATGTATGCTACTGAGCTGCTGAGTTTAACATTCCTTATTTGCATATTCATTCACTGAAGTTGGGTTTAAGTACTTGTAGCTCTTTACGCCTCAATTTACTCATCACATTTGCATGCATTATTCCATATGTAAACATATGTATGTAGTATGTATTTGTATGTATTTTTAGCTACTTCACTTTGTCTTTTTGTGGCCTCAATTCAATTCACTGACTGGCTGTGTTTGTTTTCATTCTGGATGCACATGTTTTGTGTGCAGCATCTTTTGTAGTCTGTAAATGTCAGAGTTCCCATCTGTGGCCATTTGTTGACAGGCTATTTTTAACAGAATGTTGCTGGTTGGAGCACGTGCAATGAAAACTCAAAGGCCGCCTTCTTTAAATGCCATCCGTGTCAACAACACGGCTCGTTCGAGTGAAACGAAACTGCAAGTTACAGATACACTTAACTGCTTGCTGATACAGCAAGTCAAAAAATGAAAACCAGTTCTGCGTAAAAGAAACCAAAAATAAAAACACAAATCAAAACAAGACATGAGCAAAAAACAAATAAATAAATGCAAAGTGAAAAGCGAAATTTTGCTGTATATCCCCAACCCCAACAGCTGCCAGTTATTGCATCAGCTGATTTTGTATCCGACAGATACAAGCGCATATTTCACATTTTGTTTTCAATAAACAGCTGTTGGCCTAACTGCATACATACATACTTACATACATGCATACGAGTTTAAGCATTTTAGCATATATTTCCATACAAAATCTGAATCCCAAATAAAACACACATAAATAAACTCTAAGGCCAAGTGGAAATTGTTTATAACAATTCGTTTGCGCAACATTTGAATATATGTGTACGTATATACATACTAATAGCATTTTTATGGCACTTCTGAGCTAGACACAATTGCATTACTTAATATACTCGTATGTACAAACACAACCACCTACATGCACGAATCTCGACTGTTATCTGTTTTCTAACGTGCCCAAGTTCGTCGCGTCTATATAATGAGCACATAATTAATTACAATGCAACAACAATGTCAGCACTACCAGCTACAACAATAGAGTTCGTCCCAAGCCGCTTAACCGACATTTGTTGATGGCTTTTCATTACAATCGAAAAGTAATATTAATGGAAACTGGCTCGATTTTTTCTGAGTATGTCATCTCATTTTTATATTTACAATGATTTGTTGGCATTGGTTATTGTCATTGCTCCAATTTTCAATTCCTACCCATGTGCACTTTGTGTTGTGTGCCAAGTGCATTTATTTAACGAAAATTTTTGTATTCCCAACGCTTGTGCAAGACCAAGAGACATACTTATAATGTCTTATAGTATGTACATACATACATACATACATATGTATGTACCTATCATGATAGACAGCAGTTCTAACAATAGTTTAACATTTTCTCTTATGTTCTCTCTTCCTCTTTCTCTAAGCCTCAGAAGTGGTTCTGAGGCTTAAGAAAAAAGTTCATAGCAAGAAAAATTAAGCAGCACCTAATTGGCTGTCAGACCAAGTCTGAATTAATGGGAGCTATTTGTAAGTATTTATTTTAAGAAAAACCGGCTTCTTATTTATAATCAGCGCTGAAAGCAGCAGAAAAAAATATATATTCTCTTCTACAGCATTACACGAAAGATAATGAAAAAGAAATGCGACTGGACTACCAATATTGTGACTTGAATTAATTTTTTTAAAAGCTTTTTTTTCAATTGACGATTTCACTGAAACGGCATTAACTTGCACACAAAATACGTATGTTTAATTAAACTCAATGGCAATTCAAAAATAATAATAATAAGTGGAAAAATTAGGTTTAAAATAAAAAACAGTTTAAACATTCCGTCCGCATAGATTCGCGAATAATGTAGCGAATCAAATCGATTATGCTTATGTATTTTAGAAATCTATAATACGACATTGAACCGTATCAAGGCAAAGTTATCATAAGAACCTATTTGAATAACTCTAACAAATATGGTTTGACTATATTCTGATTTGTATGCCACTGCCCAAAATTCAGGCAACCAACCACTTGAGTCAATGAACACACACACTACTTGTATGTACGACCCTGAAACGCTTTAAGCATGAAACGAATCCATTTATACATATGTATGTACATACGTACATATATACATATGAATGTAGATGTACGGGCAACATAATACATACAGCCATACATACACACATACTTGTAGGCCAAAAAATCATCGCACGTGCGATAGAAAAATAGTGAGATAAAAGCAACAATCGAAATATTAGAAATGTAAACAAAGCAAAATTCAAAATAACATATTGTGTATGTGTGTGTGTTTGTGTGGGAAAGGCGAAAAGAATTAGAAGAATAAAAAGAAGTAATAAGCTGCCATTTTTTTCACAATTGCCGAGCATTTTGATATTTACAGCTTATTGCGTTTTATTTACCACAATGCTGACGCGTGTGTTACTTTTTGCTAATAACTTTTGTCCTCATGTTATTGAATAACAAAATAAAAATAAAAACAACAGCCAAGCCCACTACTAAACAACAACAGTATGCACAAAGTAAAAATGAGATAAACAAGTTTGTGGTCGCTTTACGTTCATTTCGAAATTGCCAAAGGTGAAAAAAAGAAAAACAAAAACAATGGAAAACGTCATCGGACACAACTCCACATACACAAGACCAATGAATGCACACGATTGAAAATTTTGCATTAATCTTACCTTACGGTGACGTCCTTTATAGACCACAGCAAAGGCGCCATGGCCAAGCATATCCTTCGAGCTGTACTCATACTCTCCGACAATATTCATTGCATGCAAGGCAAAGGCAAGAGTTGCAGATCTGCGTTGCGGGCGTGTGGCAGCAATGCAGCTTTGCTTTTGGTTCGTTTTTCTTTTCTTTGTTCGCTGGTCGACGCTTGGATCACTTGGCAGAGCAATCTGTGTTTGGGGCACAGGCCACTGACACCCTCACACGGATACGCAAACACTCACACACACACACAAACGCGCGCGTAGAAAGAAGCACGCATGCACAGGTCGTCGTCGTCGGTGGGTTGTGTGCTTGGTCTCCCAATTTCAATTGTGGAAAAATCAATTTTTTTGCATTACCCACAAGAACTACGCTACAATTTCACGTACACTTGCGTAGCACTCGTTTCTTTTGCAGCCAGTTGCACTACAGCTCACAGGCTCTTTGGTTAATTATCAAAAACACTTTGATTGCTTGTAATTAAATTAAACTTTTTTCTTTTTACATCAGCTATTTGGTGGGTGGGTAATTTCGTGTGTGTGTGCGTGCTAAATGTGCACAACACACACGGTAAAGCACGAAACAAAATATATAGACACACTCTGCGCGCCTTTTAGTAATTACGGCTCTGACGTTATCTAATATGGTAGGCAAGCCGTTTTCTTTTTCTTTTTTCCTCAACAATTTCTGTATTTCCTCAACTACTTCGCAAGACTAGTTGAGAAACGAAACGAAAACATTAACGATGAAAACACGACTAATCGGACATTTCGGAGTGTGACCGCACCGCAGACGGTTGCACACAGAATTTGTAGCGCAGCCCTCCCAGACTGCTGCAAATATCACATGTTCAATATAAAACCCGGTGCTACCAGACATTTCAGCATGTACCACACATGTATCCCAAATAGTTTGTATAATAAATGTATTTAACAGTCTTATAGGTCTAATTAAATGGCAAAAAGTATTGAAAATATTTGCAGTAACATCTATCGTATCTTTGATGAGAAGTACTTTTTTAAATTTATCATACATACCTTTTATTTCAAAAAATTAAAGTTACTGTGCAATTACAATTGTGTATAGCTATAAAATATAAATCAGTTTTGAAATTTCTGGAACATAATGCTTTCAATATTAAATAAATAAGTATTACAAAAATAATTGGCTTAGTCTATGGCAGTTGCAATTATTTTAGTTGTAAATGCACAACGAAAATAAATATGAAGTTTTGTCCCTATATGTATTAGGTAAAACTTCAAATGTGAAATGTTTCAATCTGAAAATAAGCTCATACGTTGTATCAGCAAATAAAGCAACCATCGCACATCCCTATTACAACTATTCCCTAAAGGTTGCCACTTCGATGAAATAAAAATATATAGCAGCTCTCAGTTTTACATACGCGTTTGTTGCCGACTGTAGTGTAGAAAAGCAATTTCGATGTAAAAAATAATATACATATATGGTTATATATATATAAACACACATACATTAGGAAAAAAGTTCTTCGTTGCTTAAAGTATAAACTAAACGAGCCCAAGGCAAGTGCAATATAATTACAAAATAATACGTTGCAAAAATGAACAAATTAGCAATGGTTATTTTTTCGGGTCTTGCTGTCTATGTATGAAGTATGTATATACGCAGCAGTATGGGTGGTAAAAGAAAATGTGGATACATACAGAGATAAGAAACGACGCAACAGCACAAAGCTAAAATTATAAATACATACAAGTATGCAATAAGTGATGTGTTTGTGTTAATAACAAATTTTTACGCTTTCAGCATTTTTATCAATAAGTATACTGCGTTTTTGGATAGCATGAGCGCTTCTAGTGAAGGCGCGGGAGGAGCGCCTGTTTCAGCAGCAACAACCGCAGCAGGTCAGTTATTTAAATATTATATATTTAAACATATGTTTGTAGGAATATTTACATTTCTTTCATATTAGTACAACCTGAAAATGTTCATTTGTGTTTTTGTTGGTGTCTGTGCGCTCTTGGTGTTTTTCCTTTGTACTCTTCCTATTTGCAATGTGCGCTTGCTATATACATACATACACATGAATGCATGTAGCGGTAGTTCTCTTTTGGTCACTCGTTCGCAGCATATGTATATGTGTATATCCGTGTTTTGTTATTACCTTGCTTTCGTGGCAGTGCTGCCAACCAGTGAGAAGTTTAACGAGTAACCGTAGCTTTGTGCCCAACAGCTGTGAATAAGTAACGAGTTTTTTATGATTTTTGTTTTCATTGAATGCTTTTTAATTCGACATGTAAATTAAATGCATAAACAGCGACAACGCCCAAAACCATTAATGTTATTCACCCACATACGCAAATACTACGGACTACGAAGCCAATCATAACCACAAGAACAATCCCAGCCAACCCAACAAAAACACAAGTGCATTTACGCGCCATAAACAAAAATTCAAACAAAAACTGTTTGCCTCCCGCAGCCCATGCCACAGTCGCAGCTAAAATAACGCATGTGAAACCGGATGGCAGTCTGGCAGGTGCACCTATTTCCATAACCGGCGCTCCAGTGGGGAGCACCATTATGACTGGCGGAACAATCAAAGTGGCCGGTGGTGGTGTACAAACTTCCCTTAGCGGTACACCCATTTCCCTCAATACTGGCGGTCAAGCGACCACAGCCGCCTCGATTCGCGCCATTGGCGCTGGCGGACAGTCAACGCAAGTGCGCGTAGTCATGCCAATGATTAAACAACTGGAAAATGTTACCGCCACCGGTCGTACACAGATCACGGCCATTCCAGCGGCACCAGCACGCAGTGTCTCCAATGCATCTATCACCGTTACACGCCCAGTTACACAAACTACATATTTGCCACGAGCTGGCGTGGGTGTAACCACAGCCCAACGTCTGGTCACACCATTGCGTGCCACTTCCTCGGCGGCTACTGTAACACCAACAGCTGCGGGTCTTACCACGGCCGGCGGCTTCGTTCGTGGCACCTCCGTCAGCCGCAGTGCCGTCTCACAGCCCTCAACTGTCATATCGTCGGCCAACAGTGCTGCCGCAACGGCTTGGATGCAAGGCACCACTGGTCAGGTGCAGCTCATTCGTGCCATACATCAGCCCGCTCGGCAGCGTATCATCTCGACAACAGGTGGTGCCCCAGGCGTGAGCAGCGCTAACGTTGCCGTCAGTGGCAGCATTATGACAACCACAGCAACACCTGTGCAAACTCAAGGCGGCGCAACAGGTACGTTTTTCGTTTTCTTGATAAACATAAAATCTAATTTGAAAAGTATATTTCAAAGTTCTTGTGAATCAAGTTTTTAGATTTTATGTAATAAAAAATGAAAAATATGGTTTAAGAAATCATGAAACGGTTAAACTAATAAGTGTAATTTGAAATTATATCAGGTCTGTCAGTAACCGCCGGGCAGGGGCTACCCCATGCACCGCCATCAGCCAATTCGGCCACACCTCAAGCTTATGTGGCCACTGTTTTGCCACCGCGTCAACATCAGGCCACGCTTGTCTACTCCAATGTGAGTGGAGCCCCCAACACAAATCCCAATGCTGGACAGCAATTTAATCCGAGTGTGGCTTCCGCTCAACGTTTTGCCGTCGCCACACCGCTTGGCACCGCCACTACCACTACGCCAGGTGGCACTACAGTCACCCCACGTCAGGTTCGTCCTATACCTTTGGGCAAATCTTTTCCCACCAGCATCAGCATACGGGCCCCTAGCATTCCACAGCTGAGTGCATCATTGGCCCCGGGCAGCGTTGCCCCTTCCACACCAGTTAGTGTAACCGCCGCAACGGTAGCTGCACGCGGCGCCGCCGGCTCTGCTGTCAGTGTCGCACCGGTTCTAACGACAACGAATTTGCCAACAACCCGGATTATTCAGCTGCAGCAACCAACCACCGGCGGTACACCTCAAATATTGGGCTCCACAGCACGTCTCACCGGAAATGTGATGCTGCAGCCCTTCCTTATGAGCACCACGGGTGCTAAAATGGGTAAGTCGCGTCAACTTTTAAGGTAGAATATGAACCTACAGATAAAAGAAAAAACATCAAAATAATTCTATATTAGTTTTCTGATTTAAGTGAACTGCCTGCTAATTATTTGTGGGTTGTGCAAAATGAATGCAAAATCTCTACATCTTTTTTAAAAAGGGGTGTACTTTGCTTTTTTGACTTAAAAAACATTGTATTATACTGTAGTAATTAATGAGTTACGGGCAGTTAAAGTTATTCTGTTAACCATGTACTAGTTTCTATAAAGGTGTCTGAACCGACAGATTAAGAACTACATTGCTAGCATTCTCACGATGTAGGCAAATATTGTTTTGATTAATTGAACTTATTATATCTCTTCTAGTAGGCATAAGACCACCTGTGACGATGACAGCCAAAGTACAGCCCTCGTTGACCATCACCCAATTGAATCCCATTGGCAAGCTATCGACTGGCGGTGGTGCCGGAACAGCCCAAACCAATTTGACACCACAGAGCGTTGCAGCGAGCATTCAGGCGCTTGGCGCCGGCTCCACATCGACACTGGGCGTCGCATCTAGCGTCGGCACTGGTGGAGCCACTGTGACTGTATCCCAAGGCGGTACACAACTGTTGCCGGGCAGCAATCTCGTGTCGAGTGGTGCAGGAGCAGCTGCCACAGGTGGTGCCACGGTTCTTCCACTGGCCATCAGCACACGTGGCGGACCGGGCAACAACATACTCACACCGATTAAGAATGCTAGCGGCATCACTGTGGGGAATCTGCTGGGCAGTGCCTCCAGCAAGGAACTAACCATGCCGTCAGTCAGTGTGCCACCAAGTGGTGGTGCTGGTGGTGCACCAACCAGCGTCTTCATTCAACAGCGAGCGGGCAGCGCAGCAGGCAGTGTGAGTGGTGGCACGGGCGGTGGTGTCAGTGTGTCTGCAACTGGACCGGGCACAGCTGTGGCCACATCCTCGGTGGCCGGCGCCTTCTTGCCGCAGGGCAGTGCAACCATTTATTACGAATCCATGCCGGCCAGCAACGTGCAAGTGTCCACGGGTGTGCTCTCCCTGACGACCACAACTCTGACGCAGAGCACGCATACACACTCTCAAGCACAGCAGCTGGTGAGCAGCTCTGGCAGCTTGTCCGTCTCATCGCTGCCGTTCGCCAGCCATTCCGCTGGCTCCACAGCCACGTTCACGGTGGTGCCATCTTCGTCGACATCTGCGCCAGGTGCGCGTACCATCAGTCAGCTGCAATTGCAAGCCGGCGGCACCCGGGAACTGGGATCAACGTTAGTGCAGGCAGCGACAGCAGCTGGTCAGCAGTTGCTCATACCGACCGTCGGTGGACAGACTGGCAATGCAGCCGCACAGCACATGGTCATACCGTTGCATACGTCTGTCAAAGTCACGGCCACCACCAGTGGCGGTGCTACAGTCAGCGCACTGCCAGTGCCGGGCAATGCCGGCACACTGGTCTCTAGCTTCATGCGCAAACGTGATGCCGAGGGCTCCCCCATTCGAGCTGCAAAAAATCTGGCGCCAACACTACTTTCTATGAGTAGCAACAATGCAACGGTGGGGTCTGCAGCTGCCACAACAGTGACGCCCGTAAATCTCCATAGCGGAACAGCTGCTGGTAGTGTGAATACGGGAGCAGGAGTCGGCTTAGCAGCCAGCATGAGCAGCAGCGCATATAGCCATGCTTTACAACATGTTACAGCAGCGTCCACCGTACTGCCTGTTAGCACCTCGTCTCTAACTGTGGAAGCTCTCGCTAAGAAGGATCGAGCTGCACATGCAGCCGCTGTATCGTCAGCTGTGGGAGTGGCAGCGTCCATTGTTGGGACTCGTAACGTACGTGCCGATTCGCCGGCCTCGTCCGACGGCTCCACAACAGTATCGGCCAATTCTTCGCCTGGCGTAGAACAGCAAATGCAGGACAGCAATCTCATCATCAATCGCATTGGCGATGGTCCAGCAACGTCCCGAGAGAATACAACACATTTTAATCCCATCAATGAGGTGAGTGAAATATTATTTATACCAAAACCAATGAGGAGATTTATTACAATAAAATATAGAAAGGGCTCTTGAAAAATAATAAAAAAAAAATTGTATACAAAAAGATTGCCCTCCATGATAGAGACATGAAGAATTCTCCTAAAGTTGTACAATTAAAAAAAAAAAAAAACAAAGACTGATTATATCAATTTAATGATAATGCAAATTTCTGAGACCCCATTTGAAGGTATAAAATTTATTTGAAAACATGGCGTTGCCAAATTTACCACAAAAATATGAAAAACATTTTTCCTTCAATATTTGTATCTTATAAAACATAATTACCAGAATACTTACTTCGATGAATAAATATGACTAAGCCATACTCGCGTTCTTCAGATATACAATCCTATAATGTTGTAAAAACAAATTCTTTTTCAAAGAATTAGTCGTTTAAAATATGCTATCGCTATGGATTGAGTTTATTTCGATGGAAATTTGATTAGTTAGTAGACACGTCAGGTTATACATATTTATTCAAATTAAATTACACAAACATGCACTTTTTTCACGGAATTAAGTTGGATTTTGAAAAATTATATTTGAAAAATTCAGCAATGTATAATTTTCTAGTCATGTTACAAATGTAAATAATTGCATACCATTAATTGCTATCTATGTAAATGCAAGAAACTGTGACAGCTTAAAAAATACATACATATGTACATATAACGAGAAATTGCTGTACTTACGAAACAACGAACAAGGGAGGGCAAGTGGACTTTCAAGTCATTTGACTCTATCTCTCATTTGCCATACCCAAGCGATATTTAATTTTTAGCTACATATAGACTTGTTTCATCTTGTTAGTGAGTGCTCAAATATTGCTTTTACTCCCTTCAAAAGTCTAGCAAAGTGAAGGGGCACACTGGGCCCTGCAGATTCGACTTGTAGGCAACTCTGTAGAGTGTTCTATTTGTAAGTGAGAATTCTCGGAAATCAGTTGAATTTTGACATTATATGCGGTTGATATACATATGTAATTTTGGAACAAATCTTAATCGATTTATTGCTTACAGCTATATGCAAGTCATCCTTCGATGCAACAGAACATGACGCACACGCCCATCAATGCCCGTACCGGCAACAATGTTTTCGAGCTGCAGGCGCAGCACCAGACGCACCATCTGCCCCAACAACAACAGCAGCAGGCAACAACAACATTACCGGCCCATTTGCAACAGGTAGCAAGCGTTGCAAATGCTGCACGTATGAACGGGGGCAGCGGCTACGATTGTCCAGCTCGCAAGAAGCCGCGACGTTCCACGTAAGTTGTGATTAAAGTTGAATAAATATTGTTATCCTTCTAATAATCGATTCCCAATCACTAGTAACGATAGCCAACACTCGACGCAAAGTCAGACTTCGCTCTCGCTGCCAGCGCCCACAGGCAGCAGCATCTCAAGCGCCGGCAGTGCTAGCAGCATCAATGTTACCACCGGTAGTGGCATCGGTGCAAGTGTCGGCTCTGGCCTGGAAGTTTACATGCAGCATAATAATGGTTTATTGGTCACATCAGCTGCTGGCACGCCCACCACTGGCGAGAACAATCATCGCCTGGGCTTAGGTAGTGGAGTAAGTGGAGCGCCCACTGTAACTGGTAATAAGGAGAACGCCAATCCTGTAGACTTCGTGCTGCGTCGCCCACGTAATTGTGCGCTGCTCAATGTAAGTTGGCATTTTAATTCTTGATCACTTGAATTATGAAGGGGAACGCCATTTTCATATCATTTCATTTCAGACCTTCAAGCCCACCCACAAGCTTGCTAACAATCATTTTCATAGATATACGGATGTAAAACCACGTGAGGAACGTCGGCCCACTGTCATTGATTTGGCAAATCAGCCCAATGTGCACGGCAAAATAAGTGGCTGGAAAGTATACCATCTACGTTCGCAAATGGAGGATTTGGTAGGGCACATTTGTACATCCAATATATGTTTGAAGATAGGCTAAAGAAATTCGTCTTTCTTGCAGAACGAATCGGAGATGGTTAGCCTGAACCAGTTGGAAACTATGCTGAAAGAGCTGGAAAAGGATAAGGAGAAGCACAGCGAAATTGAGCGCATTAGCGAGCTTCTAAAGGTATGCTTACCTATATTAGATAATGCACTAAACTAATCCTATTTTATGTATTTCAGGGCAACATACAACGTAGCAAAATCGTCACCGATGGTATCAATGAGGCACAGCTTCAGATTATGAAAATCTTTGATCACAAGCCGCATGTTTCGGACATTATTAATCGATGCGCCTCGAAGCGAAATTTCAAAAAACGCGAAAAGATTTAGGTATAAGTAATATGCATGATTATATATCCATAGAGACAACGACGCCTGTACAGTCTAGGGATATTTTTATACAGCATCTAGTAATATCCCAAACATAACGTGGTTTTATAATAAATCAGTAATTTAATAATTTAAATTAGTACATTACCTTAGAGTAATAATTAATTTTAATGCAGCTGTACTTTGTAGGGTATTCTATACAAAAGAAAAAAAAACAAAAAAAATATATATATATATGTAACACTTAATATGCCAAGCAATAATTATGAAATTTTATGTGTAAAATCAATCCTACGATTGAAATTGTACAAATGAAAGTTCAAATGGTGCGTAAATAAATACACTTTGGCAATTTATAAGCTCATTTGAAAATGTTTCACAAATACTGTGCTGTAATTTCTTATTATTTATTAAAAATAATATTAAAATATCGCTTACAGTTCTACTTGTGTCTCCAAATGTTAATTAATGTCTTTCTATTTCGGCCCCTTGTTCTACATGTTGCTGTTATAAAAATAGTGATTACAACCACTTAGTAATGTCATAGATATTTATGGGGAGATTTTGCAGTAGCTTCACCAGTTGACGAATTCAAAACTTATCAATCTTAAAGTAAACTTTTTTGCGGAAAAACAAATGTAGTAGTGTCATCTAGAAAGAAGATAACTATGCCAATAAAATAGAGTTTCATTTAAAATTTCAGCTTACTAAAATACTCCGGAAAATTTCCGCAGCAATATGACAATCAGCCAAATTTTGAAAAAACGTACTCTAAAGCGAAGACAAACAGGAAATATGCTTTATCTTGTATTGGAAATTGAATTTGTTTTATTTTATTTTGAAACTGGGTAGAATTAAATTTAGTTAAAATATGTGCAAAATAAAAAAATTACTTGTGTTCTTGATATTGAAATTATTTCGGAACCGGGATTAACCAAAAGTAATTTTATTTCAATATTATAAGCTTTTAGTAAATTTTCAATCGAGTGAAATATCTGTTGATTTTTTTTTTAATTTACTAAAGTCAGAAACTTTGCAAAAGGACTTACAATTAAATACATAATTATTTTTTTAATTGGAAATAAAAATGTTTAAAATAAAATAATATATTTCTATTTCTGTATCTTTTTTTAGTGTTAAGTTGATTAAATTTTTTGGTGCTACGTTTGAGATGTGACATTTATGAACATAAAACTCAAGAAAGGCGGGAATTAAGAAATTTCTTGAGGACCCACGATGAAAAATCGTAGCAAGCAGGTTAAGATGACCTACGAAAAATACATAGTTGAATGTTCTGGGCATGGGACAGGAGGATTTGAAAATGCTTCAAAATGGTTTGCAAATAAATCTGCTGTTATTCGAATAAGCAAATCGAATGTGTTGTTGCAAAATGTTTTATTAATTGAATGCCAAATACAAAATTTTGCTTGCATGTACCAAGTTTACATGGGAGGCGGGGGCGGCACTCCATTGAACATTGGATGCATGGCCGGTCGCGGTGGTCCTGGCATAGGGAATCCAGCAGGTGGACCGAGCGCACGGTGCAAATTCGGAGGTGGTGGTGGCAGTATTTTCGGTTCGAATTTAAATGCAAATTGTAAAAAGAATTGTTTGGTATCGCGATTCCAATGCGTCCAGAACTTGCCCTCTGTTTTTTCCACTTCTCGTGATGGCACCTTGAACCCAATGGTTTCGTAGGGCTCTGCCGCAAAAAGCAAATACTGCCATTTACGATCTGGAGGCTCGATCTTCTGCTCGTAGGCGGACATAAAACGATGGCGCGGCACAATGACATCGGTAATTTCTGGATAGTCAATTTGGAAAAGCAGTGACTGCTGCCCATTGCTCGGTTCGCGTTGTTTCGTCACCCGGTAGCCAGGACGTCCGATTTTTACAAACTTCTTGGGTTCCACGCGTGGCTTTTCAGGCGCCAGCAGCGAAGAGGGCGCTTCTTTCGCTTCTTTTGCCGCACGTCGAGCCAAATTTTCCTGATGTTTCTTGCCTTGAGTGTGCGCTAGGTAGCTTCCCTCGTTATTATGCAGCGTAAGACACAGTTTGCACTCGTACGAGCCCAAGTGGTTCTTCATAAAGTACGGATCCTTGTTCAAGTCGATAGTTTCCAACGCCAGCTGGCGAAGGCGCTCCTTGCGGTCGCGATTCGTCTCCGACCAGGAGGCGACACCGCCACTGCCGGTCTTTCCGCCGGCACGGTTTTGGAAATCCATTATTTTACAACAAACTAAAACGTTTATCTGTACCCTGCGTCGACTTTGGTGGTGTTTACTAGGGTTGTCAAGTTACCGTTGTTAGGCTTATTTACAAATATGTATAGCTTTGTGGAAAAACACGGATGAAAATGTACATATGTGCAAAATCTTTTTGTTTAGAAATTTTAACAATTGAAATAACTGCCGTAGGTATTTTTTGTAAATTTGGTTTTAATCCTTCAGATTCTTTTTGCTTCGACAACTCTTGATATTTAACAAACAGTGTTGCCCCATAGAATTTGAATGAAACCGCTCTTACAATAAATAATAGGCATTTGTGAAAGTACAATGTTGTTGATTCATTAACTGAAACTATATTATTTTTTAAAAGTTGTTTTGAATTGGCTGGACTTCTTTTTAATACTGGACAAGAATTACCATATTATTAAGCTGCAGCCCTGCCTCGTTCATATTTTTCCCTCTTTGCGGTTGGGCACCATTGGTCAACACTGCGCAAAAGGCGTGCATTTCATCGACTGTTCGTCGCATTACTTGTGAGCTAGAAGTATTTTAATTGTTAAGTGTGTGACGGGATTATTAAAAGCATGGAATCGAGGAAACCGGATCGGGGTAACATGCCGATAACGCCGTCGGAAGTTAATTCAAACCTTGTTGCAACTACGTTTAGCAACAACAAAGTTGCACAGTCGTCCAATAAATTATCCCCACCTAAACGCATTATAAAAACAATTGCCGTCGATTTTAATAAGTTAAAGGCCGCTGGCTTAGACAGAAAAATTGCCGAAGCATTGAGCAGACATAAAATTAATGCTGCAGCAACAACTACCAAAAGTGGTGTAAACTCGTCGAGCGTTCCGTCGCAAGAGTTCTCTTCAATAACAGGCACACATCAACAGGCGCAACAATTGCAGCGGAATGAGTGTCCAACAATTGACCGTCATGGTAATTAAAAATAAAAACAAACCTTTGTAATATTTACTATTTATCACCATTCGGGGAATTCTGTAAATTTTGTCTCGCAAATTCGCCTGTTAAATGACTTTCAATCACTGACTGCAATAATCGTTCCGCGGTGGTATTGGTTAATGTCTCGGTCTTACATGCGCGTCTGTAAGAGATGTTCGTCTCCGATTTGGGTTTGGGTTCGTGAGTGTTATGTTTCCCGTTGTGAGAATGAATAATATTTAAAGGTTTTGGGGTTTTTTGAGCTACATATATTTTTTAAAGCAATTTAGATAGCCATAACTATTAAAATGAAAAAAAAAATTATAAATTAATGAATAATTGTGATAATATGAAGTAATTTTATAAATTTGTTTTTTTTTTTTCAATAAACCTGAAAATTACTTGTTCTAAAATGTTGACTGAAGAATGTTATACGCTTCTAGGTTCAATTATCTTAAAAGTAATTTTAAAGCTTTTGTCAAGATAAAGTTACGAGCAGCTCTGGATTATTACATGCAATAAATCTAGGCTGCTTCTATATTTTTTTGTCCCCACCGTACAGAATACGCCCTGAAGTGTCACTTTCGACATAATTGCTAAATCTTTCTGAATGGCCTAAGTCGTTGAAGTCAGCGGTCGGGCGTAGGATATTTGTATGAGAATAACCCGTTGGCCCGAGTTCAACTCTCACAGCATGGATTTTTTGAGTATGAGAGTGGAGAAATGTTTCATTAGTTGAAATTTGTTTTAGATGTTGAATTTTTATAAGGAAAATGAAGAGCTATTTTAAAATCCTTTTTTTAACGTTTTCGTTAAGCAAAATTTTTGCCAATTTATTTATATCGTAAGGCATCGAACTATGAGGCATAATATAATCGTATATAAGTATATTACGTATAAAGTGAAGTATACTTAGGTGCTTAAAATAGGTGTAAAATGTATTTATCTGCTAGATGTTACTTAAGCGAATTTGAAATTACTGACGTTTATATCGTCTCGACTTATCTCTGGTTTCAAAAACATGCATTGTAACGATTAATTCGATTCTTCAAAGGTACATAAATGCAATACAAATAAATTCGAACATACAGTCGCGTGACTGATTTTCGTATCAGACGCACACCCACTAAACCAAGTCTGTCATACTTGTAATATAGAATATGATTTCCAATTCCATTCACAGCTTCGAAGCCCATCAGAAAGGCATCCATAGTATCCAGCTACATACAAAAGGTAGTACCACCTAAAATTACAATAACACGACCACAGGACTCTCCGCCTGCCACTCTGCAGCAGTTTCCATCAAGTGAGCTCATCTCCCATCCAACAAAACCAGTGGACGAAGCGGCGGCAGCTAAAGCGGCTATGGAGCGTTCAATGTGGGTAAAAGAGCTGATTAAGAAAAAAATATTAAAGAAAACAAATGAACCAGTGGGAGAGTTACAGACACAAATGACACAGCCAGAAAAACCACATACAAGCAACAATGAAAAAACAACAACAGTTTCTGGCAACTTTTTGACATCTATACCGAAAGCTGATCTTACAGTGCGGAAGCCAAAGCAGCAGCCCCTGTTACTTAACACGGTCAATCAATTGCCCGCACGGAGAGCAAGATGTCCGATCAGCAAAAAAATGCAAACGGAACTTGAAACAGATACATCCATGCCAAGTGAAAGTTCTCCAGCCAGTCCACTTGTGCTTGAGCACAAGGTATTGGCGCCTGATGAAAAGATAGACATTTGTGGCTTGCAGTTGCCCGTCTCGACGTCGACAACCATACAACCAAAGAAAATTCTAAATGCAGATAAGCTGAAGGTCCCACGTGAAAAGATCACCCAGATGGCAAAAGCAATACGTAACCAGTGGACGGAATCATCGCCATCAACTGCGTCTAAACCTAAAGAGTACGATAATGATATGATGATAGCATTGGTGGTTCAATCCCCAAAGAGTGGACCCAAGCAAAATTCTTCATCTTTGATGAACAAAGATGTAGGAGTTAGGCAACCAGTAAAAGCTGCTAGTGTGCCCACGTCATCGCCTAAAATACTGTCTGCCGTTGATTTTATCGCACAGCTAGCTGCGTCTAATCCTGGCACAGAAAATATGATGGAGCTGTCACCTGAGGAGCTGAGTTTAAGCGCAACATTCGGTCTTGGCCAGTCAGATCATTTATTTCCGGCTCAGAGCAAATCAGATGACTTGGCCATTGGTAATATTGTGGAAATACAAAATATGAATATTTTGCATGCAACTATGGATGTAGTGGGAGATAGTGGGAACGTGCTGCGCATCAGTCCAAATACAACGATGCCACAAAGTTACAATTCAGATCAGGAAGTGATTTCAATTAAAGTTGAAAAAAATCCGCAAGAAAAAGATGTGCCACAAAAAGAAACAACGAAATCTTTGTCGGAAACGATTGGAGCGCCTGATATGGAGCCTACAAATAATTCAACAAGCACAAATTCTTTATCTACGCCCATTGTGAGACCTGCGGGAGAAGAGACTACACAAATTATGTCGGAACCATTAGACCAGCTCAATAATGAAGCGAGAAAGTCGACCTTACCTGTTAGACGACCGATATCACTATTAATGAAAAGTAAAATCAATTTAGTGCAACGAAACAAAAGGGCCATAGAGGCAACTAAGCCCCAAGCTAATAAAGCTGTAGCTGACGTAGTGTCGATTAAAAAGGAGGAAGCAATACAATTAGATACAGACAATAGCCAGAATATCGTAGAAACAGATGGATTGGTAAATTCAATTCCAAAAAGGCTAGAAGATGGAGATAAAACCGCGAAACTCGTAACAGGTGAACATTTAGATCGAAATATTATGGAAAATGCAATTGAAACAAAATCAATCACAACGTCACCTATAAATGAGGTTTTACTTGAAAGCAACACCGAATCGCAGTTGGCTCTTGGAACAGTGACAACAAGGAGCGATTACGTGGACGAGCCGGAAAATACAGAGACCAATTTTAAAAATAATAAATCAAGTGAGTCTGAAGAATCGCCTAGCAATATAGCCCCCAAGCGAACTGGTGTCCAAGACCTATCTCAGTTCTTTAATCCACCAAAGATAACAAAGTACAAACAACAGCAGCAAACTGAAAATAACGATATGGTAAAAATTGAGAGCGATACAGAGAAACAAAAGACAGTGTCTCTACGAGATGTGTTATCGCAGGAAGCGCCTCCGGTGCAAGGATTAGCACAGGTGCCTTTTCGCAGCTCGCCTGCTACGTGTGATGCCAAGAGAAATATAGATGAAACCGTGGGCATTACAAATTTGGTAACCCACCTGGCGAGAGAAAATGTTGTAGTGGTAAAGCCTCAAGTCCCAGCAGATGAATCAGGTATGGCTGAAGAGACAAAATATGCGGAAGAAGAATGTGCGACTCAAAAGGAAGTGGCAAGCAAAGTCTTTCGAAAAAAGCTCTTTAAAGCTCGACCTGTGCTCGGTAAAAGACCGTCTAAACAGCCGTCACCAATCCGTTCGCCTAAGGACTTGAATAATGTGGAGGCTGTGCCAAATCAGCAACAAACTAAAGATAACGGAGAGGCTGTAAAGCCAAAGAGCAAGTGGTTGCAGACTGAAGTCAATAGCAATAACTGTGAGAAGGTCACATGCAATTCAAATGATGATGATAGCAACGATTTCTTTGGTTTCGATGATATCAGGAATAAAACACCGAAAGTACTCAAAAGGAAAAAGGAAAGAAATAAAGCAAAAAAGATCGTTTCAGCGGAGATATTTGGAACTGATATTAGTGATGATTCAACGCCCGCATCGGAAAATGATGACTTTGTGCAGGATGTGGTTTTAAACTATAAGAAACAGCAAAAAGATTCCATTGCTGAGACAATGGCGATACCAGAAAGTGCAGTAATTCAATCAGAGTGCGAGTCAGTAGAACATATGTCAGCCGAAGTTGAACCCGCGAACTCTACGAGCAATCAAGAAGCGATCACTAATTCAGTTGATACTTCAATAGCAGTGCCCATTGAGGATGCACTAGCAAACACCGCCAATCATGTTCCTAAAAAACGGGGGCGCAAGCCCAAAATCACTGTCGGCGCCACGCCAACGTCAATTACTGATTATTTTCCTACTTCAGCCTCAACTTCGAAACAAGAAGCCACGCCTATCCCGCAAAAACTCAGGCGCTTGTCAAAAACATCAGTTGAACTATCACCTGATCTAACTACGATTTCACCGGATTGTCCACAAAGTAAGAGAGGTCGGAAGCCAAAAAATATCAGTTCGACTACTGAAAAAACTGAAATCAGTTCTGTGATTACTCCAGCGACCAGCAGACGTGGTCGTAAGCCAAAAAATTTAAGTGACTCGTTCACATCTGCATCTGGCACAAATGAAGAGGTCACAAACACACCGATAACCAATAAACGAGGTCGCATGTCCAACACCATTATCGAACCAAGTGAACCACTCCCAAAACGTTCGTGTGTTGATCAGATAAAAGATACAAGTAATGATAATAATGATACAGATGAAGTGCCACTTTTTCAGCCAAGTGCTTCTAAGCGTCGTGTAGGTAGACCACGAACGGTTGGCCACAACCAGGAGCAGCAGCAAGCTGAAAAGCCTCCGACTGAATCGGATTTTAGTTGGCGTCTGCTGCTCATTTCGAAGCGTGAGCAGCTGGACACAGAAGAAGAGCTGCGCCCCGGGGCGATTGAAAATGGCAGTGGAGAAGGAGCAATTCAATGTGGCCTCTGTCTGGTGCGCACCAGCAAGAACCACTGGCTTGAACACTTGCGGGAACATTATGGCGTTGGATGGTTCGCAAATCAACAAGCCCCGGTAAGTAGTGCTTAAAATCGTCGTACACTTATACATAGTATTATTTAATATGTAGGCAGATTTAGGTTTACATTTGCTGTTGCAGCATCCTGCGTTTTTAAAGCAAAAGTTCCAAAACTTTGAAATAAAATATCTTTTATGCGTTCCAATTCAACTAAATAATAATTATAATACTTGGACGAACCTCTATAATAATTTGAAACTTAGATTATATGAAACTAATAATCATTTTTAATTATTTAATTTTTTTTTTTTTGCAAAATGAAGCTAAAGTATGTGAATGTCTGGAAAGTGTTAATTTTAATGTTATATCACATATTTTGTATGTCCTCAATGGTTTACAACAATAACACATTACTCAGGCTATTTCTCTATTTATTATTTCAAGCTATTTAAAATCATATATAATAATCTTTTATCCATCTTCATGTTTTATGTGGCGTCAAAATACAATAAATATAGTACTTAAACTTTCTTACTCGTTTGTGTTCACAGACTCTCACACGCTCAGCTGTACTTAATATGATGGTGAACTATTTAAAGAATCCGTCCAGTCCCAAAAAGTTGATTTGTCGACTGTGCGGTCGTCAGTTGGGCTCTGCTCTAGGCATGATGCTGCACCTGGAAGGTTGCGGCATTGCGCCACAACGTTTTGAATGTCCGAATTGCAAAAAAAGCTATACCAAATTGTCCTTGCTGACTCATGAACGAACATGTTGGAGTCGGAAAAGGGAGGAAGAGGATGCCCAGAAAACGAAAGAAGCTGACCAGAACGTCTGCAGTGAACCTGTCTTTAGTAATTCAGGACGTGCAAAACGCCGCTCCACATTGAAGTTTGTATAGGAGTTAAACGCTTCATCAGACCTTAATTAATTGATTTATTCCGTTCTGTAGAGCTGAGCAAAAACTCAAGAAAATTGGTGCGCAGTTGGAAAATCATAAAGATATTCCCAGAAAAGACTTTGAGGGCGAAGCATCAGATTATGACGTGCGGAAGGATAAAGAATCCTCTGAGGAGTATGATTCCGAAGGTGTAAATTCCAACGATGACGACATTCTGACTGAAAACGAGTGCGATAATAATGGAGAAATGCGCGGAAAGTCATCAAAAGCCAAGTCTAAAATTAAGAGCAGTTCGTTGATCACCTCTGTAGCTCAATGTAAGTACCAAAGCGAGAGCAAGATTGAAAGGAATTTTAATTAGTTTTTAAATAGTAAATCGACAATGAATTCCATTTGACTGTTTGACCATAGCATGAGTTGCAATGCTGTAATGCTTTTGTGTACATATATATATTTATAATTAATTTTGAACTTTTGCAGTGTATGGCCGTAATGTGAATGCGAAAAAAGTAGTTGAAAAAGTAGCTGAAAGATGGAACGATTTGTAAGTAAATAATAAAGAATATTATCTAAATTTTCTTGACATTTATTGATTTAAATCCTTTTATGACCGGCAGCAAGAAGCTAAACTACTCTTCGGGCGTTTTGTACGAGCAGTTGCTACCACAGTTCATCGTATTGAGTCCGAAGGAGGTCAGTGCGCTGTTACCTACCCAGATCAGTCGATCTGTGCGTTACGCCTATGGCAAGAAACCGGATGGTGAATGGGCGCAGCTTAAAAGACTGCAAAACTTCCATGCAAAGAGTAAGTTTATATTGTTGGACTAAACGGATAAACTGATAAATATAACCTGAACTTTGCAGCTGAAAACATTACCTATCTGGGTGCCCCAATCAAGCAGTTGTGCTGGGTGCCTTTGCCGGCGTCGGTGAAGTCACAGTACCTCCTCTGTTCCCTACGTCCACAAATGCACGCCTACACGCGGCATACGAAAACGACGCAAACGTGCGCCCATCTAATGCTCCTCAAGTGCACGTTGACGGCGAATGTCGAAAAGGATCAGTGGCCCTTAGATACGTGCTTACACTATAGTATAGTCCTGCGCTCAGGTGCTGTGCATAGTTTTGCTTTTATGCCCAGCGGTGGATACGACGTATCCGCCAATCGGCTGGGCTTAATGGCCGTGGGTGGCGCAAGCAGTGATATCAATATTTATGCGCTGCCATTAGATGCCGATGTGACGAAGGATGAGGCTTTTATCGAACTGAAACCGGTGCTTGTGTTGACCTTAGAAGTGGATAGGCCTGTTCTGGATCAGTGCGTGAAGCTAGTATGGTCTGAGGTGAGATGGGATTACGATTTAAATAAAAACTGTTCAACCATATGTTTGAGGAATGACAAGTCAATTAATTAACAATTAACCACGAACTGGTATTTTTAAAACTGAAAAACCATAATGGAAGTGAAAAATATTTCCTGATAATACTGATTCCCTTTCCATAATTTGAATGTTTTAAATTCGTATTGAAGCAGATGGGAGATAATTTAGTACAGTCTTAAATATGGCGATTCTAGTCAATATTTATCAGCAGTATTAATTATGCAAAGTTTGTATTTTATAATTTTCTTATATCTATATATTATATAGACGACTGTCTATATCTTATCTCTATTGTCTTCCGCACTGCAAAAAAGAGAATAGCTAAACATAATACCAAATAAATTGAACCGAAACAGAACATTTAAAAAAAATATAAGTAACAGTGCGTGCCAGAATTGTTAGACTATTCGGTTTATTCGCTGGATTAAATGTTGTACCATCAGATTATTAAAATTTTAATAATTGCTTTATACATAGATCTAATCCAATTGTTTTACATTTTATTTTAGAGCGCTGGACACAATTTCTTAGCGGCAGGCTTTGCTCATGGAAACATTGCCTTCTGGGGTATTGGCGAGGAGCATTCGCTTAACTGCGTCGTGCGTAACAATCAGAAATATTACCTGCCTGTGCATTTCTTTTATTTTGGGGAACGTAACATCAAATGTAAGTCAAAATTCTTTCTCATAAAACTATTCTACTACGATGTATCTATGTGTCATAATCAGTTCTGGAGCTGCACTACGACTGCAATGGACCACGTTGGATAGCTATTGCCACCGTATCGCGTAATCTGTGGATCTATGACATAGCCAACTGGACTCTGCCGGTGCCAGTCAATGTAAACTCAATCGCCATCGTTTTGGCCAGCGTCCACTGGCCTCCCGTATGGGAGACAATCGCTTACGGCTGCAGTGAAGTCTATAAGAAAGGTAAGTAATTATACTAGTAATCATTGCTAGAATGATACTAATGATCTATTTCAATTCACAAAGAATTTCCGCGCTTAGTAGCCGTCAATCCGACCGGCGTTTGGTTCACCAGTAGCACCATTGATCACACGCTGTCCAGTGCTCGAGCGCAAGACTTCAGCTCACAACTTAACGTACAGCTGGTGGCCACTGATAACGGCGATGTGGTTTTCATCAACACACGGGAAATGAACATGGAATCGATGATTACAAAAGATAAACAAATTCGTCGTACTGTGGCCATGACCGAGGCGCACAAATTGATCGATGAGCCGAACAAGGAGGAGAACAAATACATCAGTACGACCGATTTTGAGAGCAATTATGGGTTGCTGCTTACACCATTACGTGGCATTTCATTGGAAAAGAAGAGGCAATTATACTTAAACGAGAATAGGCGCCCACACTTTGATCTGCTATCGATGTTGCGTTACAACTCCGCACACTTTAATCGCAATGCCCATTATGAAAGTTGGGCAGCCGTTGGTGGAGAGCATGGCTTGCTGCGAATCTTTAATTTTAGTCGCGGCTAATTTGTCTACCCTAATCGAATTTGTTTCAATCTATTATTGTGAGATTATACCCGTATTATTTATAAAAATTTTAAATTTGTACGATATCTTAAGAATCCTTATAAAACACATTGTTTTTTTTTTTTTACTATACATATATTATTATTTTATTTTTTAAGTGTTGCATTGCATTATGGTTATTGAGTTATAGCTTAATTTACTTTTAAATATTGTATGAGTCATATTTAATATGCATTAGTAGTCATTGTAAAAATTTGAAGGATAAGTGAAGCGCATACATTTATAGAGTGTATTAAAATGAACAATTAAAATGATACTAAAAATACGAAAGGTGTTAAAATATTCAAATAAAAATGTAAATGCAATCTGAGCAACCCTAGCTCCTTATAGCCGTGCGTCAATTATTTCTTGAAATTCATTCCTATTGAGAATATCATTCAAGCAACACATTCGAATCAAAATTGTGTAAAAAACGAAAAATCTATTTGAATTTCGTAGGCACATACATACATAGAAACATACGCGAAAGGCGAACAGTCAACTATGGAGCCAAGCACTAGTAATCCAAGATCGGAGGGAAGTATTGCGTTGGAGAACTATCAGAGACGTTTGGTGAGCCTCCTGGAACGCATGAACCGCATGGAGCGGTCTCTGAGTACGCTAACAACAACTGGAATGGCAGAAACCAAGCCCGTTGAAGAGCCACAGCAGACATCTCCAGAGATCTCTGATAACGGGGAGGCGGAACAACCATTGTGTGGCGATGGACCTAAGATGGATGTTTAATAACAATCGATTCGATTTTGATATGCGGTTAGTCACAAAAACGATTGTCAGTAACACAAATAATGGATGTATTATATGATCTTTTTAAATCTGATTATTAGCAGTAATTTAAGATATTCCCAATACATCGATATAACTATGTTGACAGCTCTACTTTATAGTAGAATTCTTAGGAAAGGATCATAGCAACATATAGCTTGATTTAAATTGATGGCTGACAAACGATTGCTTTGTTTTAAGCATTCGTTGATGTAATGTTGATAGATATTTGGACTATCTTCTTATACACATAGCCGACCGCTCTTTCTTCTTGCGAATATGCTGCACACATGTTAGCCATATGTGTTAATGTTTGATCGTCTTATTGTTGGTATTAACACAAAATAATGTAACGAAAGAGTCTATATGCTCCCTTTTACCAAGATCTACTTTCAATTATAAAACATTTTTAATAGGCGACCTGCCTACTACCCTGTAATATCTCACAGTAGAATTCTAAGCTTACTATTCCATATGCAGCGCTCAAACCAACATAGGCATACATATTTACCGATGTTGCTAGTGTTATTGAGTGTGATTTGATAGATTTGGAACTAGAATGTTTTTGTAATTGCTGATTTAATTCCCGGAAAGGTCATAAAGTGAAACGATTAGAAATTTTTATAAAACTTTTGGTGATGATTAAAGCTATGTTATATTTGTTGTTTGAATAATATATAATAATTAGCAAGATGATAAAATTGATTAGGTATGATTGTTAAATGTTTTCATAAACTTTGAATGCATTGATAATAAGACTGATAGGGATTATAACAAATAAAACTTGATTGAAAAATATATATTTTTTATGCATATATAATATTTTTAAATTTTATTTTAATTCTAAAGTGGTTTACGAGTTTAATATTAATTAGAATTCTTAACAGATTATTGTATTATTTTTGGGCATTCAACAAAGTTAATATTAAAATAGATGTGTAGAAGACATAGTATTGTATATTTCTTACCTTATTTTCCGCAAACTGAGAGTTAAATTTTTCAGAGCCACAATTTCAATTTCCAACTAAAAAAGACTGATTTTTTTTATTTACAACATCATTATTTAATATATTTTCATTCACACTAATATGTATAATATGCTCTGCTTTACAATTTATAGTACGTTTTCGAAATACTTTAACAATGATACAACGCTTGAACATTTCATCTATGATAAGCAGTTGGTTTACGATGTGGATTCGGTTTTTGTTTTAAAAACTTGTTGCCGTTGTAAATATGTAATCGTATGACGGCATTATTATTTTTATATATGTATGTATATGGGTATATATGTATGTATATAGTTGATTACATTAAATTAATTAAAAATGAAATATGTAGGAATCGGTAGATAAATGTTTTTCTATATAAAAATTATAAAAACATCTTGTATAGCATATGTATAAATAAGTTAGCAAAACATGTGACCTAAAACTTAAATGTGCTCTAATCGCTTAAAAACTGAATTTTACGTTTGCTTAATTACATACAAAGAACTCTAAACACTCGCAGATAACATACAGATAATATATAGTTCTATAATTAATATAAAGAATATCAAAAGGAGTAGTATTAGAGATTAAAAAGAATAGTTTGAAGACATGGAAAAACAAACAAAACTTATTGCTCATCTTATGAAAACTTTTTAGAATTGTAAACAAATTTGGAATTACATAAATTATTAAAATATAAAAAACAGGGAACATATATGCGTTGTGCTAAATGCATTGATTTTCATCCTTGTAATTGTTTATAAATATTTTAAAAAGGCATTCGCACACATGGCTGTTGTCTTTTCAATGGCTTAACAGAAATACAAATAATTATAAATTATCAAAAGACGTAATTGCAGAATTGTTGTTTGTGTGTGGCTGAGTTGACAGTGCGAGCAGATTTAACATTAACTTAACAGCGGCTTAACATTTCCGGTGTGTGTTATGCACTTGACCTTCAGTCTTCGTTCTTAGTTGTTAGTGTGTTTGCAACTCTTTCTCTTTCAATCTTTGCCTCATCCTCATCCTCTTCCTCATTCATGATCTCTTTCTTTTGCTATTCCAAACAATATTAAACAAATATTTGTCGAATTGTATGCTCTTTAAACAAATTGAAGCCTTCACTTAACATAACGTAACTTTTCTATATCTTTTTTAACAGACAGCTTAAAAGTTGTCGAAGTGAGGGGCGTTTACTTTTCAGCCAATGGTGCCGATGCTACGATAGCGGTATGTCTGTTACCCGCCAGCTCCGCCTGTATCTCGTTAAGGCTCTTGCCCTTTGTCTCCGGCACGGCAAAGAATACAAACACCACACCGATAACCGTGATGGCAGCAAAGAGCCAGAAGGTACCGCCATTACCAAGCCAAGCATTCAGATTGGTAAACGTTTTGGTGACCAAAAAGGCCAGAACCCAGTTTGAGGTGCCCGCAATGGAGCCGGCAAAGCCCTTAATGTCGGTGGCGAAGAGTTCGCCCATCATCAGCCATGGCACGGGTCCGTAACCGATCGAGAACATTATAATGAAAATACACAGGCTAGCTACTGGCAACCAACCAAGATCGCTCACAGAGCTCGCGTCCTGATCCTGCAGGTAGAAATAAACGCCAATGGCAGTAGTCGAAAGGGCCATAACGACACCGGAGGCAAGCAACAGTATGCGGCGACCCAACTTGTCTACCACCAGTGTCGAAACGAATGTAGCAACAACTTGCATAACTCCCACGAGTATGGCCGAAAGTGTGGGTTCAATGCCGGTCTGGGCATCCTGCAAATACAGAAGATCAAGCCATTAGCTGAAACTCTTACTATATTCCAATTATTTTAGGTACTTACTTCAAAAATTTGATTCGAGTAGAAAATGACAGCATTAATGCCGCACAACTGCTGGAAGAACATAAGACCCAAGCTAATGCCCAAAGCCTTCAAGGTAACAGGACGACTCAGTGCACTAAATACGTTTACTTTATTCTCCTTGATCTCGCGGTCGGTCTGATTGAGTTCCTCCAGCTCGGCATCATAGTTGTATTCCGTGCCGCGCAGCCACTGTATTGACTTTATAGCACCTTCGGTCCGGTTCTTGGAAACCTTTTGGAGGAAAATTTCAATTATAAATTTGTTATTTCATTACACAAAACCATAATAGGCAGTTATAGGAAATTCCCTTTAAACTATTGCAACGACTGCTATTTCATCTAATTTGTAAAAAGTATTAGTTTATTTAGCCATGACTTGAAATTTAAGCCCCAATTCTCCTTATGATTAAATTTCGATTTAAAATTGTATAGTTTTTTAGTTTCTAGTTTTTTGAGAAAATATGTTAGTCGCAAATCTTTATTAGTTTACTTACCAAATATGTCGGTGACTCTGGCATGAAGAAAAATATAACGCCAAAGATCAAGGGCAAGATGCCGCAAACAACGCTCATCCAGAACACATTCAGTCCAGCGCCAATGGCATACACAAATAGAATACCAATGGTGATCATAAGTTGGAAGAAGCTGCCAAGTGTTCCGCGAATGTTTTTTTGAGCGATCTCACCAGTGTACATGGGGGCCGTGACACAGAAGGCACCGCCAGCGATGCCGAGCAGGAAACGTGAGGCGTACATCATGCCCAGATTCGATGCCCAGATGAGCATGGCCCAACCAATGGTGAAAGGTAACACCAGCAACAACATTGTCCATTTGCGTCCAATGAAGTTGATGAGGAAACCAATCGGTATGCAAACGCAGGCAGCGCCTAGTGTCATGGCCGAACTAACCCATGAGTACTGATCTTCGCTCACATCAAAGTCGTAGGCAGTCCCTTTCTGAATTTCCGTTTGAGCCGGCGAGGTCCAGCCAAGCAATGTACCGGCGGCGAAGGCACCACCCGCAGCAGCCAGTGCGGCAACATATTGCGGCAATGTTCTGGCTTTATTCTCGGTGGTTGTATGAACCATGTCGTCAAGCAGATTCTCCTGATCCTGTTAACGAAATATATAAACGAAAGCGCGTTAAAATTCAACTTGGTCTGAACGATCCGCTGCACCAACTACGAGTAGTGGTGACTACAAATGGGGGAACTGTGCTCGCAATATTATCAAAACATATAGTAGGAACCTCAACGTCGACGTCGGCTATAAGTTGCGATAATGCGAGCGCAGCGATTAGGAGTTTTATTGCGATGCGATAGTAGTACATAGTTCTGAAAACTGACAGGCCCATAAAAACCCCGGAGGCACGACTTTGCGGCACATCAACAAAACTGAACGAAACTTAAGGGATTATTTGCACCCAAAGAACGTGCTGATGATATCAGCCTCTACCGTTTAAATAGATAGTTGACAACAATAGAAATGCTTATAACATATGTATTGTATTTCGAGGTTCTTATCAGGCGTGTGCGGTTCTTTGCGAAAAATACACAAACAACGATTCTTTAAACAATGTTTTAAAGGATTTAGATATCGCTGGAATTACCAGTTGGCGGAATTTTGATTGGCATATACTCTAAGTGGCTATAGTTAAGGGTACAATGTTAAAGAAACTTGCACTTCAATTAGAATTTAGTATTACTATTACAGGTATGGCTTTAATACTTAAGGCCGTGTGGATTTTGTTTCTTTACTTGCGCGATAATTTCAATCCGTAGTTGGCTTGTATAGGATGATAGATACTTGTAGATATCTAGTTCCTATTTATCAAAGATAATTAATGAGTTAATTGATAATATTCTGAGTTTAAAATACACGGAAATATTTCCTAAATTATATAGAAATGATAACGTTGAAGAAACTCCATTGTTTATACAATTTGTCACTTAATATCAGGGACGCAGAGAATCATTTAATACTTATAATTATTTCTGCTGATATAGAAATATTATTTAATAATTTGAAAGGCAATATTTGTATATTATATAGTCACAAAATAGTACTAAAAGCTTTATATAATCCCAACGTAAATTAAAATGCTTTTCCTGGAAGTCTTCACAATATTCAACTTAATTGAATAATTTAATGTGTGCGGGTTTTCGTTTGAGTTTTCTCGAAGCTTTCTACTTCTTAAAGTCTAAAATAAATAGTACTTTTCAAGCTTTTTTCATTAATATTGATTAAGCGATAAGATAAAGTGGGTGCATTATTTAAAGTGATGAAGTACAGGATATGGCGACAATCAAATTACTGACGGATACCCATAAATGTTTATATAAAAGAGCCACACACGTATACCATTGGAATAGGAAGTGCTTATCTGAATTTCTATGCACCATTCATAAAACATTATAATTTAGCAGTGCCGATTACAAAAAGCTTTTATATACTCTTAGTACCAACAGGGGTAAATAGGTAGCCCCATGCTGATGGGCTAGGCTCTTGTCTACTGTTTACACATGGAGCTTTGTCTGTCCACCATTATTATTAGAAGCATATTTGATTATAGTCAATTTAAAATTAATAAATTAAATTTAGGACAGTACATGTTCTCAATAATAAGTTAAGAGTGTCAGATTTAACAAGGACTCTCTCCAAATCATGTATGCATTTATTTGGTAATGAGTTAGCAAGATTGGCAAATTATGATCAAATAACTATTATACGATCGATTTTCAAACAAAAATGTAACTCAATCTAAGGATGTAATTCTCCTAATAGAAATAAGAAATTTTTGTATGTGATGGAGTTCTGACCTCAATAAAAAACCGCCATGAAAGACTTGGTGTCGCCGAAGGGATGAAAATTTTCAATTCAAGAAGAAGGAATCTGTAGAAATTATATAGTATATGAGAATATAATAATTATCCATGCCCATAAACTGACTCACGAGTGTATTCTTATGTATGATGCTAAATTCAAAAGCAGACGCTCACTAGGATTAAATGATATAATCGGCATGATATTCAGGCAAGTACGCCATTCCATATCTCTGTAAATGTACTCTTGTTTATCAGAAGATTTTTTCCGTAGGATGGGTTTCTCGCATTCGTTTTTTTCATGTATTGCAATGTTGTTAATTGATAATTTTAAATAAGCCAGACTCCCTGATGAACGAGTTATAAATGCCAGAGAGTGAAATTGAAAGTCTAATCTCAACGGCCATAAGAGCTACAACAATATGCACGCAAGAATATATGTACTTTTATAATTATTATAATTATAACTATTATAATTTGAGCAACTCTGGGATTGTATTGCAAATTAGTAATATTTGTTAGAATAGCGCTGTTATTTGCAGACAGAAATAACATACTTGTAGATGCGTGTTTAACAGCAATATGGTTTGTGTCTGTGCTGAGTCTGTTGGCTGATGGATCCATAGACCATGCAATTTTCGTGATCGCCATCGCCATTACTCATCGAACCCACACAATTCAGCGACAAGCAGTTTGCCAATCAATGCCCACACAAAAACCAGCATTGAAAATCACTTCCGCCCATGTTTTTAAACCAAAACCGGTGATTTCAGATGCGAGCAAACACAGAAATTTGCAGGCAGCTTAAGCAAATATTTGTGTGTGCGAGTGCAACTGTGTGTCCGTGTGTCCGCGTGTGTGTGTGTGTGTGAGTGGGCAAGTAACCGGTAATGGGGCGCCTACGCTGAACGGCTTCACTCTCTCGTGCATTGCAGACACACCTCCAATGGTGACAATAACAATAACAACAACAGCAACGAGAAGAGCAACAACGATGGCCCCAACAGTGGCGGCCAGCGAAGCGTTAAAGTCTGCGCTGAAATCGATATCATCTGTTGTGGCTATAGACTTGGACTCGAGCTCGTGTCTAGGTGTGTGTCTATATATATGTGTGTGTGTGTGTGTTTGTGTGTAAACTGGAAGCTCTGTTGTGGTTACTGCGGTCAATACGACGCGCATGTAACTAAATTTAGACTTACGTCGGCAGTTAGTAAATGGCTAAGGCGCTTGTTTGGCACCTACGCCTGAACTGCCTGTTCGCTGGGCAGGATGGGAGCTCTGGCCAGCTTGTGAGCGAGTTTCAAGGCTCGTTCGCATTCGGCGCCATCGCCAAGTACATTTGAATGTCACGAACACGCAACAGTTTGCGTCACGAGCGGCTAAAAGCGGCAGCTGGAAAGCCAGGGAGTGAGAAGATTTTCAAATTCTGTTGCAATTGCGTTCTATTTTCAACATTGAGGCGGAAAAGAGAAATTTCGTAGTTGACTTTAATGCCCCAAACTGGTTTCGGGGCACGGTTGAAAGCTGTTCTTTGGTCATACAGAAAATATATGTATTTATATTTGTTCTATGCATGTGGTAGCTGGGAAAGGTAGTTGAGAAATTCAATTCAGCATGCAAACAATTTATTCAAATCTAAAACCTGACCTGCACAACTACTACGCGTGTAGGAATATGACCATTAAACTTTATACTTATAATCGCCTCATTACCATATCAGTCTTTAATTTATTCAGCTCTTTTGCGCTATGGATAAATATTTCATTCAATAAAAATTCCGTCAACATTCCAAAGCAATTTTTGCTGGCAAACATTAAGCATATTAAATAAGTAAATACAAATTTATTTGTACGAGTATGTTATGAATTGTTCAGTTAAAGCCGCAATAAAATATGCAAGTATGGGAGCTATGCACATATGTATGAAGATTGATTCAGATTTCAGTAATGGCTGAAAGTGCTTTTGATTTGTTTTAATATTTAACATCAGAAAATAATCTAACGCCGTACTATAGATAGATATATCTTGTATTATTTAACAACTACAAGTATATATATTGTATTATTCAACAAAAAACCTATTTATTTACGCATGTATCAGTATTAAAGCTAATTAAATAAATTTGAACAGCTGGTTTTGGTTAAAAAAAAAATAAGCAAGCAACTATTCTAAAGCTAAAGCTTTAATTTTGCCAGAAAGTTTAGTTTTTAGTTTAGTGGCTTTTGAATATTAAAAGTTCTTTGCTCATTCTATAAATATATTTTTGAATGTACATACATATGTTTTTCTCTTCTACTTACCATTTTTTAGGTAATTATTTTTAGTTTGTTAGTTCTAATAACGTGTCTATTGGCTATGAATCGGGGCATAGTTGGCCGAATGGAAAAATAACGTCATCCCCACATGTCGCAGCTGGTTATAGACATTATTTTATATGTTTTTGAGGCTTTCTAATCTTTTCAGTTGTTTTAAATGTATTAAATCTTGTAAGCCCGATCTCAAAAATAAATATCACAACAAGTATCTGAATGTCAATCGGCTGCAGCTGTGGAAACTACCAGGGGTATTATATAAATAAGTTAGATTTTCTTTATTAAAATTTAGAATCGACTGCCTGCCAACTATATACCTTAAAAAAAAAAAACAATTGATCAATAATGTTAAGAATGTAGTGAAGAGTTTCTGGCGGAGCTAAATACATAAATATTAATGAACTATAACTTTAGGTAAATTTTAATTTTGATTTAACATTTAAACTCTGAGGTCTTTTAATAACAGCAGTGTGTAAGAAAAGAGAAGAGAGCAGGTCTTTTAGTTCTCAAATCATACTAAATGACCCCGAAGCTAGGCTTACACAAAAGTATTTTGGAAATGTGTAAACTTTATAGCTGAAAAATTCATTGATGGATCATGGCGGTCAGTATAGTACTCGTACAGAAATAAACACTCTCTCAGTTTAGTTCATTCATTGGCTGGCGGGCATTACATAAATTTTAATGGTGTCTCTATTTCATTCTAATAAACTATTTTTGTTGGCAGTAGTAGCACTGCCACTGGGCTTATTAATACGTGTATGCTTTTTTCGGTATCAAATATTAATTTGGGCACACATTGCGTAGCTCTTATCTAAATCGTTTCCAGATTTGTGGTGTATACTCGTATTTATATACGCGTTTTTATCCAACAACAGAGAAATAACAACAATAGCCAGAAGACCACAAATTGTGGGACTGGGGCTGTTTCTCTTATCAGGCACATTCGATTGGAAGTCGCTGACAAGTTGCGCATATAGAGAAAGTTTCTATTTTGGTTCTGCGACTATGTACAAAAGTTGGATAAGGTCACAACGCATCTTGCACACAAAAATAAATAAAAAGATATTTCATGTTGATATTTGTAGATATTTGTGTATCCAGAACCATGGAAATGTTCCACTTTTCATTAATTAGATAAGCTAACTTATCGGTAAAGTAAACAATTCTATTAGGTTGCTACAGATTTTAATTCAAATATTTTTTTCCTAATATATATTTAATTTATGACTCACAGCTCAATTTGCTTGCTACACAAATTAGCCTTAGTCCAGAATTCACAAAAATATTCTAAATAATTCAGATATGCAGTGGTATGATGTATTTTGTGGTTGGGTTGTGTTCCATTCATAATATTCAATTATATGGCGATGTGTTCAAAACTGGCTTTTATATAACAATACCTAAAACCGAGTTTAAATTAAGCATTTCAAAACTCGTTCCACACGCTGCACAAAGCATCTATTATCCGATTAAGAACATAATTAGCCCACAGAGAGAACTGCCTAAAATGTTTGGGCTTTGGCCGAAAAATCATTTACCTCGACAATTACATATATTCTATAAGATGCAGATATGCAAGTCATTAGAAACAAACATATTTGGTTATTATTATTAGGAAATTATAAATGTGTGTTACTTGGAATATTGTCAATTATAGAGAACTCCTTATAGGACTGCAACCCTAAACCTAACCGGAACCTCACTTGAAATCTCATTTTGTGAATTGATTTTCTGCTTCCATTCCTTTTAGCTTTGTAAAATCTATATTTTACTTTAAATTTTTTTTCCTGCTTTTACGGAAATTAGTGCGGTCTTTTCTAACTGCTGATATCAGCATATACATCAGTGGGCGTTACGATAATACAAATAGTGGAATTGCCAATTCTCCTGGATATATACCCACAAAACTATCAAGTTGTGCAAATAAGTGAGTTTGCGTTCCAATAGATTTGAAATTATATCAAAAAATATATTCAAGATCTAGAATACGTGGTACAAGTATATCAAATAAATCTATCCATATGTGTACAAAAGTGCGTTCTAGTCCCGAACAACAACCACTAGCTCTCGACTTGGAAACATCATATAGCTCTCGACTTGGAAACATCATATAAACATAGTTCCAGTACCGTTTTAGTTGCTTTGCACTGTGGTATTATGGAAAGTGCTAAGCCATACGGTAATACATATTAAAACTGCTGGACATTGACGCCGCAACCCAATTCGTGCGGTGCTAATTGAGCGGTAGGTTGGGTTTTCTTTGTCTTTGTCAAGGTCAAAAGAAGCGCAGCATTAAAGCGCGCAATACCAGCTGCTGGGTCGCACACTAAATCGAAGTTATTTCATTTCACAATCTATGGATGTTTTTGGTTAGCACCCGCACCGATTAGTGGTAGAACGTGGGGAAAAATAATAAATTTGGTGCATACTTGAGAATTTGCTTTCACGATTTTTACCGCTTGTCGGGAGCCATACTTGGCACCGTTCTCGGCCGCTTCCAGCAGGTGGGAGCTCTCCTCGGTTTGGGTGCCGGGCTTTTTATTTGGCTCATCGGCACTCGAATTGGCTGACGATGTTGTTGACATTTTGGAGAAATATGGAGTAATTGTATTTCTTTAAAAAAATGTAATGTTCGCAATTTGTTGTAAACTGTTGGAGGATGTGTATATTTTGGGCGTTGGATTCGTATTCGGATTCGTCGTGTATTATATAAACGCGTTAGTGGCGGTTCTTAATAATAACGGTATCGGTTATTTTTTACAATCACTTTGAAGAGTTTTTTGTGTGGTTTTCAATTAGTTAATTAAATGATTCGTCGATGTTGCTGCACACACACGTCCAAATTGTTGAATAATACGTCAAGGTTTAAATGTCCTTTCGCTTTGAGGTTGACGATTTCGTCCTTAACACCCACGACCTATACGTGGCGTAGAATTTTTTAAGGCGCATGCGCTGCGAGGGCCAACAAACATGTTGCTGGCCAAAAATTCGGTTTCTTTTTATTTATATTTGTTTTTTTTTATTTCTCGTTATCTATCAGCCCGCCGACTGCTTGCTTCTGTTTCTCTGTTTTTTTTATTTTGAAAATAGCAGAAGAAATGTAAACACTGAGACGCTCGTTTTGAAAATCTACACAGTTTTCCAGCCACCGTGTATCTGCAGCGATGAAAAGTATCTTTAACCGCACGCACTGAATGTTTGTCAGCAAATGGGCGACGAAATACGCGCGCCAAATGAATAAAGCACCAGCCGGGATGCAAGCGGAGGCACAAGGCGCTCTCTCTCGTTACACTCTCTCCCAATCTTGCTTCCTCTCCCAGTTGCTGTTACTTGTTGTCGCTCTCGCACGCCTAGTTTGTCTTGAAGTGCGGTTGTGGCTGCCGGGGCCGGGATCGGGGTGGAGGGAGGGTGTCATCGGTGGCGGTCTCTGAGGCTATTGACTCGCGCAGCAAACTGGAATTGCATGGGGCTTTGATTTTCGTTCTGCTTGAAATTGTCTTCTCGCACACACACACACACACACCCAACTATATAGTACCTGTATCTTACAAACGAGTACTATATATGGGAAGACGAGAGCCGGTCACTGCAGCTTGCAATCTTATCAATTAGTTGCAGTTTCTTAAATACATTCGATTGAACGAGTTCGAGTTGAAAATCTTGTAAATGCTTTAATAAAACTGTTGAGTACAATTCCTTTCCGGTGGGTGTTGCAAATAGTTCTTGATTGAGTTGCAATTGATTTGCAGAGGAAAAACGACATCAACAATCCTATTAAAAATTGAATTGCATTTTTAAATAAATTAATTGCAGTTCAAATTAATGTCAATTGACCGGCCACGAAGCTGTTTGGGAACAACTGACGTTTATGCGAGGGATCATAATATTGAGAAGTTTATAGGGCATTACATTTAACTTTACCTTGAAGCGAACAAAGATTTTAATGCAATGATATTCATCCCACACTTACAATAATCAGAACAAGATGTTCAGCATGTGGGCGAAATAAGTATGCCGTCTGTTTACAAAGGAATCTCAATGAAATCCACAGAGTTCAATGTACAACAAAAGGCCAGTAGTAGTCCAGTAAAAGAAGAGAAAGTTCTATTAGCATTTAATTTTTTTTTTAGCCAAAGGAGAACTGTACTTTTATTTATTCATTCGAAATAATATATCAGCATTTAATGGACATTTAAAACAAAAAACTGCGCTGCCGTCAATTTTGACAGATTTCTTGATAAGACAAGATAATCATTGCATTATTCCACAAAATATCATTTTTATTTCTTGTTGCACGTTTTTTTTAACTTCCCTAAAAAACAGTCATAGGCTTCAAGGCCATAATCAATGGAAATGGGTGCATCACGAAAAAAATTCTCAAACTTCTTCTTCTTCTTCAGACCTGGGAGAATCCGAATATCAAGTTTGTTTGTTAGCTCTTATATTTTTAGAGTTTCTGGCGTTCACGGACATTGCTATAAACATGAAGTGTATTTCTTGTTAAATAGATAACTACTTCGAATGTGCATAAATGCATAAATGAAAATAATATTTATTTAATAAAAGGGAATATTTATCTGTTGGTGCGAGTTGAAATTGGGACTCAATTTATTTTTGACTTTAACATTCAGAGTGCGTTTTCCTATCCCTCAATTGTTTCCATTATTTAGTTTGCCAACGAATGAGCAGAGGTATAACCATATGTGTGTGTACAATGCAATGAAAACTGTAAATAGACATGGCATATGCATACAGAAGAGCTGTATTGTTCCTATGTGACCCTAGTAATTTCCATAAGCATACATAGACAGCTGACGTCACGCACTCGGGGCACAATGCACCTTTACTGAGTGTAGAACGCGCGCCTACGAGAGCTTCCGACAATGCACATTTTCTGTATTTTGTTTACTTATTGCTGTAGAGGGTTCTTCAATATGCTGCTGCTCTTTCAGACGCTTCGCTCACTTGGCTGTCAACGCTCCACTGATCGCAGATCGCCAGTGGGACGGAGTGGGTAACGATTGCTAAGCATAACAAATGACGGTACAGAAACGACTGAATGAATGATCACAATTAAATGGGTAGCAAATGTTTTGATAACGGTAAACAAATTAATATATAATCATATAAATGTTGTCCGTACATAATCAGTGGAGAGACTCCGAGGGCCATCAAATGGGTGCGTAAGAGAGTGAAATACAACCGAACATTTGGCACGCTACAACATGAGGCCAGGCGCACAGAGCGCCTAAAAGCATGCCAAGCATATTTCACATTCTAGTTGCCATTTGTACATGTACAAATCTGTGTGTGCGAGTGTGTGTGTGTGTACGCATTGCGCATATACAAAACAACATTCACACACATACACATACAGAAACGCATACATAAAGAGAAATTTGCTTTGTACACTAATTATGGAGCTGGGGCCAAAGGCGACTAAGCACGAGTCTCAACTTGCTGCGACCCGCAAAGTTACGTAAATCTGCTCATTAGCAAGCGCTCTGTTGACTAAGTCTCATATTTTACGGCCGCCTGCAAGAGTCTCATCTGCGCTCTGCGTACGTCAGCAGCTGACGGCGATGACGACGTCACATTTTTTTATATGTATGTTTATAGTTCTGACGTCAGAGGCGCGCCAAGCCCCAAAAATCTTGGCCAATCGGCAACGCTTGCCAAGCGAAACGTGCCCCCAACACACGATGCAAAAATACACAAATACACACACACACACACACACAGATGTGTAAATAAATTCTAGCGTAGGTCGTGGCATTTATATAAATAATTTAGCTTATAAGTTAAAAAGAAGGCAAAACAAGAAAAACATTTGCTACGCTTTGCACTTGGAATACTGCGGTGTGTGTTGTTATTATTGTATTCATTGTTGTTGTTGTCGTTGCATTTGTCACACCGAAGCGCACACAAATCACGCGATATATTGTAGTTCAAGTGCATATTACATTTCGCCGATTCGGCATTATTTCCCTTCATACATATAGTAGTCGCAGTCGTTGTATTTTCATTTCTGTGACCTACATTTGAACTTGTACTACAGAAGCATTGACAACAACAACAATTATGCCATCGCCTCCCTGCGGCATTAAAAGCAATATTATTCATCTGGTATGTATTTGTGTATATCGTGTGTATACTCTTTGTATGTATAAACAAAAATCAATATACACCCTCGCCCAATCCAAGGTGAGTTAAGAGACTATATGGCATGAGGATGGTTTTCTCCTCGGCCTCTGATGAAATGGCTCACAGTTGTCTGGAAATAACGCATCGTGAAATAATGCGCATAGCAAGTGAAATGTTGGAAGATGAGGCATTCGCATTTTTCAAATCCGATAAATGTTACGTCATTTCAGAAGTTACATTTGAAACATGAAACTTTGCATTGCGCGGAATGAATAAATGAAAGCAGTTAATTTGCTTACTTAAAGTTCGTTCGCTCCAAATGGTTGTAACTACTTGATACACATTAATAGCGCAATTTGTTCGTATTATTGTTAACTGAACTAAATTTATTTAAAATTGAATTAAACTTACGCGATTAAATAAATTGTTAGGTCTTCTGGATGGGTCAGAAAATTAACTCTGAAATTAGAAAAGAATAATGGTTTAAAATTGATGCAATAAAGCGAAACAAATATAAGAGTAAAATATATGTATACTGTAAATCTAGTATCATCATTTTTACTGTCCATATTAAAATACTTTAAATAATGTCATATTTTCTGTTTGTAGCTCAATAGCCTTATGATGACCAACACTTTTTGCAATTCTTGAATAATTCTTATTTAGATAATAAATTTGAAATAAGAAATATTCAATTCTCGTTAAGAGAAAGAAAAGAAAAGCAAAATCTACATAAATGTGATTGCCTGTCTGACAAGCTATTTATTAATTAATTATAATTTTTTCCTTTTGTTTCCTTTGTTTTGATTTAATTTTTTTTTATCAATTTCTTTCCTTGTATTTTTAATTATCTTTTGTTAAGTACAATAGCGTCTTTGAATACTTAGTGCTGCGAATCGAGTGCATAGCTGGCTGGTGATCGTACGTGATTAGTACGTACATGTTTTCAATGGGTCAAATTCGGTATTAGATGTCATTGACATTATAGGCATCATTAACAATGTATGTTACTTTAGACGTTTCTGTTTCTGTTTTTTTTTTATACCCTGTACCCAAAGGGTACAAGGGTATATTAGTTTTGTGCGAGTGCACATGGAACACACAGAAGGAGGCTTGGTAGACCCCACAAAGTATATATATTCTTGATCAGCATGACAAGCCGAGTCGATATAGCCATGTCCGTCTGTCCGTCTGACCGTCTGTCCGTCTGTCTGTCCGTCTGTCTGTCTGTCTGTATGAACGCAAGGATCTCCGAAAGTATAAGAGCTAGAATAACCAAACTTGGTATACAGATTCTCCTGAGACCGAGAAAGGACGAGTTTGTTCATTTTTTCTGATCCACCCCCCCACTCCCCCCCTATTACCGATTTTTTATAACTCCCGTAATTCTTAGAATTTTGAACTAAAATTTGGTAGTCACATTAGGTTAGTAATTATTTATCCGTATACCAAGTTTCATTATGATAGAATGATCGGAAAGAAAGTTATAGCCATATAACCAGGCCCAATGCACACATACACAAACACGCATAAGGCACGATTCTGATGTAAATGTAAATGTATGTATGCATGCATGGAATATTTTATATTTAATTTAGTTAATTAATTAAATTAATTTAGTTAATTAATTTAATTACTTTTTTGTGGGGTGGTACAGGGTATTTAAGAGTTGAGCCTGCTCGACTTTAGCATTCCTTTCTTGTTTTTTTTTTTTTTGTTGCATCAACAGCCTTATTTGTCGAAAACGAAGGAAAAAATGAGTAAATAAATATGTTTTTACAATTTTGAAAGGCAATTCAGACATGTACATCCCCTTTTTCTAAATTAAAAAAAAAGAAGAGATATATTTGTTGAAAGCATCAGAGTAAGAATAACTCTCAGTGAAGATCCACATAATATAATATAATCCCCCCTTC